GCCATAAATACTCAGCATGTGTGGAGAATGAAAGACAAGAAAGCATCTTAAATTATAAGAACATTAAAAATGATGAAATTTTACAATTATTCATGCACTCATTTCAAACTGAATGAAATATGTCTTTATTTTAACCATTAATAAATGAATAAATAAAGACTTACTTGGCATTAGCCATGACCTCAGCGACGGCTCTCCCTTTTAATGCTGGTACCACCATGCTCAGTCTGCAGGGAGAGGAAAGGTTAAAGGTCAAAGACAGGAAGTTTAATATGTACCAACATTCAGGACATCCGTTACCTTTTATATGCTGAGACATGGTCCTTATTCAAGAAAACCAGGAATGCAGAGTGTCCGTTTTTCATGAAAATCTCAATAGCATTGTCCTACATCAGCAAGAAAAACATGGATGCAACAGTAAGCTGTTTTTATTTGATAGTCACAACAAGATCATTAAGGTCAAGTAAACATTTGAAATCTGAAACATATCCAACTTCACATAACTAATTTCATAAATGACAAGTTTTGATTTAGTTTTCCTAGATGTTTTAGTTTGGATTGCAAAAAACAATCATTTCGGCTAATAACAAATTGTTTGTTTTAATTTAATTTAATTTATTTTTTTATTTTATTTTAAATGATTTTAGGTTTAGAAATAAAAGTATAATTAAAAGAACATGTTATCAAAACATGCTATAGACTATAAATTAGATTTTAGGTAAATATGATTTAGCTACAGTCAGAAGAATTTAAATTTGCAGGTAGAAATTTGTGAAAAAGTGAAAATATTTAAGCAAAATAAATTACATAAATGGTTGTAAAGACTAGCTTAACTAAAGGGTCAGCTGACAATGTTCACAATGAATGGCTGAGATGATTTTTTTAGTTTTAAAATAATTAATAATAATTTATATTTATTACTAAAAGTATGTAAATATTTTTCATATTAGATGTTGTAAAATCAATGTGAAGCAGTATCCAATTAAATAGCAGTGTTTCATTAAAAATAAAGTCCATCTTATTTCAAGGTGGGATTATATGAATGTCTGACCTCTAAGAGGAACCGCATGAAACGAGCCTCCTTGATGTCCTCGTAGAGCCAGCTTCTGCAAGTGGCTGAGGGCAGCTCTTTATTCAGCATCGTGGAAATAAACGAATCTCTAACACTAGCAGAAAGAGAAGATGAGCACTGTCTGTCACACCTAAAGCTCATGAAACATCCTGCAGTGAACAGCCTGCACCTGCTAGGGTGGTGCCTCCTGCAGCACACATCTCCAGTGGGACTGAGAGTGAATCCCTCACACAGGAGAAGGCTTTTGTCTCCAAAAAGCAGCACACCTTCAGCCACTCTGAGGCTGCTTACCATCACCACACACATCTTAGCTTTTACCTGCAGAGACAGACAGATACATTAATACCTCTCTCGGGGCATGACATGGCAGACACGTGCTTCAGGCTTTACTTGAATGATCATTTTAATCACTATTATAAAGACACAGTTGAACACTTCATTATATGAGCTGACTGATGGGGAGGAGAAGGCCCTGCCTCTTTTTTTTTTCTGCATCAAAGCTGCTTTCAGCGCTGGCTGCAGCTAACGCTAACTGTACTGTGATCATGTGTGGATAATTCTATTGTCGCCCTTCATTTCACAACGATTGTGCGCACCTGGTTGTCTCCGTGTGCTGGCTGCTCCTTCGGACCCCCTGGGACACAGCGCCCAAAAACCACATGGGGTCCCGATGCACCCGCAGGCTCCTCACAATTTATACTGATCAAATCAGACCCCCTCAGAGACACGCAGTCACACTCTCAGCGGACAAGGAGGAGGTCCTGCCTGGTCGTTATTAAGAGAATTAATCACTGCCACACGCACAATAACAGACCTGATAAGTGATCATAGGCTCGTGTCTTAAAGCACACCCAACGCCACGCGGTGATGGATAAGATCACTTATCATGTGGAGGTGTTTAAGACCGGTCAAGGTGAATGAGCCTCAGCTGCATCAGCAGCAAGAACAAATACTCTCTAATAACTAATGACTGGATTAAACTAGTTTAATTTATCGCTATCGAACATTATAGAAATAAACTCCTTATCTTCTCACTGTGGGCCACACAGATACGCGTTATCAGGCGGTGGGCGATTTAGCTGATGATGGGAGGGACGAGAGAAAAGGAGGACTTTTATTGACTGAGCCTAATGTCAGACCATTGATTTCTCCCCACACACATTATTGTCATAATCACACTATTGGCGCTGGCAAGCTAATTATGAGTGGGTCTCCCTTTGTGTGAGTGTTCGCCTGCGAGTGTGTGTGTGTGTGCATTTTTCAGAGCTAATGACTGTGTTCATTTGACAGGAAACTCAGCAGGAGTCGTGCGCCGAACCGCTGCAAGACAACAGGACACGCCAGCACACATCACACACTCGCTAAGCGGATGTAAGACAGCTTGCATCACCTCCTACTGCTTTTATTAATACTTCTGTCAGAAACATTAAAAGCCGCGGCTGGTTGCCGGAGCGATGAGAGGGCCCTGTCAACACGCGCGTGGTTTTTAACTCGCTGCAACAATGAGGAGAGCTGTGCTGCGCCTCAACATTAAAATATTAAACTAATGAGGAAAGATGAAATTCTGATAGCAGCGCTGGGCTTCTGGAATCCCTTAGTCTGCATCAGATAATTATGAATGTAATTATTAGCACAGTTGTGTTTAGAGATTGGATTTTCAGCACGGCACGTGGAAACGGGATCCTACATCACAGTACCTTCTCCCCTGGGTGCAGCTCCTGCAGGATGACGCGTATGTCTGGACAGTCTTGTGTGTGGGAGCAGGACTCAGGGGAGAAAGGGTTTGGTTGGTCTTCGGTGGTTGATGGCGTCTCGTTCAGAACGGGGAAGAATGTCAAACTGCTCGGTCCTCCTTCTTCGTCTGCTTTTACCTCGCCACTGACTTCACACAAAACCTTCAGCTCTGTTACACAAACGGTTATTTATCTTACAACCATCCAACACAACCAAAACGACATGTAAACAAAATGAGTAAGATTTAGTACCATCTAGTGGTGGATTTTTAAAATGCAGCCAACTGGTTGCAGATGTGTTGGGAATACCTCGTTTTAAAATAACAACAGTCCCTATTTTCATGTTTTTAGATGTACCTGCATCATCCTCTGCTTTATTAATGCTCTCTTCAGATCTCAAACACAGCATTCCTAGCATCTGTTGCAAAGAAAAAAGTAAGTTAAAAAGTTCGATGATGCTTTATGTGTGTCTCATGAAATGCCACAGTGCATTTTACTTCTACCGATTTGGAATGTCTCAGGGCTTTTCTGCGGATGCGTGATTTGGTCCGGTTGGGTCCTTCGGCGGCATCTTGCACCCAGTCTTGGCTCAACAGCACCCCCGGGCCTGGACCAAATACAGCTCTCTCCCTCAGCAGCTCGGCCTCCACGCGCAGCCACTGAGCGTTTGCACCTTCCCATTCAGCCGCTTGCAACTGAGACACGAATGCAGAGCGACCCAGAGGGGAGCAGATGAAATACAGACATTAAAACAAATCCCATTTTCAGCTGCTGATAAATTTCACCAGTCAGACCTGTAAGTGGTTTGTCCTCATGTTCTCAAACACGCTGCGGCCTCTCTGCCGGTGTGACTCCATGTGGGACAAAAACTCCTAAAAAAACAAAAACAAACAAGTTAAAACGGCTGCAAATAAAAAGAGGGCATGCACAATCACTCTTCTGAGCTCATTTTGCACACACACACACATGCACTCACACACACACACACACACACACACACACACACACACACACACACACACACACACACACACACACACACACACACACACACACAGGCATCACAATGATTTTATATGCAGAAATTTTATATGCATAATGGTATTGTTGTTTCCTCATGCAATTACAGTGCATTCATACAATTACATCTGTTTTAAATTGCATTCACTGGGCAAAATAAGCTAGTGGCTACAGTCTTACAATAACCCTGTCTGCAAATGCAATCATTTGTTGGTGTGATCTAATTAACATAAACATTAATATCACTGAGCCACACCACAGACGGGGGGCAAGTTTGGTTTGTGTGTGCACCTTCATTGTGTGTGAGCCTGTGTGTGTGTGTGAGTGTGTGTGTGTTCTTTTTTTGTCGACTGAAAGAGAAGAAATGAAAAACCCAAAACGGAGCCGTGTTGACACTGCACAATGCTCATGTTCAGACACACTGGGATCATATTCCGACTGTTAACTGCTTCATTAAACGCATCATCACAACAGTGCTCGCTGGGAGACTAGTGAAACAACATGTGTCCATCTTCACAGCTGACCCAGGAAAGCCATTTAATTGAGTGAGTGAACATGCAGTAACTCTTTATATTGGGTTTTATTTACAGATGCTAATTTTGCATTCGGCCACAGAAACCCCATAATTGATTTTGAGTGCAATAAAAAGGAAACTCCTCCTGCGTAAGATGAGATGCAAACAAAGCTGACTTTTTAGAATGTATGTGCATTCATAAAAGTTGGAATTTTCTCCTTCGGAGAAGGATAACTGTTCCATTTGTATGTCTGAAAGGTGTTGAACACTCGTTTTATCAATACATTTGCAGTGGTTTTTAGTTTATTCAATTCAGTTTATTTATATAATCACCGAAAGAGTCATCTCAAGACACATTACAAAGTAAAACATTCCAATGCCATTATGCCAGATAGTGGAACGTTTAGGAACCCAGCAGATTACATCGAGTCACTGACTTGTTGAGTCTGAGTCTTTACAGCAATTCCCATAGTAAGCAAGCACGTAGCGACAGAGGGGAGGAAAACTCCCTTTTAACAGGAAGAAACCTCCAGAAGATCCTGACTCAGTATGAGCAGCCATCCGCTACTAGAGATCTAGTAGTCTCTAGGAATGAATGCCTTGTAAGTCGTACTCGGGGGTGAAGAAAGCCCAGAAGGGCCTGCAGCACTGGATGTCGATGCAATGTGAACGTTTTATCTCCACAAATAATACGAGCCTGGAGGAGTTTTGCCATGTGGTAGAGTTGCTAATGCTAACGGTTAGCTTCTGCTAGTTGAGATGATTAAGATGTGCTCTGCTCTTTCCTGGATGCTAAAACAACAACAGCCTTCCCCATCACTAGTCAAGATGGGTGATGTAGATCTGTCCAGCTTTTCCAATCCTAGCGTTTCATCATCTATTTTCTTTCAGAAGCTAATGCAGGAGTTAGGTGCAGGAGACCATTTTCATGTTCAGCCAGCATGAAAGTCAGAGTGACTAATAATAATCAGAAATAATCATTAAGTGTTCCACACCTTGAATACCCATCCAAATGAGAAGTAGCAAAGCAGAAGAAGAGGAAAAAAGAGGAAATCTGAAGGGAGATTATAGAAAAATTACAGACAGAAAAGACAGTAATAATGACGTTTTCAGACTAGAGTCGCGACAAATAAGCAGCAAGTTGGCGTCATCGCCACTAATTTCATTCCTTTATTTAGACAAACATAAGTAATATATAGCATTAATTACCCCATTTAGCAGATAGGAACCTCATTGGCTTTTTAAATGCTGCATTAAATACATAACTCATCTCTTCCCTGTGCAATTAACATGAGAACATCACACTCATTTCCATTTTAATGACTTCCCAACAATACGCCACCTTTGATGATAAGGCAACATAATGTCAACTTCATTCTGAGCTGGCAGTGAACGTGTAATGAACTTAACGTGATCATTAGTGCTGTTAATTATCTTTCTAATATGAGGACACAGATATGATTATGGAAACTGCATTCGATGATGAAATAAATCTCTGGAAGGACTGCGCCGAAGCTTAACAGAGGACGAAGTCTGCTTATCAGTCGCTATATTTTCACTCATTGCCTACAATAGAACTCGTGTTTTTGCTCAGTATAAGTAGTTTTATCAGAACATTGCATTATTAGAGATCTCATTGCTAAAAAAAAGACTTTCCATTAGCTTTTAACTTTCCTAATAAAGGTCATAGATTGATGATCCAGAAAAAAATGGATGATTTCTTCATGAGAATGAATAAAAATCTGAGAAATCTGGCAGATAAAAGTTTGAACATTTTATTCTAAGCATTCCCTTTTATCCTTTTATGCATAAATATTTTCACAGCAACACACTGCAGATATCATGGAAGAAAGCATTCCCCTATCTTCCCTGCATCCGAGATGGAAAAACAATTCATCACCCTCTCTGATAGCCTGTCAAGGACTGATATGATAAAGAATAACATCAAATGAATAATGTTTTCATCAGATTGGTACCACTGTAATTGCCAACACAGTTTCTGTGGGCAAAAGACACGCACAAACAAGAGCACATATACACTTTTGCAAGGGTGAGACAAACACACAGACGCTGTAATTTCATGCCTGTGTGCCTGAGTAATACGTCCCTGCTCCCTGCTCCAGATGGCTCGACGTCTTAAGCGTTGTGGGGGAACTAATGATGTGGGCCACGTGTTTCGGGGGGAAAAACAACAATAAACGCGTCTTTAACCTTCAGCAGCAAACAGTTTGTTGTGGCGAGCGCTCCCATAGATGGGCCTAACAGATATCAATTACAAGGCTCACTCAGGGGCAATCAGCTGTGATAATCCAAATCTATTTAAAGAAATAAACACCCCCGCAGGGCTGGACGGCCCACAGAACAGAGACATTTGTGACTTTGGGATGAGCGTTTGGCTCCTTCCTCTGGGAGAAGGTAACAGCCTCCCTATCCTCCAAAGGAACAATGGTTAGGAACACAGAGAACTTGAGTTTCTACCTACTTCTGCTTTCATTGACTCTTGACCTCTCCCCAAAGCCGAGCGAAGAGCGCTGGTGATCACTTCCAACATGATCTGAGACCGGCTAGCCACTTTCTTCATCTCTGACTCTAAAGATATGAGAGGTGAAAGAAACATTTTGAGAAATGAAATGCTGAATTTACTTAAACAGCTTCTGTCAACTGGTTACACTAAGCTTACTTCAATCTAAAAAGTAACATAGGTTTTTTTTAAAGGGATACTTTGCAACTTCTTCATGTTTTTAAATCATTTTCGTCAGACAGTATGTGCTAAAATGACCCTTTACAGAGTTAATGAAATGTCACTCTGACCCCCACCGCCCCCTGTAGCCAGAATACCAGACTTGCAACTTCAGAGTGGCGGGCCGACATCGGTTGGACTTACCAGCGCTGGAGTCTGCTTCCAGCATGTTTTCTGCAGGTTTTAGATCGTGCACACAGCTGGTTTGTTTGATGTAGTGATGATTCACACCTGTAGAAACTAATGTTTCCTGCCCCTCACCACCACTAGTTGAAAATGTAATTACAACTGTTGCGAACAACCCTGCTGCAGGCTTTGCAAATAACAATGTTGTCAGACAAGTTGTTGTATTTTGCATGTTTTTATGAATGTATAATGATTGGCAGTTCAGAAACAATGAAAAAAATAAAACCACAGTTTGAAACGAGTGTAGGTTGCATCGATGTTGAGCTCTTTGATTTGCCTCCAAACATATTACCCTCTTCCTTTTACTTTCAGGCTCCACCATGACGCCAACAAAAAAGCAAACTTCTTTTTTTTTCTTGATCTTTTTATTGAAGGTCTGCAATCAGAAAATGCTAATTGCAAGCCTTCATATGAGCTACCGGCACAGTAAAGCCATTAAAGAGGTAGAGAGGTCCCATTTGTGCCTATCCAAGCCCCCAAAGTTGCTAAGTGTCATTTCTGGCCAGAAGAGAGCTTCACAGGGCTGTCATGTGAAGCTGCTTAAGCGTATGGCTCCAGAACCACTGACACCAGTTAGAAAGCAATTGCTGAAGGTGTTAAAACTCTTGAGTGTTCAACTATGAATATTCCTCTTTACATTTAAACAACGAGGTTTAGTGGAATCAGTTGACATAACAGGTTTGAGAAAATTCAACATTTCATTTCTCCTCAGCTGCTTGAGCTAACCTGTGTACAGCGTCCAGGTCTTATGTGCCATCTCCTCCCACAGAGGGCTGATGTCGGTCATGCTGACGGGCTTCACATCTGCTGTGCGACTCACTGACATCTCAATTTTATAGCTTTCTTCAAGCATGTGTTGTCTTTCAGATATCACCTTTGACCAGCAGGCTTCTACTAAAGACACGAGTTCTTTGTCATCTGGAAAACACAAACACAATAATGTTCAGAGGTGCCTTCGCAGAGATTTAAATCCATCAAAGCTCAATATTAAAGTTTCCAACCTCTCGTGTCTTCTCCTTTGCTGACTTTTTGAGAATATGCAAGTACGGGGCTGGATGAATTTTTCCTGTTCTTTGCCACACACCCAAAACCTTCAAGGTAGCTGCAAAATCGTGATCATTTGAGCCACTTCTGACATCTTAAGGCAACTCATTTGGTAAGTAGGCATGTAAAAATAAAAGTATTACCTGCCAGAGCGAATTAGTAACAGACAATGAAGAAGGCAGGTAATAAAGTTCACATTTCCATTGTAAGTTGCCATGACAACGTCCCAGCTTTCCAAGAAGGCCTGCAGCGCCCTGACGACTACTTTCTTATCTTCGTGGGAATGTCGTGGTTGAGACAGGAAAAAAAGCAGGACTTTATTGGTGCACGAGTAGAGTGCAGAGATAGTTTTCTCCTTCTGCGTCCGTCCTTTCTCCAGAGTCTAAATGTGTGCAGAATTTCACAGGTTATCATTTAGAATATCACCTATTTAAGAAATAGAAATCACCAAGGAATGCATAACTAAAGTTGTTGTTCATGCTTCATACGTTTAATGTTTAGATCCTTTGATTGCACATTTTTATCATCTTACCATCATAATCTGATCTGCGAGGAACTCGATCAGAACTTTTGAGTCTCCCATGAACGATCCGTTGTAAAGTTTCAGAAGCAAAGTCCTGCAGAAAAGCACCACGTTCTCCATCAGGGTGCTGATCTGTCCTTCAGGACGCTGACTCTCACGGTCTGAGAGTAAAAATAAACAAAGAGGAACGACGAACTTGTTTTTTCTTCTGTTTGGTCAAAATGCATATGTCAAACCTTTTCAATTTTACCTCGAGAGCTCAGATGAGTGTCATCCTCATTTCCGAGCATGAGGACGATATTCATGATGTGCTCAACTAACTCCGACTGATATCTCTTCTTCTGTTCCAGCGTCGCATCATCAGGACAAAACTATAACGGTAAAATCGGGGAAAGCTGCAGGCGTGTTTGGATCAAAACCAGTAATGCATTATTTCATCATCTGCAAGTAAGCGTGGCTTTGTTTAGTAACTGAGCATAGAGTGGCACCTTCTGGAGAAATAAGAGTTTAGCATATTTTAGACGTTTCCTTTTCTGTGAAAATTCCTTTTCGAAGATAAGTGTGTCTTTGTTATGTTACTGTGGTCTGTGGAATAACAAAACTCTAAATAACTGATGGTGTTTAAGTGTGATTTCACCTCCAGCAGCAGAATCATAAGGTGTGTGTTGCTGCTCGCAGGCACATTAAGAAGACTGTCCATTAACAAAATACGCATGAAGTCCAGCACTGGCTTCCTGGTGGGCTGACTGCTGAATGTGTCCTCTCTTTCGCCCGTTTTGATTCGCTTACCAACATCCTGAGGGAAGTGAGCAAACCAGACAATTAAACTGCATAAATGAGAAACCGTAAGAAGAGATTTGTAAAAGCCAGCGCAACACACAAACCTCAGAAACCTCCGGAGGAAACACAACACCAGCGAGCGAATGCAGGAATGTGGGCGATGCCCAGAGTGGGTCTCTCGGCCGGAGGTTGTGGAGGAGACAGAAGAACTGCATCAAACTTGCTGGGATCTGCAGCTCCCAGGATGCATCGGTGTCTGACACAAGCCTAGTTGAGCACTTCAAAAAACATATTTTTTCCAACTATTATGATTTATGATAAAAAAAAGAAAAGACAGAGAAAGAATTAAAGCTTTCTAATTTTCTCCTACCTGTGTGAGGATGACTTTGACCAGCTCCAGCATCGTTGTAGCAGCTTCAACACAAAGCTGAGTAGCAGGAGCTTCAGCTTGGCTCTCAATCAGCGACTGCAGGATGTGATCCAAACACACCTTTACGTGACACATAGAAAGAAAATTATGACAAATGAGATAATGGAGGTGATTCAGAACAGTAAAAAGGTTACCCACTTCTCCTTTGACTGTTTGATGGACCTTTTTTCCCACCATGAGAGAAGCTAGAGCTTCATACACCTCAGGCACATGAGTCTGTCTGATTAGCAGCTCCTTGAGGACATCAAATCCTGGACATGATGCGCCAAGGAGCTCCACGGACCAAGCGTGGGCCCGAAGGTTGTCTGGAAACAAGAAATAAGCGCCTGAAAGTCACTAATTGCAGGAAACGTCAGATGTGACGGTAAGTATCATTGGTGAGGTTCCAGTTTTAGAAGCCCACCCATAACAGCGTGCGGCTCCTGAGCCACGTCTGTAAGAGTTCCTAGGACCACGCCCTCTTTGAAGCTTCTCTGTTGGTCTGGATTCAACAGAAACTGCGTGAGCAGGACAAGGCCCAGTTTCAAAGTGGATCGGTGGAGGTGAGCCTGAAGAAACAGCAGGACCCAATCACTGCCAAGAGATTCAAACACTGCCTTCTGCTGGCTGATTTGGAGAAGAAAAATCTGGTAAATATTCATGCCGTGACACAAAAACAGAGAAAATGAGCTGGCTGGTGTTTGAAAGTGTTTAACTAAATAGTAAAGGTCAGTTCTCACTCTTTGTCTGAGTTGAGTATGTCACAGAGCGCAGACAGCAGCTTGTTGCGGATCAAGATGAGGCTCGCTGGACCAGAACTTTGTGCTTCAACACCAAAATAAACAAAACAGGTATGGGTCAGTAATAGTGCCATATTTTCAAATTTCAGATGTTAAAATGCGCACCTGGCAGGTCATCAGAAGTCTCACTGCCTTCAGTCGTGTTACTCTGAGGTGGGATTGTGTAAACCAGGAAAGTTCTGAGTCTTATCATAAAAACAACCATTTAGAAAACACAATTAAACTTAAATTAAATTACATTTTGTAAAAACTACAACAACAAAAAAGCAGGACAAACACTTTGTTGTTTGTGCATTGCCACGCTTCACCTGCTTATGTCCACGGCGGTAAAGTGAGCCGTCAGAAGGTGTGTGATGATGCAGGAGATGACGTTAACTTTGTGAACATTCACCGCAGGATCAGACAGCTCAAACAGAAGCTTTGGTAGGAGGCCCGCTCCGTGCATGACTGCTGCATTCCTGCCATCACTGCTGAAAACATGATGAGTGGAACAGAAACGGCCTCGATATCAATCACAATCTGTTACCACGGACGCAAAATCTAATTCAACAATCTATACACGCAAGTGTCCCTCTCTTCAGACACTCTGACTGATTCTGTTGAATGTTCCCTCGACTATTTTTGTTCAAAAGCTCCCAGATATTGATGACAGGCTTCTGCAGGAGTTGACAGAACAGCCGATAAAGTCTGTCAACTCAGAACAGGAGCCCCCTTTGTTGTGTTACATAACAGGCTAGTTGTGCACATTGACAGTAAAACTGATTACAACAAATGTCTTGTGACACCCATCCACATGCCGGTGATTTAGGAAATTACCTTGAAGATTTCAGGATTTCTGCAAAGTAGTTCAGAACCGCAAGGTCCAGATTGTCTGCTGTATTTTTCCACACCTGAAAACACAGCATGTTATAGGAGACATTTGTATTTTTTCTTAAGTTATTAGTTCTATGGTCAACACAAAACATGTTAATGACGTTCGTGCAGATCTATTCTTGACAGTTTCAGTACCCTCCACAATGAGCCGTTTCAGGGTTCTGTCACTTTAAAACAAGCTGGAGCTGGCCCCACCCACTCATCCCTGGGAAGATCTGATATGAGCCCTTTTTAGAAGACACGCCACGCTGGCAAATCAGCGTAATATTGCCACCACGGCGTGTCTTATAAAAGCACTGTGGTGCCGATGTGGAAATTTTGCAGCATTTGTTCCACCAAGCCTGGTAATCATCTTAGTGCAATGCTGTGAATGCATATTATGCCTTGGCGCAACAGAGAGTGGTGCCATGATCATGTGAGGAGTTACTGCCAAGCTCTGGGGATGGAGCGATGCAGAGCTCCAGGAGATTCTCTCCGTTAGAGCTGGAGCTCAGATCATCTGACAGTTCATGGGAATGTGGAGGACAGACACCGTTAGGCACGGCTTGTGAAAGAGCGCAGCAAGTTACGATCAAGCTGAAATTAAATCTGTGACGGCGCAGAGACTGCCTCCATGACCCCTGTTTAGCGCCATTGCGTATTCTTTTATGAAAAGAACACGATTGCACCACATTACGCCACGGTCTGACCACTTATAAATGACCAAAGGCTCCCGGATGCCGGCTCAGCTTTGCCAAAGGGAGCCTAGAGCCTGGATCACACTGTGTTTTTCATCTGTTGCACAGGACTGCTAATGTCACACTGTGGAGACTCTGGACAGGTGATACACTGTATGGCGCAAGATTTCAGTGAGCCAAACTGCACAATGTCTCAGTCTAGCAGGACACATTACATCACGAGTGCACTGCCCGAGAAGCATACAGCACACGCGGCTTAGGCTCCATATTCAAGGAGGTGACATCACTGATGGAAACTTTTTGAAACAGCTTGTTTTTGACACATAATTCCTAAAACCAAACACAGGTCTGGCAGAAAATGGATGGGCAGATTTTTTTCATATTTGGAGTGTTTAGACCCACGTGGCTGCACAAAAGGACGCAAAAGGGGTCCCTTTTAAAATATTTAATTCAAGCTAATGCTTTATTTTTGAAGGGTCGCCTACCTCCAGGTCACACAGCAGAGCCTGGAATGCGGGTGTGTTCTGTAAACAAGAGCCACAGCTCATCTCTACTGAACTCCAGAGGCACAGAACTGCCTGGAGGGTTCGATGGCTGACAAGACTGCTCTTCATCCTCAGTAGGAAAGCTAGCAGCTGTAAGGACAGTGCATTATATTAAAAAAAAAAACATCAAATCATTCAAATAACAATAATACCCGTATCCACATGCTGACAAACCTTGAATCCATCAATACGATTCATTTCCTGCTGCATTGCAGTGTTGGTCTCCAACACAGAAAGAAGAACTTTAACAGCTGCATACAAAGAGCTGTCATCCGGCGCCATTGCAACTAAACCCAAAACAACCGCAGGCCCACCAACGTACAGAAAACCATTGGAAGCAGGCCTGGGGATGAATGTCCGCATACCTACAACAAAAACACAAACTCATTTTAAAAACCAGACAAATGTAAAACTAAATAAATGTAGAATAGAGATCTTAAACCTTATTTTGTTTTACCAAAATGTCCAATCAAGGCGGCGCCGATGGTGCGAGCCGTACCGCTCAAGTGCTGGCTGATGTTTTGAGCCAGAAATATTGGCATGGAGTTATCCCGAGATGTTATCCCCATCTGTATTTACATTCAGTCATTATCAATGTATCATAACAAGAGAAACATCCATTAGGCAAGATGTTTGTGTTGCACTTACTTCTTTTGCAATCAGTCTGCAATCCACCTCGTTGTAATCCTCTCTGATCTGCACCACAGTTGTTATGGTAGAAACTGCCGGGTTGATTCCAAACGAGATCCTCTCTTCAGGAACCAGCTTGAGTGGGAGAGAATCAGAATTCCGATCAGGACCTGGAAGCAATCAGAGAGGTGCGATTGGATTTCAGTTGGACCGCCCATGGCAATCATTTTTAACTAAACAGATTAATATGAAAAAAATGGGTGAAAACCCCCTGAATAGGTGTTTTTTACTGAGATTCTAAAAAGAAACAAATAAAATACTGTTTGAAAAAACAACAAAAGGCATGTTTTATACATCTTTTGAAACGGTTGCTTGACTCTCTTGACTCACTCGTGTTGTGCAAAGCCAGGAAGTTGCCCAGGTAAGAGGTGCCTTGTGTGTAAACAGCAGCCACAGCATATGAGCTCAAAGGCTCTTCAAACAGGTAGCAGGGGCCCACTCGCCACACTAGAGCAGCGTGGTCCTTCCACAGAGCCGGAGTCCCTATCAGTCCATACACATCGATCACAGCTGTGGGGTCCATGGAGACACACGGACCCGGGAATGGCTGAATGTACTTTATCTGAGAGAAAATGAACTTTGTGTGATACATAAGTGAGAAAACAACCGATGTACATAAAAGCTCTTTAGTCTCCTCTTATCATACCTTTCCCATTCCCACCGCCTTGCCATTAAAGTAGGCTGAGGTCAGGCAGCTTTTCTTCACATCTTTGGCCATGACGACTGCCAGATGGTGCCACTGACCTGGGACCAGCATGCTGGAGCAGCGGAGCCTCAGTGATGAAGGCAAAGAGGCTGGAGTAGAAATTTCTGGCTCCAACACATCTTTTAAACAAGTAAGCAGATAAGGCTGTCACTCATGTCTGAACACTAAAGTATAATGTTTTCTTAGTAATCAACAAATATTTGATTAAAATCAAACATGTAGGCCAACTTTCATCTCTCACCAAGGTATGTGAATGCCTCCTCCTCAGTGGAGATGACCAGACAGCCGTCGCAGGCTGAGAAGGAGATGGACAAACAGATGTACGGTTGCTCGGTTCGTGACACATGGCGAACCACCGTTAGCAGGTGGACTGGGTGGGAATCACAAGCTGAGCTGAATCTGTTAATCTGGAACCAGCAGGAAAAGGAGAGGCCAGATGTGGGGGGGAAACCTCTGCATTCTAAAGCACGAGAAAAAAACGCCATTTTAATTCAGATTAACGCCACGCAGCCGTTAAATGTTGACTTATCACTTACCTCCTCCAATTCCACCAGTTGAGGTTGAATCAGCAGAGACTCCTTTAATGGTGGCCAAAGAGGGCAGGAAAAGGTACCTAAGAGTTTGGAAAATAAGGAAAAAATAATTTTCAGGAATTCTTAATAATGGAAATAATTTTATAGATGCTACATACTCTCCCATAACAAAACAAAATCTACTCAATTTTTTAGCTATTCTTTAAAGAGCAAGTCACCCAAATCCACTTTTTTGCTGATTAACTATATAAATGAGTGCCTAGTTGTGCTGTAGACATGTGTAATCAATAATTTGGCCCTTTAATGCATCTTAGTTAAAATTTCAATATTATGCCTAAAACTGTGTTGCGCCCTCTTCAGGTAAAAACTCTGCCCTGCATTGAACTTAAATCTACCATTGCCATTGGCTAAGAGGTACCCTATGACATTAGCTGGTACCATATGATGTCACAATGTCGCCGTGAGGCTGTGTGTGTGTGTATTTGTTAGCGGCTCCTCCCTCTCTGTCTGCATGGCAACAGGCCTCCTTGTGGTGCATTTTTCAAACAGGAAATGGGAGATGAGTTAGACTCTGATAGGGGGTGACTTGTTCTTCAAAAACTAAGAAAGAAAGCATTAATATCAGGATCTGCAAGCATCTAACCCATATCCACTCTCATGCATGTCGAACTCTACAAAGGGAGGTGAGGAGGAGACTCGATGTGGTCTAAATGTCCGAGGTGCCGTCATGGATACCAGACTGACAATCTGGTGGATCGGAATAGCAGAACCACAAGACGCTGTAGACCTCAACAAGCTGAAAGTTCGTTTCAGTGTCCTCCCTGAAGATCCAGCATCTGCCTTTGTGCTCTGATCTGCTTTAAAAGACATTCAGTTTCATGACCAAAATGCTTTCTTACCTGTTAAAAAAACAGAATTGTTCTGGATGCATTTGCTTACCTGTTTTTTTAGATAAGCACATAAGAGGATCTCCTAAAGACAGGAACTTCCTGAAAAGCAACAAACACAAATCAAATACAGCAAATTCTAACACAAACGTGGAAACTACAACTCTGAAGACATCTGACCTGAAGTCCGAGTGCGTGATGGCCTGGGAGGAGAGCTTCTCTAAAATTCGTGTTACGGGTAAATGTAGTGGGTGGTTCAGATCCAGCAAAATGTTGTGACAGTAGGTCAGGAGGGTAGAGACCAGCCCCCCCTCACACATTATCTGGCGGTTTTGCTCAGATTTCACCATAGACTGGATGTGGTATGCTATTGAAAACTGGACCTCTGTGGACAGCTGTAAGACAAGTGTGTTTAGTAGTGGTTTTTGCATCTTAATACAAGTAGATCTTAAAGGGGACATATTATGACTTTTTTTTCTTTAGTTATAATGTTTCTATGGTTGATACAAAACCTGTTTAATGACATTCTTTACACTAAATCCCTCTCACATAAATGATTTCTGCTGATTTATTCTTAACAGTTCCAGCACCTTCCGGAATGAGCCATTTCATGGCTTTGTCGCTTTACGTAAACACGCTGGAGCTGGTCACGCCCACCCCTTCCCCGCCCAGCAGTGTTGCCAGAAGTACGATAATTATCGTATTTGTACCATAATTTTGGGCTCTGTACGATGTACGATCAATAGTTTCAAAAATCCTCAAATGTACGATAATTTCACATTGCATCTAGTAACACCGTCTTTTGCTGTGGCATTCCCAAGTCAATTACATAATTTTAAACTGTTCTGAAGTCAGATTTCACCTCAGGGCTTACAGGTTTATGCTATTGTGTCTATTACAAAAACTGACTCTGGATCTGTACAATAAATAGCCCAATCACATCGATAGGGCCTACTCTCGCGAGAAACTGTAAGGTTATATAATGTGGCAGTGGCCCGCCAGTTTTTGCTGTTTGCCCACGAGCGCGCCGAGTTAAGTCTAATCTAGGATGACAGAGCGACGAGACAATGGCTTCTAATCTTAAAAGAAAAACCAGAGAAGGGACGGATGAAGGTAAAACAAAGCAACACCGGACACAAGTTTATCGTCCTGCGTGGGAGTTGGACCCTATTTTCAAAGGATGGCTTGCACCTGTTACGGGGAACGAAACCAAGGCTTTCTGTCGTTGCTGCAACATCCAGATGGTATCAGAAATCACCGTTCTCAAGAATCACGCAAAGGGAGCTAAACACAAAGAACGGGTAAAATGCATTGCGCCAAACCAGACATCTATACTTAAATGTCTCCAGGAAACTAATGAAAAAGAGAAATTTGAAAATGATGTGAAAAATGCTGAAACCAAGCTATGTGGCTTTTTAGCCGAGCACAATATTGCACAGACCACTTAGTACAGGTGATTAAAGGCATTCTGCTGCGACAGACAGTGAATCAGATGAGGAGATCGAGATCAGCAACTAGGTGAGCAGGCTGCTTTGTCATTTATTGGGTCAGTTTTTCCACTGCTGTGATGTTTTGTCACGTGCGTTTAACCTATGTAGAAATGAAATAAATAGGACTGCGCAAATGTGCATATTGTGTCAATGCGTGGAGGTTGGAGTGGTGCCGACACACTCTGCACGTTTATAGGCATTATATTACTGGTTTTAAAGATGTTTAATTAAACAGGGCAATATAAAACACCTTCTTTGTATATTATATTGGAGTGAGAAGTCATTTATAGAACGTTATTATCAAATTTAAAATGTACGATAATTTGTACTGAAAAACGATAATTTAGGCCTCTCTGTACGATATTGTGGGATTTTGGATCTGGCAACACTGCCGCCCAGGCTGCTATAAGATGAGAAGCTCTGGTATCAGGGAGGGACTCAGAGTAGAACTGCCATTCCTCCAGCAGCAGCTCTCTCTCACAGGTAAGAGGTATTTTAATGCCAGTAAATCCCCATTTGTGACATCACAAATGAGGTGGGTTACGAAACTACTTGTTTTAGGTACATTTACTAAAACCAAATACTTGACATAATATTAATAGAAGGATTTGTTTGTGTTTGGAATGTTTATAGAGGCAGTACAAATCCATATGGAAGCCAAAAATGATGCACAATGTCAGTTTAGTATGATATGTCCCCTTAAATAGTTGTTTAAGAACAAAACAAGTCATTTCTTTTGAAAACACACCTGTGGGTCATCAGGACTGTACACGTGTGGAAGAAGAGTCATAATAACTCGGATTGCTCCTGGATGAAGAATAATCTGATCAAATGTGAACCTGCTGTGAAACGTCAAACAACAAAGTTATTATTACATGACAATTAACTCATCAATAACCTTATTATGGCAGAGTCCAGATAAGGAATTGGTACTTAAGTAATATTCCAGGGTTTGTCCAATATGTAAATAAAAACACCCACCTGTAAAGAGTGTCTATGCTAGTAGCAGGACTACTGGGTACAGAGGTTTTGTCCTCCATGGACTGCAGGCCTGATCCTGACAGGACAAGAGACTGTCCTAGATTGCCTCCCTCATATCCCACTAGTCCGTGTAGCCTCTCTTTTCCTTCATCACACACATTGTTCTCCTCCTGTCCCAGTTTCAAAGCCTGAGGTGAGTAGGTCCCTGTAGCAAAATGATCGAGGTAGGAGAGCAGCCTTAGACATGTCCGAAGGTTGAGCGGCAAATTTGTCTGGTTTGAGGTAGAGCGACAGGTGGGAGCAGCAGAGGTTTCTGCCAACTCAACAAACTGGAAAAAGCTCATTCTAGGAGAGTTGTCCTCTGCTTTCCTGGGACAAGTCCACTCCCCTGCATCCCATTTCTCACTCGAGATGGCTTCGTTGTGGAAGCAGCCCAGCTGGAGTAGAGCATCTGCCAGCCTTTCATAAAAGCCACCAGTCTGAAAAGCGTGTGCATTAACTGAGTGAAGATGCACAGCCAGAGCCAGGATGTGAAGAGTGAGGAGGAGGAGCTCAAGCAGCTGTTGGTGTCCCAACGTCTTCCACACTTCTCCCTTTGGAGGCTCAGACAGAGCTCCTTCCATGTCCACCACCAGAGACAGCAGCCCTGTGAAGCCTCCTGCTTTCCTGAAGGCGTCCCAACTGTTGGGGCTCTCCAGGACCCTCAGCACAGACTGGTGAGACAGACGGCCAGGACAGAACGGATGTCAAAAACACACGAGACCAAGCTAATTCTGCTTCTTGATACAGATCTTGATAATCACTTAGTTTAGCCTCATAAATTGTATTTCTAGTCAATTAAAACAACGTCATGAAAAATAAATGAAACATACAGATAAATCATAAATCATTTCTGGTAACTAGTTTTTGGAGGTGAACACAATCACATTAGCTTTATTGAATTTAGATAGCTAATCCATCAGCTAGGTAATGTGTGAGACAGAACGCAGAGGGAAATGTGATTAACTGAAACTGGAGTAATCACAATGGCTCTCAACACTTGCCAGCCCAGGTCGTAGCCAATCTGATTGCCACCTGCTATAACCGCGTTAGCACAAAAAACACACGCGCGCGCACACACACGGGCTCATGCGTGCAAGGATGAGTGTAGACGCTGTCAAACCAGAAGCGCGCAACAGCACGTGCAAGCGAGCACTCTTCTCGCTGCCATCTATAAAAATGGACACATACAGTAGGTGTGTAACTCAGTTAGGCTTTAATAAGATCTCTGTCCCATTCACTGATCTGATAGAGGAGGTAATCTTCAGAGAGCCACAGCACTGAACTGTTGGCCTAATCAAATCGATCCTGAGTTAACAGCTAAACCAGTTTCAGCAAATCAATCTGCATTTGTTCATAATGTCATCAAAGTCCCACATGCTAAGAAAATAAATTCATGAGCTTATCATTCCTTAAGTGCTTTACAATTTGTTAGAGTTTACTGTAGGCGGCAAAATGCATTTACAGCTAAGCCCATGTCACCACATGCATGGGCGCCCTGGGTGTGTTTTCGATTGTTTGTGATGGTCGGTGCACACAAAGCACCTGCAAAAGGTCCTGCTTCAAGCAGAGCTCCTGCTGCGTGGAGGAGCAGAGGGCTCCGATGGCCGTTCTCATGAACTCATCCGGGTTGATTTCAGCAAGCTGCTCCAAAATCCTGAGAGTGGGAACGCGATACTGGTCGTCGTCCAAGAAGATTTTTATGTAGGGAACCATACCCAGGTCTCGCACTGACACTGGGAAATACACGCAAAGACTAAAATTAAATAGAAGAAGTAAAACAACCAGAGAAGAGCTGGAGACTTTATGCACCTGTATTCTTGATAGAACGCAAAGTGAGGGTTGACACAACTTGAAGCATCCAGGTAGTGAGAAGTCGCTCATTGTCCTCCAAACATGGGAGCTGCTGGGTGTCTGCGGAGGAAAAGAAAGAAAATTTCCAGATATAAATTGCCTAATCCCAATTTTGCTGCAATACCACTTAGACCAACAAGCACTGTGACTGCATGAGGAAACAAATGTGTTGATTTACTTGTTTGGGGGTGAATTACACCAGCCTTCCTCAGGATCTTTGCTCTCCTGCGAAGTTCCCCGAGCAGCAGCTCTAACAGTCTCCAGTCACTCAACACCTCTGCCAGCATGGCGCTGTGCACAACCATCCTGCAGAAAACCAAATAGTTGGTTTGAGATTGAAACCGTTTGTAAAAACAAAACAAAACGTTTGTTTTCTAGTAAAAAGCTGCTTTTATCAGTCATTAACTTTGATTTTAAGGTTTTAAAGGTTTATAGGAATCATACACTTGTTATTTCAGTCAATTTGCTGTGGTCAGTGTGAAAGAATCCCTTGTGAGTCGTTTTCTGTGGAAAAAAAGCTCTGGCGCTCCTGTTTCAGGAAGTAGAGATTTGTCAGAGGAGTGAGGACCGAAACCGGAAGAATTAAGATATTTTTTCCTTTCTTTTCTCATCATTATTCATGATATGTAAACTTTTGCCTCTGATTGGCTAACAGCAATGCCACTCTTCTGCTGCCTCTCTTTGCTCTTCTTTCTTGGGTAAAAAAAAACGCTAAATTGATGTTTTATTTCCACAAATAACACAAGTCTTAAGGAATTCCGCCATGATGTGGAGTCACTAATGCTAACAATTAGCTTCTATTAGCTGAGACACGCTCTGCTCTCTCCTGGCTGCTAAATCAACCGTATTCCATGTTCACGAGCCAACGTGCGTGAGTCCAAGAATATCATTTTTCAGTGCGATGTAGATCGGTGTGGCTATTTCTGACCTATTTTCTTTCGGTGTCTAATGCAGAACATAAGGGTTGAAGAAAGTTTTCATGTTCAGCCTGCATGTGAGTCTCAGAGTAAAGGTATTACTGTATACCGGTATGTTTCTCAATGAACTTCACTAAGACTTTAAAGTAAAACAATCAGGTTTATAAATGTGCTTTTCAGCTCAAAGAAGAAAACCATGACAATTGACAGTTTTTGGGACAAACTGAGCCATCAAAAAACTTGTGTACTTTTGAAATAACTGGAGAGCCAACACATTGAATTCCACGCCTGCCACTCCGTCAGCTAACGTCCCAGCCCAGCTCTTCTTCAGTACACCCAGTAGAGCTCGTAAGGTCTCATGGGGAATGTAGTTCAACCTAAACACCACCTGTAATAAACTTTACTGTTACTTCTGTTAAAAAAAGAGAAGAAATGTGATCTATCAGTGGGTGAGATTGTACCTGCTCAACCATCGAAAAAAAGATCTTTTGGACAGGTTCCGGTTTGCGCCACACACAAGAGACCAGCTGGGTCATTGGCTGGACAGTCCACTCCAAGAGGAAGTAATTAACTGGATCTTTCTGCCAGATATTTTGGAACGTTTGAAGAATTTGACAGCAGAGAAGAGAATCCTGGGACCGCTGCAAAGAGGCCTGCAGCACGCTGAAGGCAGGAAGGTTCTTCACTGTTAAACCTGGAAATAAGACAAGGTCTCTTCAGGTTTAAAGGTATACTATGCAACATTTTCATATTTTTTAATTATTTGCTTGAGCCAGAATGTGCTAAAATGACCCTTGAGTTAATGTAATGTCACTAGGACCCCCACTGCCTTCTATGCCAGAATATCGCACTTACAAGTTCAGAGTGCCAACCCGGCCTCTGTTAGACTTAGAAAAGTGGAGCTGACTTGCCAGCGCTGCAGTCTGCTTCCAGCATATTTCCTGCATGTTTTAGATCATGAACACAGCTGATTTGTTTGACTTAGTGAAGAACCGCTCCTGTAGAAACTAAGGAATGCTGAGGAGACATTTCAGCTGTTAGATAAAGGTGTTAAAATCATGTACGCACAGCGAGATGTGTTTCACTTTTGATTTCACAACACCAGGGGGTGCTAAAAGCAAGCCCAAACTACCAAGTATCCCTTTAACTTTTAAAACAAGTTTCATTAATCTAAAACTGACAACATCTGAAACAGTGCTCCTGATGTAACGGCGGATTATTTAATATTAACAGACTAAATTGTTACAGGAATCTATTAAAAAAAATCTGCTAAAATCCGCCTTTAACCGAAAGATTTCCCTCTTTGTTCCAAAACTGTTTTCTGACAAGGTCAAACACGGCCATCATAAAACATGTAAGAAATTTAAATCTTTGTAATCCTGCACATGCAGGACCTTGAGAGTAAACTGAGTTATACGTGCATCGATTGAATAAAAACAAAGATTTACACCCACGAATGCAAAACAAAGAAGCATAATCTACCATGATAGAGTTTGTTTGCCAGGCTGTCAAAATATGCTGAGGAATCTTAGATTTTAGGTTCCCAAACATACTTCTGTTTGTTGTAAAGAAAACACAAAGCTGGTTAGTAATAATGTTCATTTTCACACTTAACTGCGTTGGAATCAGATTAGCTTAGCAAAAACGATACCTGGCCCTTCTGCTGGAAACAGATCTGCTCCTTAATGTGATAGATGACTGTGTCCAAGTGTGTGTCGGAGTGTGAGTGTGTATTATGGATGCTCTATTTATGAGTGCTGGAGAGTGTGTACGTGTGTCTGTGATAGATGGCTGGATGCTGTAGGCCAGTGGTGAACGAATGTGGGACATCTTAACAGAGTTAGAGGGGGAGCTTCCACTTCATCATCTCAGACATAATCACCTCAGTTTCCAGTTAACTTGAGGGGTGTTGTGGACTGCAGAGGGACAGCGGTATGAGGACTGGGCAGTCTGGGTCTATGGGAAATCAGGGGGAGGGGGTTGGTTTAGTTTGGGTGGATTATACGAGGGCAAAAGTGCAAAGTAGGGATGAAGTGTGTGATCCCTTTGAGGAGAAATTCCCCTCCCCGAGTTCATGTTTGCTGAGCCACGCAAGTGATTCTAATTAGATGGTTTAGACTGGAGCATGTGTTTGGAAGGAATGGATCACAGTTTATCCTCGTGGTCTAATCAGAGATAATAGGGTAGAGTCAGCAAGAGAATAGCAATGAGCAAGCACTCATGAAGGCTTGGCCTACCTTTGGTGAGGGGCGGGTCAAACTTAAAGCTTGCAGGCTGCGGACTGGTGACACAGAGAGCCACTTTCAGCTCCGTTTTCCCAAGCAGGGTGAAGGATGCAATCAGGTTCAGGAGTTCCTCCACCGGCTGGAACTGGTCCAAGGGCACACCATCCTCACAGCTTTTTAATCACAGAGAGTTGAAACAAAAAAGGTAACCTGACTGTGTGGAAGAGATCAACGCGTTGCCACGCTGAGAACACGCTAAAGTCTTCCATGAGTCACCAGAGGTGTGACCAAGTCACTGCCTTGCAAGTCACAAGTAAGCCACAAGTCTTTCCAGTCAAGTTTCAAGTCAAAGACAACCAAGTCCTTAACTTTGAATTTTCAAGTCATATTCAAGTCATCTGTCAAACTTCAATTTAATGACGATGATAATAAATAAATTCCAGAAATAAAGCTTCTTGAAGCTACATTTATTTGCTCAAACAAGTAGGAAGTGCAACTGAAACTGATTCTAAACAAAGTGCTGCTGCGTTCAGCAGAACAAGATCAAACCCAGAACGAAGAATGATTCATTCATTTTGCCCATGTCGTGTCACTTTTGTGCTAAAATATCATATATGCTCAAGTTGTCATCAAGACAACAGATGCAAGTGGATTCAAGTCGCAAGTCATTGGCGTTCAGGTCCGAGTCAAGTCTTAAGTCTTTATAGATTTTATCAAGTCAAGTTAGAAGTCGTTAAAATAATGACTCGAGTCTGACTCGAGTCCACATCTCTGTGAGTCACTTTGAAGAGAATGCAATCCACAACATTCCACGCAATTACCAAAAATGTTTGCTGTAAACTTGGAAGTACGTTCACTCTCGTGATCATGACACACCGTTTCAGGATGTAGTCGAGGGCCTTGTAGCCATCGTTGGAGTCAAACTGAGTGAAGAGGTCTGGACTGAGGTGATAGGTGTCCCTTATGAAGCTAAACACAGCCACGGCCACTTCAGCTAGCAGGGATCCTGAGACGTTGGTACTGATGTGCAACAGGTTCTGGATGCAGATTCGCACACAGTTCTTGCCTGATAAGGAAAACACAAGAATTTAAACCGTGCTGTAAATTCAGGCCATTCAAAAAATAAATAAATAAAAATACAACCTCACCGAACAAACTCGGGACAGTGTTGCTTGTTGGTACAGCGGAAAGTGCTTTGAGAACACGGGAGGCCAGGTGTCTCCAGTCTGCACTGGTCTGGTCCCACAGGGAGGTTAGCCCGATGATGAGACACTGCAGCTCCTGAGTCTCCACCAGCCGCTCCACATTAGCTGGCTGGGTGCAGAGCTGAAGAAAAATCTAGAAAATGGCAGGAGAAAGAATTTCTGACTGAATTTACATTTGAGAATAGAAAAGAAAAAAATATGAGTCTATATCTTGGTCACGATGTAGGTGAAGCTGAGAGCTACATCATGGGTTTTTAGCCACACAAAGGGAACAGGGACCTTTGAACTAAACGTCATGCATAATAGAGAATTTTAATGTATTTTTAGGAAGTTGAGCTTTACAATTCATATGAATGCATTAGTGATTAAAAACAATGGCAGCTGATTCAATTTTTTTTTGTATTTTAGACTTGTGCTACTTGGAGAAATGGCCTTTGGGCGCCATATATGGTTGCACGGTTTGTGATCCCTGGCTTATATAAAACAGAAGAAATTAGTCTTAGTTACCGAAAATATCAGAATATTTCTGTCACATTACCTCAAACAGGACTCCCCAATCCAGAGGATTTTAATTTATTTATTTATTTTTACTTTTGAATAAATTTGAGTGTAGTCCTTTTATCTTCCCAGCTTTTAAATAATAGTAGATTTTTTGTTTAAGTTGCTTGACTAAGTCATTAAAAATGCAGTTTGACAGGCACAGACATAATTTTTAATATAAGGTCTCGAGTCTGTCAAAGGAAAGAAAACAGAATAAAAGAGAAATGTTAGGCCAAAAAATGTACACATGATGGAAAGTATCTGAAAGCGAGCCCTATGCAAAATAAAAATAAAAATACTTGTGCAAAATCCTGACTGAGAAAGCATCATCCCTTGTGATCATGTGCTTTAACAAATTGCTGTTTCAAAAGAACTTTGTTGGCTCAAAAATATATTCAAATAGTTGCTTTGTTGATGTTTTTGTAAAAATAAATAAGTAAAAATACTTAAACAAATTCTCATTTTTAAAGGAGTGGAACAAAAGTTTAATAAATACATTTGCAATGATCTCTAATAGTTGTACAACGATGCACCATTTCCAGGAGCTAGCGGTTACCCACATCACAGCTGATCTTCAGACAGCAGGTTTTAGAGTCACTCTACCATTGACTTCCAACATTGATGTTTTATCTCCACAAAAAACACAAGCGTGGAGGAGTTCTGCTGTGTGGTGAAGTTGCTAATGGTTAGATTCTACTAGCCGAGACGTTCTCTGATGACTTCTTGGACGCTAAACCAACAACAGTCTCCTTTGTCACGAGTCGAGATGAGTGAGTTCATGAGTGTTAAGTGACAGTGTGACGTAGATCTGTCAGGCTTTTCTACTCATAGAGTTTCACCGACTATTTTCTATCAGAAGCTAATGCAGGATATAGGTGTAGGAGACTATCTTCATGTTCAGCTTGCATTAAAAACTCAGAGTGACTGATTATAATCAGAAATAAGATTTTAAATAATGTTTTTTCAGGGATTCAACACTTTAAAGAGAACCTCACCCCCAAATCACATTTTTTTGCTGATAAACTATATAAACGAGTGTCTAGTTGTGCTGTAGACACATGTAGTCAATAATATGGCACTTTAGTGCATCCTAGTAAAATTTAAATATTGCGCCTAAAACTGTCTTCAGGTAAAAACTCTCATCAGCATCGAACGGATATAGCGCTTGTTTAGGACACTCAAAGACGCTTGCATGCACTCTCGCATTCACACACTGTAAGTGACGGTAAGCTACTTTGCAGCCACCCTGGGGCGGTCTGGCAGAGGAGAGGCTGCCATTTGGCGCCGTCGGCCCCTCTGACCAACACAGGCAAATTGGGTGAAGTGTCTTGCCCAAGGACACAACAGCAAAACACCTCTGGCGGGAGCTGGAATCAAACCCATGACCCTCCAATCATGAGGCAACCCGCTCTACCTCCTGAGCTACTGCTGCCCCTCTGCATTACATTTGAATTTAAATCTGCCATCGCTATTGGTTAAGAAGTAATCTATGATGTTAGCTGGTACCATTTGATGTCACAATGCCGTTGTGAACTTGTGTGTGTGTATTTGTTAGTGGCTCCGCCCTCTCAATCCATTAGTCAACAGCGTTTGTTGAATTTTTCAAACAGGAAGTGGGAGTGGAGTTAGACTCTGGTAGGGGGTGACTTGCTCTTTAACATAAAGTATTATACATCTTATAGAGGAAAAATCACAGGTTCGTCCTTCACACTATTTTAATTCTGCATTGACAAGAAAAAATATCTGAATTTTAAAAAGAGATTTTTGAACAGTCAGATAAAAGTACACAAATGGAAGCTGAGAGAATAAAAGAAGCCCATTTAGAATACCCTTACATTGCTTAAACAATCACATCTTGCGCCCATGAGGGAAAACATTTCCAAAATTGTTTGCACTGTTATATGACGAAAGCTGCTGCATTAAAAAGGAGATTCAGAGATTTTTAGACCTGTGTAAGAGGCTCCTGGAAAGTCTGTTCTACGGCTGCGTTTTCCTGTTCAGCTGGAAGGCACACCAGCAGGTAGAGACATTTCACTAATGCAGCAGGAAGTCCTGGATTTATGCAAGACAACACATCCTGCACACAAACAGCAATGTTGGGATTTCAGAATGTAACCAAGTTCTTGCTTTTCTTTTCTGGTCCAGACATCATTTTTGATAGTTGCTCACCAAAGGGCCAGATGTGAGAAACAAAAGCGAATTCAACAGCAGCCACCCCAAAGCTGAGTCCGTTTCCCAGCTTAAATCCTCATCCGGCCTCTTGAGGAACAGCACCACCTCCTCACGCGCCTTCTCTGAAAACGTTAAAGAAGTCTGGTGATGCTTGAGGCGCATTAGAAGGAAAGACTTATGTGTAAAACTGAAAGGCAGCAGGACTGATACAGTTTCTCCTTATTGCCTGACTAAAAATTAAACCTGAATCTTATTTATAAAAGCAGAACCATTTAATCTAGAAAGAAGGTTTGCACATGTTTCAATCTCAAGACCCATTTCCAGGGTTGATCATGAACCAGGTTCATTTACATGCACCCCCATTAACTCTCTTTTGTACCTATGTATAAATGAAATAACCAGACAGAACAAAAAAATATCATAAAACTTCAAACCAGGAATTAAAAATAAGATATTTTACAGTCTGTTGCTATCTGTTTTAACTGACAAATAAAAAATTACCCTACAAGTAAATATCTCACATGGAAGTGAACTCAAAGAAAAAGCAGAAGTAGGCAGAGGAGGTAGAAGGTCCCTCTGCCTTGAATTAACAGTATCTGCTGATCTGAGCACTAGTTAGTACCTGCGGGCCGTTCTGCCAGTCTGCTGTGGATATTATGGATGACAGAGTCAGCAGTGAGAGCTGCAAGCCCCTTTATATCTGCACTTTCAGGTCTGCCACCATCCTCACAAACCTGCAATCAGAGGAGAGCGCATCATGCAGATGGACAGAAGAAAAAACAAGTTGAGATGTTTGAGATAAATTGTGTGTTATCCTTTTTTATGCTAATTAGTTTATTCAAATGATTGTATGGCAGAACAAATCATGAAAATAAAGATTTATTTAGTCTGATTCATCTATTTAGGTTCATGGGATGGTGGTGGTAGAGGAGTTAGGTGCCTGTCTTGTAACCAGAGGGTTGTAGGATTGAGTCCCCCAGTCTGTTGCAGTTGTTGTGTCCTTGGGCAAGACGCTTACTGTAACTCACCTTGCCTGCTGGTGTTGGTTGGTGGGACCGGTGGCGCCTGTGTTCGGCAGCCCCAGGGCAGCTGTGGCTACAATGTAGCTCATTCCCACCAGTGAGTGAATGTGTGAAAGATGGGTTGTGGTGTAAAGCACCTTGGGGGGGGGGGGGGGGGGGGGTGTTGTAGAACAAGAAAATGTGCTATACAAATACAGGCAATTTATTATTATTTATTTATTATTGGCTTTCTAAATTTTAAAAATAGCCTTTTTTTAATTTTCTAATTTCATTAATTGAAAAACACAGACAGACAGACAGACAGACAGACAGACAGACAGACAGACAGACAGACAGACAGACAGACAGACAGACAGATAGATAGATAGATAGATAGATAGATAGATAGATAGATAGATAGATAGATAGATAGATAGATAGATAGATAGATAGATAGATAGATAGATAGATGTCATAATGATTTGACTGTTTAACAGTAAATGGCCTGTATTTTTAGAACACCTTCTTAGGGTGCTTCAACCCGTAAATGCTGGCTTTTACGTGACCTTCATCACCACCATCTCCTTATTCTGCCTTCGCCAGGATTCACTGATTTCCCTCTTTCCTATTCTCACTCTCTCTCTTTCTTTGCATTTTTTTATTACAATAGTCTATTTTTGCTTATTTTGAACATGGTTTGATCTTTTTTTAATCTTTTTTATATTTTAAATGACATATGTCAGACTCAAGGCCCGCGGGCCAGATGCGGCCCGCGGAGCATTTTTATGTGGCCCGCGAGATAAATATCAAAAATATATTAAAACTGGCCCGCTGGCCAATTTTACCGCAAAGACTTCAACTCCCATGATGCTTTGTGGCGTTAGCGCGGAGCCGACGCGCCCCCTCCGTTGTGTTTTTTCCAGCGCCTGCTGCAGGTGTCTGCAGCTCCGCTGTATCGGACAAACTAAACACTCCTCTCACTCAGCGCCGAGTTCACTCAGCTGTTTTCTGACGCTGAAGCACAGAAACGGAGATTCTAGCTGCTCAGTAATGTGTTCACGACTGAAAGAGAAAGTTTTCAAACTAACTTCCAGACAGAGCTGATATAACTCCAGCGAGCAGCGACACGCTCAAACCAGCACGGCTCTGTGGCTGCTGTCATGTTTCCTCCCCGACACACAACAACGTGGTCAAGCTGCTCAGACATGTTCATTAGCACAAACCTATGTGAGCACCTGTTGTCATCTAATGTTGTCATTATTATGATGAAGATGAACAAAACAACAGGAGTCTCCTCCTCAGCTCAGATCAACCTCATGATGCAGGTATCTGGCTGGAACAGGTGAGCATCACAGTAAACCAGTGCAGCAAACTGAGCTTTAAATATGTTGGTTTTGTGCTCTTTTTCTGCTCCAAAACATGAAAGTTAACAGGTGAGATGTTGCATTTTCATTTAAGATAAACTGATTTTTTTATTTTGTTGTTGGCCCGTGAGAAAAGATTTAACCTACAGTAAACAGGAAGTGGAAAGGCTGCAGATAGATAAATAGAATAGAAAATCCCTTTATTGTTCCTCAGTGGGGAAAGCTAGATGTCACAGCAGCGATGACACTTAATACAGGAGAACAAAAGGAGAATAAAAAATAAGAAAAGTGAATAAACAAGAAAACATAAATCCTGAATAGATTTTAAAAATGCTGATTATACCACAAGTAATGAATACCACTGATGCCTTTTATTTAAAACGGACTTGCTCGTGTGTAATTTGGTTATTCCACATTCAGTGTTAATGCAGAAATAAGTTTGTTTCCAAATTTAAAGGTTCAAAATTGCATATATGTTAATAAAGAAAATGTGCAAATTTGCCGTCACTTTTTCAAAAAATATTAAGTTTGGCCCTCGACTCCGTCCCAGAATTTCATTTCGGCCCCGTGTGAGTTTGAGTTTGACACCCCTGTTTTAAATGTTTTGTTTTTGTGAAACGCCTCGTGATTTTTACCTTCAGAGGCGCTATAGAAAAGATTGTTTTCTTTCTTTCTTTCTTTCTTTCTTTCTTTAGGGGGCATCAGGCAGTCTTTCACACAATCACACACACATTCACATGCTGGTGATGATGAGCTACATTGTAGCCACAGCTACCCTGGGGCACACTGATAGAGGTGAGGCCTGCTGAACACTGGTGCCACCGGTCCCCCTGACCACCACCAGCAGGCAAGGTGGGTTAAGTGTCTTGCCCAAAGACACAACAGCAGAACTCTCTGGTCGGAGCCAGGATTGATGTAAAAGAAGTCAGAAAAATAAGCATCCAAAAAGGTTATCCTATATATTTGCTGCTCTAATTAATGGTTGCGAGACTTGTTTTTTCCCCAAACACAGCCACAGAGGTGCAAACAGACCAAAGCCTGCTCCATCTGCTGCTTTAGGTCCGGTCAGCAGTGCTACTGCGTGTGCACGGCCCAATGTGCTACAGTGCATAAGAAAAGATTAGACTCTTTCCTAGAACTGTGATATAACACAGACATATTTTTCCAGTCAATGAACCTGACGCTGTGAATTTGACGACATGCCCTTCTCCACATGATCGTTCGGTGTGAATTTGCTGATATATTTTACGTGTTCAGCACCAGGAACAGCCAATGGTGGAATCAGCTAAAGGCCAAGCATCTGACTACAGCCTCACTAAAATCTTCACTCATGTGGTTTTTTGTCGTCTGGAGGCATCCACTTAACCCTTTTTTAGTTCAGTATCAGTTAGAATCCTTGTGCATTCTTAATTGACCCTTGTGTGAGCTTTAGCTTTATGAAGGATTCCCATCGATTCAGATTTATTCAGTAATGTTTATGAAAATCTGAGGAAAATAACTAATCTTGATTATTAATGTGTTATATCCATTACCCTGTTGGTGCATACCTGTAAGTAAAGAGGCAGGACTTTTAACAGCGTCTCCTCTTCTTTGTCTGCAGGATCTGTCCCGGGGTCCCGGCTGTAGTACGTATAAATCCCTAGCTCCTGTAGTGCATCTCTGAGTCTTTGCAGTAGTTCAGGGTTCCCACAGTAGCCCTCCCCCTTCTCCGTCTTCAGCTCCACCGAGGCAGTCAGCTCCCCCGAAGCACTCAGCTCTCCCGTTTCCTTATTGATCCTCTCTCCCTTCATAGCTTGGTCCTGAAGGAAAAACAAAGAAAAAGACATCTTTAGAATTCTATTTTTAGAAATCATGAGATTTCTTCATCTTTGCAGTCATGATTATTCCTGTTTCGTTGGTCTGAATCACTTCCTTAAATAAAATGATCTCAAATTAAACTCTCCTGAACACATCGGCTGCACTGAAGAATAAAAGACAAGTCATTCTGAAGCTAAACTTAATGCTTAATTTTTAGGAATTAAAATGAACATTTAACCCTTCCACTGTCTTTATGGGTGACCCTGCGAGAAAAGCTGACCATTGAGCAGGGTTGATGGTTTATCCCTTGGGTCCATGTGGCAGGGGTGAGGTGGTGCTCACTCCTCTCCCCTGCCACATGGACCCAAGGGATAAACCATCAATCCTGCTCAATGGTCAGCTTTCCTCGCAGGGTCACACCCATTAGGACAGTGGGAGGGTTAAGGCAATTAAATCCCCCTTTTTTTTAAATCTATGACCTTTTTGGCCATTTCTAATGTGAATGTTCTCAATGGTCTCCATTGTGTTCTTTTTCTGGCTTAAACTTGCATCACTGCACAGATAGCAAAGCAGTTTGCAGAGTGATTTATTATCTATGCAAGATTTTGTTATTTAGAGGTTTCACGCAAAAAAAAGGTGCCAATGCATAATTTGATTTTCTCTAAATAAAATGTCTCCACTGTAAAGTACTACAAAGTTCGGAAAGTTCTGTGGAAATGTCACATGCATGGGAAACTTTTACACTTCTCAGTTTCACAAAGTCATGAGGTGCAGAGATAAGAGGTTCTGTTCTCCTTGCTAGTTTAAAATCAGAGTTTTTATCATCACATGGACATAAATTTGATCAACTTATACTTCCGTGCACAAAACTGTGACACATTTCTGGATTATTACAAAAAACACACACGGCCAGTAAACAAAGTGTAGCTTGTTTACTGTTGTTCTGCTGCGTCCTTACCAACAGTCGCATACTGTAAAGAGAAAAATCCCAGAAACAGCGTTTATCCTCCTGCCTGTTAAATAGAAGATTCTCCGGGTCTTACCTGCTCTTGTGGGAGAACCATTCGGGACTTTCCTGAGTCTATTGGAGTGTTGTCATCTGTGATTTGTTATTCCAGGTAAGTAATGGTCTGTGCTTGTTTCCATACTTTGAGTACAAAGACATGCAGAAGCCTGCTAAGGCATGACTAACACTGCATGCTGTGCAGACCCTTTCGTAAAAAACTGCCTACTCCCACTAATCCCCAACAAGTAGACTTTGAACAAGCAGAGCAACTCGAGTCAGCTGGTTCAGGTCATGTGCTTTCTCACTTCCTTAGAAAATGCAGAAATGAAAACTGTTGCCTAGCTGGTTGGATGGGGCCCTCCCAGAACGGCAAAAGCAACGTCTGTTCTTTATTTTTACAAAGTCATGTAGCATAGCAATGATATGAACCATATGATTGACCTGAGAAATACAAAAACCACTTCCCCATGTTGGTGTTAAATGACAGGATTAGATTTACCGGTGAGACCAACGAGCGACAGCTAATAATAACCTGGATGGCGTGTAGAAATGTGACTACAGGTCATGATCAACTGGCCTGAGATGGATCAGATCAGCAACATTCTTTGAAAAGATTCAGAGTATTAAAGGTTTCTCAATTGCCTAACGTTCCAAATAAAGTAAGTAACTGACCTTTGCGAGAATCAGAACACATTCCATCTGATTTACACAGGCTATATGAGGAAATCTCTCATAGTGACACATCATAATAGTGAAACATTAGATAATGCAAGTTAACACTGCCATCTTGTGGAAATTAGTGATAGAACAAATGTAAATCATGAAAATGAATGGCTGAAGATAGAAAATAAAACTTACATTTCAGAAAGAGGTTCTGCAGTCAAACAGTTTCATTTATTAAATGTATGCAAATATTGACATAATTAAAACCTCTGACACAACTTATCATTGGAAATTGAGATGAAATTGAATAAGAGGGTTTGTAGCTGTTATGGTGGTTGCTCACTTATTTGAGAGACAAGAAACAATTTATAAAATTTGGAGAACACGAGTTATGATTTTTAACACATAGCCGTGATGAAAAACTACGATGTTACGTCAAAACATGTCCGGTCGGAAGGTTTCTACACCTGATTCGATCCTATTAATTTCAGCTAAGTAACGATCACTTTAGACTCAAATCGTGAATTAAATATCTAAAGATTTTTTAATAAAAATAAACTCCTGCATTTGAGCCGGGGGCACACATCCCAATAGCTAGAAATCTTTGTGAAAGGGGGACAGTTTTCGATGGGTAACGCATCAAAACGTAACGTCGGCAAAATAAACACACCGTGTTTAACTTTTATAAAATTCGTGTTTATTGGGTTTAAATATTACAATCGCCCTAATAAATTCAATTATGTATCACATAGATACATCTTCTTCTTCCAGCACTCGCAGAGTACAGACGCTTCTGCTTTTGCTCCCTTATCTTTTTTTCCCAAGGCTCTTTGTCCTGTCTGCCCACAGAGCGCTTCTCTGCATTTCTTCTGAAAACCCCTATTTTTTAGAATGGATTTAATCAATTGGTCATTCAACGCAATTGACAAGATTTTTTCTACGATGAGAATGGAGGAGGGGGCTCCCACTTGCCCGCAAGGGACACACGCAGCGGGATATATGCTTGATTCCTGGAGGAAGTGGAAGATCGTATGCCTCTCTCAGTTGTCCATTGAGGATGTCGAAGATGTGTGGATATTTGGCCTGATGATCACTGGATTTCTTCTGACTGGAGTGGGAGGATATCTGGTTTTCTGGAAATTTGGGAAGACGGGAGCGATTAGAGGGCGACCCGCACCCACGGAAAGCACCGTCTGTGTGGAGACCTAACAGACTGGGACGTTACACGAGGTGAATCGTAAGCTGGACAATGTTCTAGCTGCGATACTGGTATTAGTGCGCAAAATGGATGTCATCTTGGAGAAGGTCACTGGACGGTGTGGAGATGTTTAAAACCTGAATTGGCTTCACTGGAGGACTTGAATGATCAGTTACAGACTTCAAGGCAGAGGAAAATTATCTCTGCCTGACCCAAACAAAGTCTTGTTATCCGAATCTGACACCATGGCAGCCTTGTGAATGCCAACAACAAACCCCCACGAATGAATGCAGACAGATGCTGTGAAAACCCGACCTACCCCCCCCCCCCCCCCCCCCCCCGCCACCGCCTTCGGATTGGTGGACTTCAACCTGGCGAGGTCATCAACCTGCCAATGTGCTATGCGCTCCTCCCAAGATCTCCCTCCCACCTGTGGCTACAATGGCTGAGCACCATACGGCTGCTCTCGCTGGGGAAACAGGATCCCAGCCCCCCCATATGCCCCGCCTAGGCTATCTGCATGTTATTCAGGTTGAGACCACAATCGATATTTTATGTGGTTCTACAAAACCAATAACGACTTTACGACAGCCCAATTGTTGTGTAAATCGCTGTGTTTGTGGGTGTTTTTGTATCTATTAGCTGTCTAGCTTGGCTTAGAGATGACGAGGCTACGGTGGGTGCACTGTTTAGCAAAACAAAGTTGACTTTACCTCAGTGGGAGTCGCTCGTTTTATTTTAAAGGGACTTTACGGAGTTTTGAATTTTTATGCTCGCGATTGCCTCCTCAGGCCAAAAGCGTAACGGCAGCTTCAATAGTAGGCTCGTGCACGAGGCACGCATGCTGTACGTGCACACTCCCTAATTAAAATAAATAACAGCTGAGACAGTCGTGTGTGTGTGTGTGTGGGGGGGGGGGGGGGGGGGCAGAGGACAGGAGAACGTGCAGCTAATTAATTAAATAATTTGGTTCTGTACCTTTCTCTTCAGCACAGCCGACAAAGGTTTAAGATGGGTCAGTCCTCCTGCATGCTTAGATCATTCCCTTCCCTTGCTTGAAAAATTGTTCCAAAATGAAAGTTGAACCGACATCTTATTTATCTGTGAATTCAATGCCGTTCGGCGAGTCTCAAATCAAAATTTGGGCATCTTACTGTAAAAAAATATACCATTAATGTAAAAATGAAACTCTCAATAAACTATGTTCACATCCAAGATTCCGACGTCTTACTAGGTGAGCTAAAGCACCAGTGACATCCTTTGTATCTGTAACATTTATATCCTTGATAACACCTGAAACAATGTTCACAGAACGGTTCAGAGCGAAAATGGCTATTTTTTTTTTTTGCTAATTTGCAGGAAAATTAATTAGTAATTAGTAAATTAATGCTAAATTGCCTGTGATTTTTAAGCATCTTGGTTTGTTACACAAAACTTATAATGGGATATATTAAAACAGGATATTTCTGGATTTATTTTTGCAGAAATACATCTTTAAAATCAGCTGACATTTTGAGAGAGATGGCGCTTGCGCACGGTCACGCTGCGAGCTGCTCGTCCTCTTTACGCACTGATGCCTTGCATTTTATCGGTTTTTATTGGCGTTTTATTGGCTTTTATGCACTTTTCTTGTCGCTGATCCCTTTTTTGAATGGTGTGGATCCTCTGCTGACATATGATCGAGCTGCGCTGCTGAGGCTTCGTCCTTCCGTTGATGTAGCGGGCAGCGCGCGCTGGGAACCGGGCTGTGCAAGCTATGAACCTCACGGACGATGCTGCTGGTTGAACTGCCCGCGTGCTCTCTCCACCCAAGCCGTGATGTGTCGGCCCTCTGTCCGCCCCAGCTCGAGAAGGAAGCATCGGAGAAGACGAGGAAAGAGAGGTAGCCGGCGCGTGAGACGTCGGCCTGGATCCCTGAACAAGCGGCTGGCCCGATCCGGCCCAGCTTCTGACCCGATGGTTCCGAGATGTCTCCTGGATTACTCGGCGCCCTGCCCACGGAACTCGGCCGGCTCTGATGGTGTATCGGCACCGCGCCACGGCCGATCGGCTCGAAGATCACGCCAGACTGGGGTTTGCTGGGAGAATCTGCGCTCGGTTATGGGCACAGAGTTAGAGGGGACTGGGTCCGTGCGCGATCTCTGTGCTGCAGCCCCGCTGCAGACGCGGTTTGGTTTGGTCAATGCCAGGTCTGTGCTGAACAAAACTTTTATTCTTCGTGACTTTTTTATTCAGCATGACCTGGGTTTTCTCGGCATCTGTGAGTCCTGGATCCCGTTTGGCGACACAAGTTCCCTACTCGAGCTCATACCACCTGGCTGCTCGTGTTTTAATATCCCCAAGTCACGGGGCAGAGGTGGAGGGCTGGTTGTTGTTTTTAAATCCAGCTTTCCTTGTAAACAGCTTACACCCACCATGTCATTTTCTTCCTTTGAACTGTGCTTATTTGAACTGTGCATCTCCCCCCGCCTGCTCGTTGTGCTGATTTATCGGCCTCCAAAGACTGACTCTAACTTCCTCAATGATTTCTGTGATCTTGTGGCAGACTGCATCCTAAAATATGATTATGTCCTATTTTTTGGTGATTTTAACATCCATATCTGCTGTCCTGATAATGTGCTTGCTAAAGTTTTTTTTAATTTGCTAGAGTCATTCAATCTAACTCAATGGGTATCATCCCCAACTCATGCCAGGGGTCACACCCTGGACCTGGTTATCTCTTATGGTCTACCCATCATGAACATTGTGACTTTGCCTCCTGTGTTCTCTGACCACTCTCCAATACTCTGTGATGTTACGTTGCCATGTCCTGTCCCTGTGTGTGAAGCTCCAGCTACTAGGTTCAGAGCCCTGGATGCAGAAACTATTTCAAAGTTTGTGGACTGTATGTCTGTAAGGTTAGAGACCTTTAACCCAGATCCATCTAACGTTGATCACTATTCACAACACTTTGATGTGCTTTGTAATCAGGTCCTGGATGTGGTTGCCCCTCTCAAGCTTTGCAAGTCTCGGCCTAGGAGGGAGCCGTGGCTCTCTGATGTCACACGGGCTTTTAGGCGGGCGTGTAGATCCTCTGAGAGAAAGTGGAAAAAGGATGGCCTACAGGTCTCGCGTGAGTTGTTCAGAGCATCTCTGGTTGCTTATCAGGATGCAGTGAGGGCCGCCAGAATTGCCTATTTTGCAGACATCATTGAGACAAACTCCAATAATCCTAAGATTCTCTTCAAAACGCTAAACTCAGTTCTGGTGTATCAGGAGCCTAACTCCATGTCTCCTACAGCTGCTGGAAACTCTGAAGCTTTTCACAAATTCTTTGTTGATAAAGTATCAGGCATTAGAGCAGCTATTTCTGGTAACTCTATTGACCCTGTTCCAGTTCCTCCATCACCACCCACCCTGAGCTCCCTCAATACTGTTTCATACTCTGAGCTGAATAAGCTAGTTGCGAGGCAGAAGCCATCTGGCTCTCCACTTGATGTTCTACCGCCTCGTCTCTGGAAGGCTGCCTTTCCGTGCCTTGGCCCTTCACTTGGTCAGATTATCAATGGGAGCCTCAGCACAGGTGTGGTCCCAGCTGCTTTGAAAGCAGCAGTTATTCGGCCGACCCTGAAGAAACCTGGTGCTGATGTCTCTGTGATCGAGAATTACAGGCCTATCTCTACCCTGCCCTTTACATCTAAACTGCTTGAGAAAGTCGTTTATCAGCAGCTGGTCTCACATTTAGCTGACTCTGATCTGTTTGAGGTTTTCCAATCAGGGTTCAGGTCTGGCCATAGCACAGAGTCTGCTCTACTGAGGGTCCTAAATGACATCTATCTATCACTAGATCACGGAACATCTGTGCTGCTTCTGTTATTAGATCTGACAGCAGCCTTCGACACAGTTGACCACGCGATTCTACTTGATCGCTTGGAACGATGGGTTGGGATCAAAGGGTCAGCTCTGGACTGGTTTAGATCGTATCTCCAAAACAGGACATTCTGTGTTAAACTGGGTGATGTTTTTTCTTCTTGGGAGGGGCTCCGGTGGGGGGTCCCGCAGGGGTCGATCCTTGGTCCACTTTTGTTTGCCATTTATCTGCTACCTCTGGGGTCAATCTTTCGTAAACATGGCCTATCATTCCATCTGTATGCTGACGATTGCCAGATTTACTCTCCATTATGTCAGGAGAAAGGTCACTCTATTCAGCCCTTTGTCTCCTGTGTTAATGAGGTGAAGTCTTGGCTAATGTCCAACTATCTACATCTGAATGAGGGAAAGACAGAGCTCATTGTTTTTCACCCCAACAGCAGGAATGTGGATCGTTATGCTGATCTTGGCCCTCTTTCTCCATACTCAAAACCAGTTGTTACCAGTTTGGGGGTGAAACTTGATGTGGGACTTAAATTTGATGCTCACATCAATTCTGTGATCCGGTCCAGTTTCTTTCACCTGAGACGCCTTGCTAAAATCAAGCATATGCTGTGGAGAGCCCACCTGGAGCGGGTACTGCATGCCTTTGTAATTTCTCGGCTTGACTACTGCAACTCTCTCTACGCAGGGTTGTGTCAGTCAACATTGCGTCGCCTACAGGTTGTGCAGAACAGCGCTGCCAGGTTCCTGACTGGGACCAGGAAACGGGACCACATCAGTCCAGTTCCGGCCTCCCTGCACTGGCTTCCGATTTCCTATTGCTCACAATTCAAAATACTCGTCTTTGTTTATCATTTCTTCCAGGGTGGTGCTCCCCCCTATCTGGCCACACTCCTGAACAAACATTCCCCATCACGTGCTCTGCGCTCCTCTGACCAAGGCCTGCTCGCTGTCCCTCGGGCTAGGTGTCGTACCCGTGGGGACCGGGCTTTCTCAGTCCTAGCACCGTTACTCTGGAACCAGTTGCCACCCTCAGTTAGGCTGTCCCCTTATCTGCCAGTCTTTAAGAATCACCTAAAAACACACCTCCTCCGCTTGGCGTTTCCAGAACATGTTTGATTTTGGCCCTCTATTATGTTGAATCCATTCCACAGTTTTCATTGGTACACTCAATCCATCCACTCAATCCAATTGTGTTTCACACATTTGTATTTTACCGGAATGTTTCATCTATCTTGTTATTTCCATTTTGTATTTTGTTATTTGAATTTCTTTTATTGTTGATTTATTCAATATAATTACTTACAACTGTACCATGTTCAGCGCTTTGGGCTTCCTGACAGGGTTGCGGAAGGCGCTTTATAAATAAAGCTTTGATTGATTGATTGATTGATCTTTATTAATAGTGAAGCTCGAGGGTCAACATGCCTGACTTTTGTGCAGCCTACGGATGCTCGAATCGCCGCTGTGACAAATCGAGACAAAGTGGGATCACCATTCCTCCGTAACTGTTGCAAAGAAAACCTATACTTGTACATTTTTCAGTCTAATTGTTTTTATGTAAATAAAATAATTTGAACCAGCTGTTCCATTGCTGCTGCTACCTTCTATACATTGTTTGTTTGGTTTTACGAATGTTAAAAATCTTCACAAGATCAATCCATTATCCATCTATCTTATTTATTACTGTAATCCATATTATGCATTAACCTAATCTATCTTTTGATTATTTCCAAACTTTTTTAGAAAGCATTTCCAAAGAGCTTATAATTAATGAATGAAAGTCAATGAATAAGAAAACAAAAGTTAAGAAATAGTGAAAATAGAAAATAAGTTGCTGGGTGAAATTTTATTGCTGGTGGGCTGGTTCTGGCTGACGTGATTTGGGTCTTGGTTGTCTTATTTGTTGGGGTGCATATATATATATATATATATATATATATATATATATAGAGAGAGAGAGAGAGAGAGAGAGAGAGAGAGAGAGAGAGAGAGAGAGAGAGAGAGAGAGAGAGAGAGAGAGAGAGAGAGAGAGAGAGAGAGAGAGAGAGAGAGAGAGAGAGCTAATAGGCTATATACTTAAAGTTACAGTAGCTTACAATTGAATGTGTTATTTATGAAAGATTAAATGCCTTGTGGAGTGAAATAACAGGATTTTCTGGGCCAAACCCATGCTATTTCATAGACACATCTCTGGCGTTTATAACAAATCAAACCTTTTGAAAATAGAGCAAGTTGGAATTGTTTAAATAGTACAAGCACCATACACCCCAATGTCAGGAAAGGGGGCAGCTGTCTGAGGTAAGATGGCCGCCACGTTCCTACTTCGCATCCCATTGGCGAACAGCGGGGGCGAGGCAAACAACCATGACGAGCAAAAAAATAAAAAAATAATAAAAAAATCACGTGATTTGTTCATGTGACTTTTTGCAACCAATAAGCAGTCAAGGGCGTGACCTGCTTCCATCAGTTTAGCAAAATCAAATATTTCCTTTTCCTTAATCGAAAGATGACCACCCTCCTTTGTTTATATCACGAAACTGTTGCGTCTCATTCGCGGACCTGACTGCTGCGGTTCTAACGTTTTCTTTTGAAGGAAACACGAGAGGACAGTGCAGGCATTATAATGAATCTGATGCCTGTCTGCTCCGTTAGTGGAGGAGACATATTTGATTGTATACAAAGAGGAGATGTTGAACAGTGCACACTTTTCGTGCAAAATGATACAGCAATCCTAAAACACAAAGGTAAGATAGAATAAACAGCATCTTGAACTCCAAACTAGCATTTTTTTATTATCGTTATTATTATTATTGATGTGGCCTGCTTTCAAAACTTCAAGCAATTACTTCTTTCCATGTTTCTGTCAAAAGTTTTAAACCTTGTTTGCGTTTCCTGATTTTTATTTTTCAGAATAATCAGTTTATTCTGATGCCACGTGAATGATACAGTATAAACCACAAAAGTGGGAAAATAGCTGTTTGTTCCTTTCAGACCTGATGAATGTCCAGTTATGTGATTTTTGTCACCGCGCCAACAGGAAACCCAAGATTGCTCAGGCTTCTCTGTTTAATGGTCAGCACAAAGTTATACTGAGCTGTTAAATTGTGTTGGTTTGTTACAGAAACCTTGGTTCCATTTAAAGTTCAGCATCTTCAACCGTACCTGTTATATGTGCATGTCTTCATTCAGGCTGGGGTGGTTTCAGCCCGCTCCATTATGCTGCCCTCCATGGGAACCGCACCCTTGTAGACTTCTTCCTCAGCAGAGGAGCAGACCCTAACCTGACATGTGATGCAGGACAAACAGCTTTTCATTTTGCCTGCAGGTGAGCAAAAGCTGATCTTAGATTCAGGACCAACGTGTTTTAGATGCTTCTTGGCTCCAAGACACCTTATTTGAACGAATGGGAGATCAGCAGGCTTTTGCAGGATTTGAGGACCTGCTGAAGTCAGGTGCGTTAGATCAAGGGAACAACTCAAACATGTTGGACTGTGGCCCTTAAGGACTGAAGTTTGAGATCCCTGATTCTTAAGGTGACACTGTGATGAGCTTTTCAAATTTGTTTGTCTTATAGGCAAGGAAACATCTGCATCATACACGAAATGATGCAATATGGAGCAGATTTGGGCCTCAAAGACTTGCAGGGGAAAACATCCATGCATCATGCAGTTACTGGAGGCAGCATGTAAGTGGATGAAAAGGTGAATTGGTGTGTTTTTATGGAGGAGAGTTGTAATGCATGTAGTAATTTTGGTCATCTTTTCAAAGAATTGCCGTGCACTATTTGTGGGAGACAGGAATGTTTCGATTCTCAGATACGGACATGCACAAGGTGACGCCTCTTCACCTGGCTGCATCCACTGGCAACATAGACATGGTGCGATATTTGCTCAGGGACCAGGTATGATGCAGATCTTCGCTCTTTCATTTTGCAGCTCCATAAACATGTCACCATAAAGTTTAGGAATATCAAAACTGTTTAAAATCGGTTCATAATAAAATCATATTAGAAGGGCTCACTGTTATTGAATCAACATAAAATTTTAAGTATCATTTTTATTTGGTTTCATAAAAATATATATTTTCATCTTGGTAATCCAGTATATGTCCATTCTCATAAATTTGATTTAAAAAAAAGTGCTCGTTATGTCTTGGAAATGAAGAAAAAGTAAAATTTCAAGAGTTCTGACAATCTATTCGTCACTGAATATTTATTTGATCTGCAGCGATGTGCTGTGGATGCTGTTGACCAGCAGGGGGCAACATCGCTTCACATTGCAGCAGAGAGAGGTGGAGTGGAGGTGTGCTGGACTCTTCTACAGAAGGCTGGCTGCAGAATGCTTCAACAGAAAAACTACAGTGGCTTCACTCCTCTGGATCTCAGCAAACAGGGAAAAACATTCAGGTAAACTTGCCGCATCTTTAGCTGCTTCTCGAATGTCAGCAACTGAACACTTTTAGTGGTCCAGTATGCAGTGGCGTGCCCAGGCTTTCTAAGATGGGGTAGCCCAGGTGGGGCACCAGTTTATGCAGGGGTGGCACCAATAGCTATGCTTTTTTTTTTTTTTTTTTTTTTTTTTGGGCAGGGGGATAAATCCTCTCACAAAATCATTTATTCTTTTGCATTCTAGTGAATTAGTGAGCTCCACATTGTGTGACCATTTTTTTCCCTCACCTACTCTTCCAACTCCTAGCAGTTTTGAGGTGGTTATTTAGCCACTTCTTGGTTCATCACCACAATCCACTGCAGTGGAGTGGGACTGGGACTCTAATTACTATTTAAGGCAATATGAAAAAATATAAATAATAATGATAATATTGAAATGTTTTCTAAGTCCTGCTAGAAACCAATGTTAAAGGTGCTTGCAATATAAAGTCAATATTAAAGGAACTCAGTGGAGGGGGGCACCTGGGGTGGTTAATCAGATTCCAAGGGTGGCATGTGCTACTCCCAGGCCACTCCCTGGACACGCCACTGCTAGTTTGTTTCATTTTTCTCCTCCCGGAGTATGATACCGTTTTACACTGTGATGTTTTTGTTTTGTTTTTTCTAGACATCAGCAACTTACCAAACTACTGAGTCGGTACATTAATGAGCCAATACATCACAAGGCCAGAGAATCTTATGGTAGATATTTGTGTTTATTATTTATTATACATTTAAAGAAAAAACAAGATGTTATTGAACTGTAATAGCAAAATTGGAACACACTTTGTGTTTTTTCTCCTCAGTTCTATATTACTGGACGCTGTGTTTTCCATCTCTGGGTGGAGCAGCCATCCTGCTGATTGCTGCCATGTTGGGAGATTATGGGGGGCTAAGCTGTGCTTTTCTCTTCCCTTGGCTGGCCAGGAGTATTTTCTCACAGTACCACCGCATGACCACATATCAAAGGTTGGACTAAACCTCAAAGAGCAGGTTCACTGAAACATCGATTTTACTTATTTTCAAAAATGATCGATCACTCTGAATTTCACATGCAGGCTGAATGTAAAAAATGGTCTTCTGCCCTTATTTCCTGCGCTAACTGGCGATAGAAAAAAGACGGGGAAACGCTTGGGTCAGAAGAAGCCACACAGATCTACGTAGCACTGAAGACTAGCATTCACGGACTCGCCCATCTCGGCACAAGATCGCAGAAGGCTGTGTGGGTTTTTGCAGCCAGCAGAGAGCAGAGCGTGACTTGGCTAGTAGAAGCTAACTGTTAGCAATAGCAACTTCACAACATAAGCTTGTGTTATTTGTGGTGATAAAACATCGACGTTGCAGAACGAATGAAGGCATTTGTAGAGTCACATTGCTGTTAGCCAATCAGAGGAGAGATGCTTGGATATCAAGAAAAATAATGAGTAAGAATCCTGCTGTTTTCTGTCAGAATGTGACCCTCCCACACTCATCTTCCAGCTAACTTCTACTTCCTGTAACAGGAGCGCCAGAGCCATGGATGTAATTTTGGGGGGAGACGGGGGGACATGTCCCCCCCCCCCCCCCCCACACACTTTTTTACAAAGTCAAGTTTTGTCTCCTGCACTTTTTACCGTCCAAAACCAATATTAGGCTATGTTGAGCGCTAGACAAGCGGAAGACAACCGTTTGTGTTGAGGCCCGTTTCCCATTAGTCCCATTAGAAAATACTGTAAAGACCCCCCCCCCCCCCCCCCCCCCCCGCAATGCTGGTTGTGCCCTCCCCCCACTTTTAAAGTCAGAACTACGTCCATGGCCAGAGCTTTTTTCCAAAGAAAACGACTCATGAGGCGTTCATTTTTGCTACAGACCACAGCAGAGTCATAGTTTATGATAACTAAGATAACATTCACTGTTGTTGTTTGTTTTTTTTCTCCAGTTTACCCAACCCCATCTATTTAGGAACGCTCCTAGCTGGTTTTCTCCATTCCTTCCTCTGCCTCTATGGAAAAATGATGCCTAATATCCTTATAATGAGTGACATAATAACATTTCATGCAGTGAAATACATTTATTTTCCAAAATTGTGTTTGCCAACATGAGTTCTCCTTCACTTTGAGAAAGCGTGTTGCCCAACAGCGCATTGGCCCAGGTGTCACTGGTCCACTTCTCCTTACTGCTCAGTCTGTTCTATAAGGTTCTGACTCAGGACCCTGGCACGTTGGAGCGAGCAGACGCAGATTCTCGATTCTCCTGTATTGGTGACTTAGTGGAGAACAACCAGAATCCTAATAAGTTCTGTCCATACTGTGAGGTAAAATGTTTTCATAGGCTCTGATAACTTTTCTGTCTGCATGCTTCATTTAAAGGCTTATTAAAAAGTTCTTGTTTTTGTAGTTGTTTCAGCCGGACTTCACTAAACACTGCAAGCTGTGTGACGTGTGCATCAAAGACTACGACCACCACTGCCTTTTTCTCAACCGCTGCATCGGCCAAGGAAACCACAGACTCTTCCTTATCTTCATCGTCTCCATGGCAATTGCCCACCTTCTATTTGTTGCCATGGGGACGAGTTACCTGTTCAAAAAGATGTTAACTAACAGTCCCAGCTTGCCTTTGTGGCGCACGTTTTTGGGTGAGGAGTTCTGGGTTGTGGCTATGATGATTATGAATGCACTGACACTCCTTTGGGAGGTGTGGCTTTTGACAGAACAGTTTGATGCTGTCGCCACGGGAACCACCACTTATTTCAGACAGTGTGAGAGCTCAGTGCGGCAGAGGTCGTTAGGTCAACGCTGTGGGGTTGTAGCGGCGTTTGTCCTGGAGGGACGGAGATCAGTGAGCAGCAGACAAATCAGAGAGGACAAATCTACTGTAGACGTTTAGAACAGCGGTTCTGACATCTTTTACATCCAAATCAACTTTTCATTTTAGAATAATTTATGTCTGCAAAGAAAATTGGTACGAACTCTGTTTTTTTTTATTCACTAACTGATGCCATGTAACATCTGGAACATAAATGCAACATTTTGTTATATTTTAGGATTACATTTAAACGTGAAGTTGGTCAGACTGCATGGTGGTACAGCTGGTAGCACTGTTGCCTCACAGCAAGAAGGTTGCTGGTTTGAATCCTGCCTTAGCTGCCTTATGATGCAGAGTTTGCATGTTCTCCCTTTTCATGCGTGGGTCTTCTTCAGGAACTCCAGCTTCCTTCCACAGACTAAAAATATGCACATTAGGTTGATTGAAGACTAAATAGTCCCTGGGATATGTGAGTGAATGGTTGCTTGTCTACATGTGGCTCTGTGATGGACTGGCGACCTGTCCAGGGTGTGTCCCCCACTTCTCACCCGATGACCACCGGATATAGACACCAGCTCCCCGTTACCCTTGTGAGGAGGTGGTTTAGATAATGAATGGATAAAGTTTGTCATAAAGGAGGATTTTTAGCAGATTTGATAAAAGTCGTTTTCTGGGGGTCTTCTGCTAAATGTTTTGGAGGCCAAATCAGTATAGTTTTATAATTCCATCGTCGTTTTAAGAAGATTTTATCTTTAGGTTAAATCATGGTGTGATCTTGCATTTCTGGAAAGAAGGAGTATCGCCCACAGCCTTTTGTGTTAGCGTTTTAAACTAAGATTGTTTCATACTGAGGAGTGATCGCCGCTTTGGTTTTGAAGACATTCTGTTAGCGATTAGAACACATATGCTCTCAGATACAACCACATCAAATTTCAGCTCAGTATATGTAAAACTGACAGATTTGAAGCCATTGTTTGATGTAAATTCTAGGGGTTGGACTTCATCGAGTTAATTACAATTAATTCATTAGAAAAAATAACTTGTTTGCGCCCGCCCCGAACCCCACCCACCACCCCCACCTCCCAATTGGGGTCCGGAAAAGTTTAGCATCACAATTTATGCCCTAACCCTATATATGAATAAATATAATCAAGCTACATCTCTAACAAAACAGCAGAGCCTGAACTACAAGACCACATAAACCTTTTAGCATGTGTGCTCCAAACACAACTAAAACTACAATTAAACGAATAATGACTAATTGCTCTTCATGAAGAAAATAAAGAAAATAAACTTAATTGTTTACCGTTATGTTTTCTAGATGCTAGAAAGCAGGCAGGCAGTAACTTTATATACAAGCATGCACACAGCATTTATCTTGTAACCCTCAGCAGAACGTCCCCTGAACTCTACACTACACCTTTATATTAGCAGTGCTCTGCTGCCACCTAGTGTTCAGGTCTGTACACAACATTTACAAAAAGTAGGATTTCCAGCAGATTTGATAAAAGTCGTTTTCTGGATTTACACATCCCAACAAATCCCAAAATGGTTAAAGTGTTAACGTGACCTGTATTTGTATAGCGCCTTCTTAGGGTTCAAAAACCCCCCAAGGTGCTTCACAACACAGTCATTCACCCTATCATACATTCACATGCTGGTGGGGATGAGCTACGATGCAGCCACTGCTGCCCTGGGGCACACTGACAGAGGCGAGGCCTGCCATACACAGGTGCCACTGGTCCCTCCAACTACCAGCAGGCAAGGCAGGCTAAGTGTCTTGCCCAAAGACACAACAGCAGCATTCTCTGTTCGGAGCCGAGCTCAAACCTGCAAACTTCTGATTACTGGACAACCCGCTCCACGTCCTGTGCTGCTGAGTTCTCTTTATAGTGAGACCAAAGTAATCAATAGACCTTGTGGTTATAGAAATATAGTCATTAATGTGTGAGTATGCCATGTGCCTCACTAATGTAATTTAAAAAAATGTATTGCTTGGGTAAAAATTCTCTTGAACGATCAAAATGTGACCAGTCAAGATTAATTAATTACAAAGCCTCTAATCAGATTAGATTAGTTTTTCCAATCGAGTCCTGCCCCAAGTAAATTCAGTTGACTGTGGGGGTCATGTTGAACGTGGTTGACTCCCAAAAATGGTCAGTACTAGATGTAGGTGAAGTGTTTACTCTGTCAAAATGAAATAAATTAGGTCCTGTGGTTCATTAGCGTTTGCTTAACTCACACACGCAAACATTTTTCTCCAAAGGTGGGCAGGAACTGTAACGTACCAGGTAGTGAGTTATACAACGATGTTCCAACCCAAATCTGTATCACCAACTTGCGACATGACACTTTCCCTGACCTCGTTAAGGAGACATGCTCTTCCTGTTTCTTTTAATTACACACTTTCATTTTCTGCACGTCTCACTGAACCTTATTTTTAGGTTATAGATGATGTTCCCACACCAATCAGGCAGCTGTGTCTGCACTGTGAACGCTACATCCTATGATCATTTACTGTCTGCTAAGTTGCCTGTTGTATGTAAACTGATGGAGGTGTAGAACTGTGAGTCAGTGCCTCTACTGTATTTCTTGTTGTATGCCTGAGTTTTTTAATATTTACACATTTTTATGCCTAAAATGTGTTTAATCTGCAATTAATTTTGAGTTCAGGAATATGCTTTTTATTTTATTGAACCCTTACCTCACTTTAAAGCATTTTTTGTGCTGGCATGTGTATTTTTGTGAATAACTGGCTATGTTAATGCAATTTATTTAATTTTTGGGGAGGATGTGTATTTTTGAAGGAACTACTTCAAAAATAGTTAGAAAAAATCTTCAACTCCCTTTATTATAACGCAGAATTTGTTTTGTAGCGTTAATCATCTTTCTGCATTTTTTTGCGCCATTTACCTCCATGTAAATCATAATTTTATAATAAGCATAAATAGCATAATTAAAAAAAATATTGTGTTCCCAGACCAGTCACACATTCAATGTTTAGTTTTTACCATTTTCCACTAGATGGCGTATTTTCTCCATATGTAGCAGGGCAATGACTGGCACTGCATTTGAATTTAATGATTCTGCTGTATTTCTTTACCTCTGACTCCATTATAATACAAATTTTGCTAAAAAAATTGTTTGTGTGTTATTTAGAGATTCCATACAATTGTTTGCATGTGTGTGTTCTGAATTTTTGGTAATTGCGTTTTTACAGCGTGCCTTAAAAAAATAAGCCTTTACTGAAAGTAGAAAATTTGCTCATTCTCAAAATGGCATTTAGACATGTGTCACTCTGTGTGTGCTTGTGCAGGCATGCATGCATGCAGGGATCAAAGCACTTTACAAATCTTCAAAAGACAGATCTGTGATCATTATTTGGAGTGGTATGTGATGTGGCCTCATATGCCTGGGGGATTATTCCCTACCTGGGCAAGATGACGCGAGACGCCCCGGCAGAAAGGGAGCAAGGGAGGCGGGTGGTGCTGGAGCTCACCGAGGGACTGAGCAGCTGCACTGTCACCACGGACAATTTTTTCACATCACAAGCCCTTGGAGAAGAGCTGCTCCAAAATAAAATGTGTCTTGTGGGAACAGGTAGGCGCAACAAGCCAGAGCTGCCCCCACAGCTGCTGCAGATGAGAAGCAGAGCGGTTCTGTCCTACCTCTTCGCTTTCACCTCCACCACCACCACGGTGAGCTACATACCGAAGCGCAGGCTTGCATGCACGCTTTTGCAGAAAATGTGGACAGGCAGTGTGCGAGGAGCACTCATCAGTTGTGTGCTTAACCTGCAGCTGTTAGCTCACTCCCCCTGTGTTTCTCTCTCTCTCTCTCTCTCTCTCTCTCTCTCTCTCTCTCTCTCTCTCTCTCTCTCTCTCTCTCTCTCTCTCTCTCTCTCTCTCTCTCACACACACACACACACACACACTTTTTCTTTGTTAAAGTGTTCAACTGGCCATCTTTGTAAGTGCATATTTTTGTGCTCAAAGGACTTTAACAGTGCGGATTTTAGAAAATATGACATCACACAAAAACTACAAAGTGAGCAAAAAATATTTTATGCCTATTTGTGACACTCCAAGGCTGTGACAACTTACCCACAAAAAAGGTCATCTGGACATAACACACAAAAACTGATTTGATGTTTTTCATTTTTTGAACAGTTTTCAAACTTCTGGTTTTGATAATAAACCTGGCAATAAAGGGGTTACATCTGAGAAACACACATATTTTATTATATTTTGTTAAGGCTAAAGCCAAGGATGAAATTCGTGTAAAAAAATTGGGACTCATGAAATATTTTATAATATTTCTATGAGAAGCTTTGTAAGTGCATTTTTTGGACTCAAATGATTTTAACGTTAGAAAATTTAAACGTTGGGTAAGGGTTAATAAAAATCCCCTTTTTGCATTAAAAACTTCATGTTTTATTCCATCTTTAGACACAAAGAGACTGGTGACACTTTCTATTAATTTACATATAAGACCATTAATTTTAACTCGCTGACCAGGAGGAGTTTACAGTAAAACATCTGAGAGAAACTTCTTTAATATTCTCCTAAGTCACCAGTTTTCACTTCTTCATCCAGACAGCTCACTTCCTGTGTGAGAAGCCAACTGATTAGCACAACAGGAGAGCATCACAGCTGTGTTGTTGTTAGTTTTTAATAAGTAATCAGAGAAGCTGTTTGCGTTCTATGTGATGGTTTCATGGCACAGAGTTGCTCAAAACCAAGAGGATGTCTGGCCAGCACATCTGACATTATATGGCAAGTAACACTCTCATGACTGGCTCGATACTTCCTTCTTTCTATCCGAATCTGTTGGCATCAGCATTCCTCAGGCACATGTCTATGGCGACTATAATGCTTCTTTGTGAGTATCATTTGGTTGGTTTCTTGAGGGCCGTGCATAAGGTAGAAGAGAGGAATTTTAGTATTGTAATGGTTGAGGAGCTGAAAATACACCTCTGTGTGTTGTGGCTCCATAAATGGCTCCAGTCATGGTCCGCAGAAGGGTTTTGAGACATGAAACCATCCAAGACTCTTCAGATCAGTAACAAACAGAAGCAGCGACAGACAGGTAAGGCTCCGAGCTCTTTCTATTGACCTGGAAATCTAATTCTGTGGAGACTCACAGATTACAAATGTTGCACTCATCCATGTGTGCTGTCATCTGTGGCTGCTTGTAAAATCAACATCTAACATTCTCTTTCGGCTGCGTTTTGGTCTCAGTCCACACTCATAAACCTGACAATCTTCTGTTTTATCACTTCCACTAAAAACTACCTTGACCGAATCAGAACAAGAGCATCACGCGTATGAGTGCTGCGACTTTGACCAGACAGATTACAGAGTCGCAGAGAAGTGTGGCAGTCGTGCTCAGAATGTAAATCTGAATGAGTCACGTCAGACATGAAAGCAAACAAGAATGTTTTAATAATTTTCTCTAAATCTGAAAAAAAAAGTGTTAATCATCCATTTTCGGCCACTTATCCGGGGTCGGGTCGCGGGGGCAGTAGCCTAAGAAGGGAGGCCCAGAATTCTCTCTCAACAGCCACTTGGACCAGCTCCTCCGGGGAATCCTAAGGCGTTCCCTGACCAGCCATGAGACATAGTCTCCCCAGCATGTTCTGGGTCTTCCTTTAGGCCTTCTCTCGCTTGGACGTACCTAGAAAACCTCACCGGGGAGGCATCCTTACCAGATGCCCTAGCCACCTCAACTGGCTTTTCTCGGTGTGGAGGAGCAGCGGGTCTACTCCGAGCCCCTCCCGGATGACCGAGCTTCTCACCCTATCTCTAAGGGAGAGCCCAGCTGTGGAAAAAACTCATTCCGGCCGCTTGTAACGCAATCGCATTCTGTCGGTCACTACCCAAAGCTCATGACCTTAGAAAAAATTGCTAATAATTGTGAAATGTAAGAATAAGTTCTAATCAACCTTTTTGTAGTCAGCATCTTTCTTTTTTTAACTAGGGAATTTCCCCTAAGCTCCCCTGATAGATCGCTTCTGCTGATATATTATCAATATTATTTATTTACTTATTTATTTAAATAAATAAATACATACATATATATATATATATATATATATATATATATATATATATATATATATATATATATATATATATATATATATATATATATATATATGTGTGTGTGTGTGTGTGTGTGTATATATATATTTATATATATATATATATACAGTATATATATATATATATATATATATATATATATATACTGTATATACACATTTATATATATTTTATCTCTACAAAACAACCTAAATAACTCTGCCTTGTTGATCTAAATGTCGCTCTGCACTCTGGTCTGAATGCTTCCTTTAGTGATGATGTAGTGTTTAAGGTGAACCTTCCACCTTCTTGTGAAGTACCAGCTCAGTGGCCTAGTGGTAGAGTGTCTGCCCTGAGAATGGGAGATCAGGGTTTGATTCCTGGTCAGGTCATACCAAAGACTTCGGAAAAAATGGGATCCACTACCTCCCTGCTTGACATTCAGCATTAAAAGGATTGGATTGTGGGTTAAACCACCAAATGGTTCCCCAGGGGATGGGTCAAGTGCAGATAACAAATTTTGCACACACATCAGTGTGAGTGACAACTGATGGGACTTTGACTTTAACTTTAACTCCTTCATCAGAGAAATCTCCCTGCAGGTTATCTGAGGTCAGAAGTGGGTTTGGCAGATTAATCGAAAGGATTTTGTTTTTCTTTTCAAGTTTATAACATTGTAAAATAAGTACTTAAAAGGGAGTTTTACTCCTCAAAGTGACAGTAGAGTTCTGGCTTGCTTTGAAGCTGCTGTCTGGAGTTTTCCCCTTTCAGGAATTCTGAAAGATATTTCAGAAATACATAAAGGTGATTGTGATATAATGTAGGAAATACATCCATACTTTTTTTTCTTTGCTAAGCCCCACCCCCTGTCCCATAGAGCTCAATGCAGTATGAACTGATAGCTGGTCAGCGCTAACCAATAGTGTTAGACTACTGCTTATGTACAGATGGTAATCAAAGAGCGTGCTCAAATGTTTAGAAAAGTACCTGCAAGTAAATGCAGGTTGGCAACCTTCCTCTTGGGCAAGTAAGTCTTTATATTGTGAATATATGAAAACACAACATAACGTGAGCACAATAATTGTAAAACAATGTGTTTTAGCTTTGTTTACTGGCTAGAGCAGCACGTTTATGAACAAGTGATGTTGCTTTTAGTCTTGAATATGAAAATGAAAGTAGATCAAAATGTGATATGCTTGTCAGCCACTAGATGGTGCCACCAGATAAAAAAAAACAATCTAGACAGTGACTTCAACACGCTCTAGTGCCCCTTCTGCTCACTGTGCACCCATGTTTTAGCTCCTACTAGGTCAAGACAATCATTTTAAAAAGTGACAGAGTTATTTACTCTGCCTTTAAAGGGGACATGTTGTACTGCCATGTGGATCTCTGCTGCTTCTATAAGCGCCCCAAATGTGAAAAACATCTGTCCAACCATTTCCTGCCATTGTTTAGTTTTAGGAACTATGTCTCTGAAACAGCCTGTTTCATAATTTCACCATTTGTGACATCATAAACAGGGAAAGTGGAACAGAACTACCTCTCACGTACAAGAAGGAGCCGCTGCTGGAGGAGCAGCAACTCTACTCCGAGCTTCTCTCCTAAGCAGGGGATGGGTGGGCGTGGCCAGCACCAGCTTGTGTACTTAAACGGACAGAGCCCTGAAGCAGCTCATTCTGGAAGGTACTGAAACAGTCATGAATAAAGCTGCTGAAATCGCTTAATGTGAGAGGGATTTGGAATCAACTAAATATATTATAACTTAAGAAAAAGTCATAATATGTCCCCTTTGAATACACATCAACACATCATAGCTGCGTTGATGTGGTTTTTAAAAACAAGCCATTTGAACAACCTGCAGAACTTGAATATAGAGAATGTATCACGGTAAATACAGTTAATGCAATACCAGGAAATATTTAGTAGTGCCCATTAATTCATATATATCAGGGGTGTCAAACTCAAACGCACACGGGGCTGAAATGAAACTCTGGGACGGAGTCGATGGCCAAACTTAATATTTTTTGAAAAAGTGACGGCAAATTTGCACATTTTCTTTATCAACATATATGCAATTTTGAACCTTTAAATTTGGAAACAAACATATTTCTGCATTAACACTGAATGTGGAATAACCAAATGACACACGAGCAAGTCAGTTTTAAATAAAATGCATCAGTGGTATTCATTACTTGTGGTATATTCAGCATTTTTAAAATCTATTCAGGATTTATGTTTTCTTGTTTATTCATTTTTCTTATTTTTTATTCTCCTTTTTTCTCCTGTAATACGTGTCATCGCTGCTGTGACATCTAGCTTTCCCCACTGAGGAACAATAAAGGGATTTTCTATTCTATTCATCTATCTGCAGCCTTTCCACTTCCTGTTTACTGTAGGTTAAATCTTTTCTCACGGGCCAACAACAAAATAAAAATATCATTTTATCTTAAATGAAAATGCAACATCTCACCTGTTAACTTTCATGTTTTGGAGCAGAAAAAGAGCATAAAACCTAAATATTTAAAGCTCAGTTTGCTGCACTGGTTTACTGTGATGCTCACCTGTTCCAGCCAGATACCTGCATCATGGGGTTGATCTGAGCTGAGGAGGAGACTCCTGTTGTTTTGTTCATCTTCATCATAATAATGACAACATTAGATGACAACAGGTGCTCACATAGGTTTGTGCTGATGAACATGTCTGAGCAGCTTGACCACGTTATTGTGTGTCGGGGAGGAAACAACCACAGAGTCGTGCTGGTTTGAGCGTGTCGCTGCTCGCTGGAGTTATATCACCTCTGTCTGGAAGTTAGTTGGAAAACTTTCTCTTTCAGTCGTGAACACATTACTGAGCGGCTAGAATCTCCGTTTCTGGGCTTCAACGTCAGAAAACAGCAGCTGAGTGAACTCGGCGCTGAGTGAGAGGAGTGTAGTTTGTCTGAGACAGCGGAGCTGCAGACACCGGCAGCAGGCGCTGGAAAAAAACACAAAGGAGGGGGCGCGTCTTTGTGGTAAAATTGGCCAGCGGGCCAGTTTTAATATATTTTTGATATTTATCTCGCGGGCCACATAAAAATGCTCCGCGGGCCTTGAGTCTGACATATGTGATATATATTGATCTGAGGTTTTACTTCAGACACAGCAGGGACCAAAACCAAACCTCGGAACAGCTGGAGAGGTCTGCAATATTATTTAAAAAGGGTAAAAAACAGAGTAGGACATATTTATAGAAGGTGAGAAACTGATACTGAGAGTGTGCAGCAGAAAAGAAGGGAGACAGAGTCGGAGTGGGCAGGGCTTTAGGTACGTGCCGGACCAGTGGGACAGAGACGGGGAGTCAGATGAGAGCCAAGAGGGAAGGAAAAGGGGAGTGCATGCTTAAGTGCTCGTGTTCATCTGTGTGTGAGAGAATGAAATCAGAGCGCAAGTGCGAGAGCGTGATCGGGGAGAGATGCTCTGAGAAGATGATGAGTAACAGGGTGAGGCAGCAGCGAGAGGCTCAGAGTGTGTGTGAGGAGGAGTAGTAGTGTGTGAACAGAGGGATGCAGTCATGGCTCTGTGAGAGGGAGCAGCACAGCAACGGTAACCATGCTGAGCCCCAAGATAAAACAGGCGCGTCGGGGTAAGCACAATCCCTCCTCCTCATTCTCCATTTTTCCCTCTCTGACAGTCCTCTTCTCTCCTTTCTCCTTTCATTCATCATCTCTGCAGTGTCTTTACTGATGTCTTTGCAACATCATCAGTCGCTTTCATTGACAAAGGCATCAAATCAGTGTAGTAGCTCCATGCTAGAGTCAAACGTGCACACCAGTGGGCGTTACATGCAATTCACTGACTTTTGCTGCAGGATCTGAAATTTCTGAGCCCTCAGCTGTTTTTTTAATGCTCAATGAGGCTTAGGGTGATGTAATCCATCATGTCTCCTGCAGCTGATTAACTTAACTCAGAGCTAATTTGATTGTGGAGGAGATGGCGTTTAGTAAAACATGGCTGCTGGGGAGATTGCTCTGCCTCCAACAATGTTCAGCATCTTGGTTTTCGGCAGGTGACAAACTCTAAAGGGGAGGAATGCTTTAGTCCTTTAAATCTCAACAGCTGACTGTCAAACATAACTTCTGTAACGCAGGGTAAAACCCATGTGTGGCCTGAAGCTGGGGCCTGCTAAATGCACGCCTCTCACACGCCTGCTGGAAGATGAATGTGGATGCTGTAAATCAGAAGATCTGCTCGTGACACCGAAGCTATTGCGATGCAGAGCAGAAATACTTGCTGATTGTCTTTGATGCAGGAGGTTCCTAGAAAACCAGACCTCACTTCAGCGTCTGCTTTGAACCTGGGCGTATCCATGTGATTAATGCTTTGAACGTACGTGTATTGCAAAACCTTTTTCAATGAACAAAACTAACCACGGCAAAGCTAAACCCTGGCTACACTTCTGCAGCTTTCATCAGGGCGTTTGCGTCTTTTGTCCACCTGCAGCTGTTGGCTGGAGACCAGATTTACAATCAGATCATAAAGAATGATGGGAAAGAGAAGAGCATCTGCTTTCTCCTTCAGCTGAAGTGCAGAGGCCCCTTCGGTTTTCTCGCCACATCCCGTGGTTTTGCCATCCCTCATTTGCTGTGATGGCGTTCGCCTTCGATTAGATTCTCCTCTGACTTTTTTTCTACGCTGTATTGTTCAGAACAAACTAAAACAGCATCGCTGAGCTGGATCTTCTCTCTGAAGCTCCAAAGTGAAAAGCAACCAGAGGAAAATGCTGTTTGGGAAACTAGAATGTTTTAAATCTCTTCACAGATGGATAAGTGCCTTGTGATTTTTATCTTGAGAGACATTATATAAGATAGTTTCTTCTTCTTCTTCTACTTCTACTTCTACTTCTTCTACTAATTGTAATGAAAGAACTTATGAATCGAAAGATGTTTGAATTTTAATTTTAATTCCAAAATAACCTTTTATTTTTCTCAGAATTCCATCAGAAAGTTGAATCTGTGCTCTTAAGAATGTTTTTAGGGTTTTGTATGTGTTTGTTGAATCAAATCATTAGATTACGGAAATTATTTAATGATCTTTTATGACAATTTAATGCATTGAATTATTTAATTTTGTGTTATTTAATTTCTGGTACAAAATATGTTGAAAGACAGAGATAACTGAGATAACATGGTGGCGCAGTGATTAGCACTGTTGCCTCGCAGTAAGAAGGTCGCAGGTTCGAAACTCGGCTGCAGCCTTTCTGCGTGGAGTTGTGTGTTCTTCCAGTGGGTTTCCTCCGGGTACTCCGGTTTCCCCCACAGATCACAACATGCCCTATACGTTATAAATTGTAAGTCGCTTTGGATAAAAGCATCTGCCAAATAAATAAACATAACATCTCAACTATTGTGAAATAGTTTCCTGTTTTACATGGATTTAGAGGGATTTAGACAACCCCAGTTGTAGAGGGGAAATGGTCTTATTTCACTTTAATCTAATAGTTTTTGTCATTAGATTGGATCATATCTACTCTTTTAGGATTAAATCAGGATGAGAATTATTAGACTGTTTTTATCTCTACCCATGTAACATAATTTAGTTTGGGTTTTATCAGTACACAAACAATAAATAAATATTACAGAATAAATGAGTTGATAAATTCCAATTTTTGTGTCTGTGAGGGCACATAATTATCAACAATTATTCAATAAAGTTAATTAAAATATAATGTGAAGATAGAAAGATAATAGAAGATTTTGGTCATTTTTGTTCTAATTTAGCATTTTTGTCCTAAATCTGCTTTATCTTCCATTACTAAGTCCTACATAACTTTATTATAAATGTTGTTTAATGTATTTTCAATATCAAGATCAGCTCTATAATCATAATGCCTTTTTGGTTCTATCATGTCAATAATTTGGTTATTATTTAATATTAGGGTATGGGGTCAGGGTTCATACTTTTCAAATGCATTTAGCATTTGTTCACGTTATTTTATTTGTTTCTATTTATTTCAGTCGACTTTTTATCTTTTCCAATGTGGTGCACACACCTGCTGCACAACTTACCTTCATCTCATGATGTGTCTTTAAATTTGCTGTTAATTCGTGAACTCTGTGATCGTCTCGTCGTGTCTTCTTTTTTTTTATTAATTGAAGATCACAAAGTTGGTGATTGAGTGTTAATTTACAGAGACATATTGTGGCTGGGATGGATTTCTGTTGCCATAAAAATGAGCCTAGAATCCTATCGGTGTGTAAAATGGCCTTCCGGAACTTCTGCAATTAGGTTCAAATGTATTAGATTCAACAAGCTGTCAAGCACTCTTAAAGGAACTTTACGGAGTTTTGAATTTTTATGCTCGCGACTGCCCCCTCAGGCCAAAAGCGTAACGGCAACTTCAATAGTAGGCTCGTGCACGAGGCGCACATGCTGTACGTGCACACTCCTTAACAAAAATAACAGCTGAGGCAGTCCCGTGTGTGTGTGTGTGTGTGTGTGTGTGTGTGTGTGTGTGTGTGTGTGTGTGTGTGTGTGTGTGTGTGTGTGTGTGTGTGTGTGTGTGTGTGTGTGTGTGTGTGTGTGTGTGTGTGGGTGGGTGGGTGGGTGGCCCGGAGGACAGAGGACAGGAGAACGCGCAGCTAATTAATTAAATAATTTGGTTCTGAACCTTTCTCTTCAGCACAGCCGACAAAGTTTTAAGATGGGTCAGTCCTCATGCTCAGATCATTCCCTTCCCTTGCTTGAAAAATTGTTCCAAAATGAAAGTTGAACCCACATCTTTTTTATCTGTGAATTCAATGCCGTTCAGCGAGTCTCAAATAAAAATGTGGGCATATTACTGTAAAAAAATACCATTAATGTAAAAAAGAAACTCTAAATAAACTATGTTCACATCCAGAATCGAACGTGGGTCTCCTACACAAGAGCCCGATGTCTAACCAGGTGAGCTAAAGCTCCAATGATGTCTTTGGTATCTGTAATATTTATATCTTTGATGACAGCTGAAACAAAGTTCAAAGAACAGTTCAGAGCGAAAATGGCTATTTTGTTGCTAATTTGCAGGAAATATCTAGAAGAAAGTAGCTAAGGGTCCTCAGAAATGTAGCTAGATTCATCACTAGGCGTTAGGAACAGCGACAAAGTGGCACTACCTCTCTCTCTGCTGCTAAAGTTATGGATAGCAAATGCTACGGGCGATGCCTGAGCATGAACGCGCATGAAGCAGCCTGCTCGACCCAAGCAGCTCTCTTTTTCTGTGATTTTACAGAAAAACAGGCAATCACAGTAAAAATGCCAGGGCTCATTCTACAGGGCCAGGGCATTGCAGGAGAATGTATGAAGAAGACATTTATTATTTCTATACAAGTTTTGGCTGTCAAACTTCCATAATGCCCCTTTAAGAGTAAACATTTAATGTAGCACATAAGCTCTAAGAACCAAATTCTGGACTAGTGTTTTTGTGTCTCTAAAGCTATACTATGGCCTCAGACTGTCAACAAACATAATTTGATGGTGATGTACAGCATTGGAGACCGTTTTAGCTCTGGTACTGCCACAGGTTTTTGGGTGGACATCTCTGTGTCATGTTGAAAATCTAAACGTTTTTCTTTGATCACATTTTGTTGCCTTCCTGTGGATAAAGTATCATCTTAATATAGATCCAATTGTACACAGATAACGGTTTCTGATCTGACTCTTTGGCAGCAGTCATTGATGATGCAAGTCACATTTGTTTAGTGTGCAATAAAAATGTAAAATTTCAAACCCCAATAAAGATCAGTCATTTCACCTTTCTGATCGTAGTGATTCCAAACATCTCAACTGGCATTGGTGGTATAGTGGTAAGCATAGCTGCCTTCCAAGCAGTTGACCCAAGTTCAATTCCCAGTCAATGCAAAGAGACTTTTGTTGTTATGCAAATCAAGCAGTTGGTGGAGGCTTTTGCTAATCCCTTTTTAGGATAACTAAACCAATGATAGGGCGAGCGATGCAGTGATTCAGTTGGATCACCAGGTTACACTTTTAACCCTCTGGAGGCAGGCGTTGCAGATTTGCAACATTGAAACCTACCTACCTGGTTACTCCACATACTTATTTCATGAGCACTTTTTAACTCAGAAGTACCCCTGAAGGACTTAGTTGTTGGTCCTTTTATCAAAACTTATTTTGAGCCTGAGAGGGTTAACTTTGCTCATTTCTTGTTCTCAGTTATGAAATCCTGTTCCTCCTTCAGGTTTCCTGTCTCAGTAATAAAGACGTGCAAGATACGGGCATGTCTGCTATAAATATTGACCTCCCCTTGCCTGCTTCTGCTGTCAGCATGCAGCGTTTGTGCTTCGTACTCCGCTCTCCTCCCTTCTACCGTGACTCTGCAGAAGAAGGACATACAGAGCAGGGGTGAAATAAAATTCCAGGCAGAGATCTGATAAGCATCACAGCGAGGGAGGCAGGGAAAGCGGCAGAAACAAATGGAAAGACAGACTTCCATCCAACCCCTCACAGATACCTTCCCTGCTGCCCTCAGCAGAATGCAGGATGCAATTAACAGGAAAAAAATTACACGGCATTGATTCTTCCCTCTCCCACAGCCCCGTGTTTATCTTTCTCCTCAGCTCCCCAGGGGTCATTACCCTGTCACTGCTTTTGCTCTGTAGCTTTGGCACATAGATGCTAATATATAATCCATAATTGTAATCATTCTGTAGGAAGGAAAGCAGGACATGACTCAGAGCAAACCTGCTCTGTCTGCATCAGCAAAATTGTCTGTTAATAAAAGGCACTGGAAGGAACTGAGTATTGAGCTGTAAACATAAAAAAGGTGCGGCTATGTTGGATTCACTCTACACCAAAAAATGCATTCACCAATATTAGTTATGGACAATATTTCTTTGACTAAATCCCATTTATTTAATTCCACCTTCATGCATGTTTCCTTATCTCTGGACGGTGGGATCAGGTGAGCCGTTTCGTCTTGATTTATCTCAACATTTGTGTCTTCGCAGCGCGATCAAAGAGCATGGTCCTGGAAGAGTTGTCTCGACTCTCCAGGCCTTGCTCTCCTCAGGATCAAGACAAAACTCTGAAGGCAGGCTGGCTGAAAAGGCAACGGAGTATCATGAAAAACTGGCAGCTGCGTTGGTTTGTCCTGAGAGCCGAGGCTCTGTACTTCTACAAAGACCAGGATGAAAACAAAGCACAGGTGAGGCAAATCTATCGTCGTCTGGATTCACTCAAACTTCATATGATCTGAACATTTTGGATGTTAAGCTATCTATCCCACATTGTATTTAGTAGAATCTAATTATCCATTGCTCAAACAAACTTGGATTCATTTGGAGTTTTGCCCAACCTGACGCTGATAACGAGCAGCCGCTTAGTTCTGCTGTAATCGTTGACATCTGGTCTTGTTTGCTGGAGGGATCCAAAATGCAAGTGCATCCAAAACCATCAGAGGTTTAAGTAGATGAGATGTTTCCCTGAGTCATCTCTGCTTCAATCACATTTACCTCCCCGTGTTGGACAGTTGCCCAGTGTGCTGGGGTGTTTAAAACGCGCTGCACGTCCGAGTCCAGAGCCCCTGCTTGTCTGTCGGTCTGTTTCACACCTATTTTCTTCTCTCGCAGGGCTGCATTCCGCTTCAGGGTAGTCAGGTCAATGAGGTGCTGGCCAATCAGGATGAATCCGGTCGCCACCTTTTTGAAATTGTTCCAGGTGAGTTGGCATGGCGACAACTGTGTAAGGAAGTAAGAGATGCCGATGATGCTCGCTGCCGCCTAAGAGCCGGGATAAGTGAACAAATCACCAGGTTGATGTTTAAATGAAAAGAAAAAGGTTGTGGCATTTTATCGCTACTGTGCTAAATTCACCTTTTGCATCCTTATGTGCTGGCTTGTGGATGTGTACGGCCTCTATAAACACTCAAAATGTGGAAAAAACCCTTCCATCCATTTTCTGTCAGTGTTTAATTTTAAGAATTATATGCTTAAAACAAGCTGTTTCAAAGTGTCCATGTTTGTGATGTCACAAATTAGAAAAAAACCTCACACGCAAGAGAGAGATGCTGCTGATGGTGGAGCAGTGGTTCTACTCTGAGACCCTCCCAGATATTCAAGCTTCTCAGCTTTTAGCAGGCTGGGGTAGGTGGGCGTGACCAGCTCCAGCTTGTTTTCTTGAAATGACAGAGCCCTGAAATGGTGCATTCTGGAAGGTACTGAAACTGTCAAGAGTAAAATTGTTGAAATCACTTCATATGATAAGACTTTTGGTTTTCATTGACCATAGAACTTTTGTGACTAAAAAAGAAGTTATATTTCCCCTTTAAGATCTTTGCAAAGTTCAGATTTTTAATACAAGAAAATGTGTGCATTGATGTCAATTATTAATTGAACAATATTTAGACATATTTAGCATGTAGGCTTCTGTAAAAATATTTTAATGGAAAATATACAGTAAAACTAAGTTGTCTGTACTACATAAGGAAACACTTGCATCTACCCACATTTGTTTGTACTCTGAAAAACAATTCGTACTTGTTTGCATCATGCAAAAATGCTTTGTTGTCATATGTGACATGCAGTTGACATTGTAGACACAATTTATTAGTAAAATAAGGTGTAAAGAAAACAGGTCCTGAACAGAAAGCGAAAGGCAGCTGAGTGAGAAACATGGTGCAGTTGCTGCTGTCTCCAGGGGACAATTTTCTCACACATAACACACCAGCAAACAGCATGGATTCAAACATAGTGATGAACACAAGTTCCGATAGGCAGCAGCACCCAATACAAGATCCAATTTTGAACAAAACTGTTTTGGATTAATTTGGAGAAAACAATTTGAACAATACATGAGTGCAACCTTTGTTCTATCTGTCCTTCAAAGAAACGTTCCCAAAGTCATTTGAAGGGAGAGAATTCAACGTACCTCAAAGGTCTGATGAAATGAGCCAAATGTCAACCTTAAATGTCAGGCAGAGAGGTCTCATGCTGACTGCACTCAGAGGAGGCTAAAACAGAGCTGCAAGACCGTGTCTTTGTACTTTACAGGGGCGCTCGGGCTAATAAGGTTATTGGAAGTACTGATACTGGATACATGGTTACAGTTATTCTGCAATTACTGCTGCAAAGCAATTTGGGAAACTGGAATCTGTTGTACACTACTCAACGTGTTGAGACGTGTGGCTCATTTTGCTGCATTGATCCAGAGAGTAATGAAATAAGTCTGTGTCTTCAGGGGGAGCTGGAGAGAAGGATCGAACCGGCATGAGCCATGAATCATTCCTACTGATGGCCAACTCACAGAGCGACATGGAAGAATGGGTCAGAGCCATACGCAGAGCTATATGGGCTCCACTCGGCGGAGGTGTGACGCCTTAACACACACATCTACATGTATTTAAATGTTGTAAAAAAAACAAATAAAAGCCACCCTAAACCTGTATATATATATATATATATATATATATATATATATATATATATATATAGTCAGGTTTAAGCACCTAAGACACCATATAACAACACAACACAAGGAAAGAGACACAAAAGTCAGAATTCTGTTTTAAGCTCGAGGAGAATGGAATAAGGCCACACTAACCCAGTCTCCACTGAGCTGACAGTTCCTCCAAACCATTCTGGCCTTTGGAATCCGAGCACCTCTATTTATTACAAGTTGGGAGCTTCCTAGTTACATGCCTGAAGAGCTCTAAAGGGAGGAGGGAAACACAGCTCTCAGTCTTAAATTGTTACAAGTTTAAAACAAAGAGCATTCATTATTACACACAGAACTTTCAGTGTCTAATCACACGATGAGTGGCAAACAGTTGCACGAGTCAGCAATTGACAGAACAGCGGATCTCCTCAGGTCATCCTTGGGTCACATTAGGTCCGATTTTAACACCCTTAAAGTCTCATGAGGGAACTTTACAATACAGCAACTGTTTAAGCATTCAAATGGTAAAATCATTAAGCATAAAACATGGTAAATGAAACATTCTTTAATAATAATAAAAGCATAAAGCATGATAAATGAAAACATGAATAATAACGTTTACGCTTCTGAGATTGCAATCGTTGTCGCATGACTTAACAATTACACATCATCACCCCCTGCCCCCCCCCCCCCCCCCCAACACAATGGAAGAAATGTTGGTAAAATATATGTCGTTAATATCAGCTCAGTTTTTCTTATCGAACCATTACCGATATATTTAAAAAAATTACTAACATCAGCCAATATTATTATTGTGCAGCCGTAGTATGAGCCATTCATCTATGTGGTTTTACGTGATGCATATGTTTATGATGCTGCAGGTATTTTTGGTCAACACCTGGAGGAGACAATGTTGTATGAGGCTCAAAGTGGCCCTCAGCGAGCGGTCCCCGTGCTGGTTGAGCAGTGTGTGTGTTTCATTCGCCAACATGGACTCAAGGAGGAGGGCCTTTTCAGGGCGCCTGGGCAGACCAATCATGTTCGAGAACTGCAGGACTCCTTTGACCGTGGCGAGAAGCCAGTCTTTGACAGGTGAGGAATCAGGAGGGGGCGTTTTACTGTAAGTAAAGCAGCGTGAAAAGCCGTGATCTGTGAAGAATATCATCCTAAAACCTGCAGCCCTTTTCTCCTGCAGTTCCACTGACGTCCACACAGTGGCATCACTGCTAAAGCTGTACATAAGAGAGTTGCCAGAGCCCATAATCCCATTCTCCAAATACACTCAGTTTATCTCTTGTGCTCAGCCTCTTACCAAGGATAAAGAAACGGTAATTGAATTAAGCATTTCATTGATAATTTATGCTGCTCTTCTGGTAATTCATTTTTATTTGATTTCTTTTCTCAAAGGGCATCGTTGAATTAGGCAAACAGGTGAAATCTCTTCCTCAGGTCAACTACAACATCCTGAAATACATCTGCATGTAAGTAAACTGTGTCTTGTGGTTTACCATTAGAATCAGCCTTTTGTCTGACAGTGACAGGCTTTATTGTCAGTGCCTTTGTAGTTGCTGCTTTATTATAAATGATTGGCAGTATGTCAAACCAGAGAAAGCTGTTATTACACCCACATCACTGACGTCAAAGGAAGAGGCATCACTGAATGCATGATGAGCTATGTCTACACTGTGCATAGTCTCAATCTGATCCCACTCATCAGCCGCAACCATGACTCAGCTCGTCTCTTCTATGCAAGTCATTTCTAAGAGAAGCGGCAACAATTACAGATTTAAGCTCTGCTTTTCCTTCTGTTTTCTTAGGTTTCTGGATGAGGTTCAGCTGCACTCCAATGACAATAAGATGAGCGTTCAGAACTTAGCCACTGTGTTTGGACCCAACATCCTTCGCCCAAGAGTGGAGGACCCTGTTACAATGATGGAAGGTTGGAGATCATGTTAAATGTGACTGTTTAGCATTTCTGCTGTTCCTAGTAAATGCTTTTATAGCTGGGGTCAGTAGCGTGATGTCATTGATGAGAGGAGGAGGGGATTTTGAAATCTAAACAGCTACAGCTGCGGCCCCTGTTCCCCCAGCAGAAGTTACTACTAGGAGGTAGAGCGGGTTGTTCAGTAATCGGAAGGTTGCAGGTTCGATCCCGGCTCGGACAAGAGAATTCTGCTGTTGTGTCCTTGGGCAAGACACTTAATCAGCCTTGCCTACTGGTGGTGGTCGGAGGGACCAGTGGCGCCAGTGCTCGGCAGCCTCGTCTCTGTCAGTGCGCCCCAGGGCAGGTGTAGCTACATTGCAGCTCATCTCCACCAGTGTGTGAATGGGTGAATGACAGATTGTGTTGTAAAGCGCCTTGGGGGGTTGTAAAACCCTAAGAAGGCGCTATAGAAATATAGGCCATTTACCATTTACCTTTCCCTTCTGGAAGGAGCTGAAAGCCACTCCTCATACTGTCCACACAAATAGCCTGTAGCACTTACAGAAAAGTAATGTTTTCAATATGTCCCTGCTCAGACACACCTGATGCTAACTGCTGAATTATCTCCTCAGCCTTCATCGGGTTCTGCAGGAGCTGCTAATGCCTTGTTTTAATCAAATTTGCAGTGTTCAACCAGGGAAACATCTAAAACTGGCAGGGATCTGCCACTTGTGACCATTGCTAACGCCACATCAGGCTAATATAATAGTCTGATGTAATGTAGGGTTTAACGCTAAGTTTATCACTTAACTTCAATACACAAAAGGTAAATCCCTTTCCGTTCCCCTAACTCTTCTTCCACAGTTAGCTTGAAGTTTACAGACTGACACAAACTGAATGCAGGTCAAGTTAGCATTCAAGCTAGGTTGATGTCCTAAGCTGACTAAGGCGTCTGCGTCACAGTGTAGTACAGGCCGGAAACCGGGTTGCAATTTTGTTGATTGATAGCTTCAACTTGTGGATACACAACTATATTGGTCAACGCTCTAGGCTTGTGTAAATGATTTAGGCTAGGGAAGGGGCTTAAGGGAAATGTAAAAATGACCTACTTCGTATCATAACGCAGGGTCAGATAGTCAAATTTGAGCATTTTTTAAGATACTTAAGAAAAAATTGATGCGTGTGTGTTTGTCGCTGTGAACAGGAAGTTCCCAAGTGCAGCATCTCATGACCGTGCTAATCAGTGAGCACCGCAGACTTTACCCAAATGAGGAGCTCAAAACAGAAAACAAGATTCCCTCACGCCAACAAGACTTTCAAAAGGGGAAAGTGGAGTGGCTTTCACAGGAAGAAACTAACCCGCCAACTTCCACAGATGTAAGCTCTAAACCCCTGAAAGAAATCACCTCGTCTTTTGCTCCTTTGTCAGATGATCCAACTGTACAGAGCCCTGTTCTGTCTGAAGACAGTCAGATTAAAGACAAAGGCAAACTAGAAGAAAATGTGGATGGAGGAGTAGAAGGAAAAACAGAAGGAGAAATTGAAGTAGCTGTCAGCCCCAGCAAACAGTCTAAAGCCCTTCCTTCATGGAGGTGCTCCTTCAAGGGCACTGCAGCCTCTGGAGGACCAAAGGGTAAAATGGGGGGCTCGGCTGGGGACGTGTCTGCAGCTGTTGGGAGCAACTGGCTGATGAGTGGCCTGTCGTCTCTTCGAGCTCACAGACGCACCACCTCATCTGGTGAAAAAGTGAAAGACTCCTCTTTGTCACTGAAGGATTCTGCCCTTTCTCTCAAAGACCCTCCTCTTCTACACAAGGACTCGCAGAGAGACTCTGATGATGAATGCTCTCAAACTTCCCTGTCTCACAGAGGCCTTCACCACCCTCACAGACTGTCCGCCTATGACAATGTCGCACCTTCCAGCCTCAGCCTGCCTGCCGACACCTCCTCCATCTGGACGCCCTTTGAGATCTCGTTGTCGGAAACAGAGGGAAGTGGTAAGGTAACAAAATTAGAACAAGCAGCAGAAAGAACGAATACTTTAGACCCTAGAGCAAGTGGGAGTGAAGAGGATGTTACAGGAGCAAATGAAGAATCCACAAGGAAAGTAACCCAACTCAAACAGGAGCTGAAAAAACAGAGGACAAGCTATGAAACCTCCCTCCGCAAGTAAGTAGAGTTTTTCAGTTGTTTAATGGATTTGCATTGAACGTAACATGTAACCCCTTTATGTCTTCTTTGAGGTTGGAGGAGTCCTGCTTCAAATACCAGGCCCAGGTAAACCGCCTTGAAGAGGAGCTGGACCAAGAGAAGAAGAAGTTTCAAATGCTGAAGATCCGACTCAGGAACTCAGAGCGGGCACATCAAGATGCTGAAAACCGAAACCTTCTCCTCCAAAAAGAGATGGAGGAATTCTTCAAGACACTTGGAGATCTGACAACGGGAGCTCCGCGGGCCGACTAGACCAGAACAGACTGCCTTAGTCTGGTCCTGAAAGCCTTTATGAACCAATACCTCTAATGCAGTGATAAATTGCCATATTTCCCTTTTGTTCTGTGCCTCCACTGAGCAGCTTTGATGCCAAACAAGAACTCCTCTGGACCAAGAACTTCTCAGTTTGTCATTCCAGAAAATTTCCTACAAATTGGATAATTTACTTACTAAATTTCTTTCTGAAAAACCAGTAAAAGCCTTACACTCCAAGTGCTACCATCCACATGTCTGACAGTAAATAAAGAGCAAATGTTTAAAGCTTTTTCAATGTTAAAGCTTAAAGTTTATATTTATCCTGTGATTGGTCTGTTAGTGAGGCAATCTGAAACTCTAAAGCTAAAATTTGTTCATCTCACTTTCTAAAACACCACACAAGCTTTACTTTTAGTTGGTAACATTTGGCCAAACTCTGAAGAGACACCTAGCGGTGCTGAATGTTTTTATTTTATAGTATACCTGCACTTATGCTCAGAAAAAGAAGTCTTGCCAAGTCTCTTGTTTCCGTCTTATTTTTTATGAGGTGCAAGAGTGTTAAACCCCTAAAACAGGAAATTACAGCATTCATTTGAGATGTGGCAGGGAAAATGCCTGCAATATGCATTCTGGGAGTTGATACACCAAAGGACTGATTTCTGGACTGCTGAACCACAAAAAGAATAAAAGGACAATTTGGGAATTTGAGACACGGCAGCTGGGAAATACCTGTCGGGAAACATTCATATGTCGGCAATATGTACAGCTCAGTCACTGATTACACTAATGCATAGATTATACAATGTAAGAAAAGTGAAAATGCATTTTAATTGTATCTCTAAATAAAACGTATAAATAGTAGCTGCCTTAAAATAAATAACTGAAAACAATGAGAAGGTATATTATGCATTTGTTTCACGTGCTTTTTATCACATTCCTGGTATTTAAAAAATGTCTGCATGAATGTTTAAAGTAACATTAGATAGTTTGGTAATCTACATTGATATCAGTGATTGTTGAGTTAGAAATTTGGCCAGTTTCATATCTGACACCACTTCGCAGCCCTCTGCTGGCCAGACACCGCACTGGCTAGTTTAGTGGAGCCAGTAGGTGTTCCAGCCAGCAAGGGACATTTCTGCTTACTGTAGCTTTTCACTAACCAATCAGAGTGGTCATCAAAATACGTTATTTCCCCTGCTAGGCTTGTCAAAATAAAAGTTTACACTAATTGATTTTGTCACACCTATACATTTAAACACCTATACATTTAAAAATACATTTTTAGGATATTATAATGACTCCAACTTGTTCTTTCCATTTTTGATCTTTATTCTGGGTTACTGTTGGCCGTTCCACAAAAATAAACAATCAATGATGAACAAGAGTCTGCTTCTAGACCTGCAGAAAGAGAAAACCAAACAAATAAATTAAAAGGGACACACAACAATAAAACAAGAGCAAGCTATCACTGCATCAACCTGATGAGGAAATATAAAATCAACATTGTTTTACTGAACAATCACACGATAATAACTCACAGTGCATTAAGTGCCAACCACAGCCTTAAATACATGTGTTGAAAATGCCCAAGTCGATACTGTAACATGATGAAGGAGCTATTCCTCCAAGGTTATTTAACCTTTCTCCACAGATGCCTCTGACACAGTACTCGAGTGCATGAGACTGCCTCAAGGTCATGCGTTCGCTTCTAAAATTGTTTTCTTTCCAGCAAAAGAAGAATGAAGATAAAGGACTCTTTTCTTTTAATAAATCAAAGAACTCTATTTGTAGTAAAGCTAATCAAAACAAAGCGTTAGTCAATAATATAATGTTGACCGATCTGTGAAATAACGTTATGATTAGTATGCTTTAATAAGTAAATTACTTTAATTGAGTGCACTAGGCACGCTGATACACGTAATGTAAACGCATGACACATTGCTGTTACTGATCCAATCAGAACCTTTCTTTCTGAAGCGTGGCATAGTCTCTGTGGTGTTTATAAATCTGCCAACTTTGATTCGACCAGAATTCAAAACATCCAGATTAATAAAACCAGGGGGTCCCTTTTGATGCCGTGAACCACCTGTCGCTTTTTACGTGAAGACAATCCAAAGACTAGTTTGTCGTACTGCTGACGCTGTTCCACCGGCTCCTGTACCGAAAGGGGGGTCCGAGGACCTGACATTCTGGATCTGTCCAGAGGTCTCATCTCAAGGGTATGTGTGGAGCGACAAATATGGCGTCTCATGTGTTTATGAAACTCCGATCAAACTCTGATCATAGCTAGAAGCAAAACATCACAACATCATTCAGACTTGCTTCTCCGGATACGAGAGTTCTGATAAATAACATCACTCACACACACCATTCATCTCACGTCTCATTACACCAGATCCATTTGTCATTTAGAGTAGAGTTAGTCTTGTTTAAAATTGTTTAAATTGTTTAGAAATAAATTGTCTTAAACGTTTTAAAGGACTCTCTCTTCTCTTGTCTCTCAGTTAATACAAAGTGTTACAAAATCCCTGCAATAAAAAGTTCCCATCTTCTGGTTAAATAACTCAGCGGTCCGTAAGATTGATTTCATGTTCACTATGGAATCTTAATGTCTCACGGGTCCTTAATTAGATGTAAATTAACTTCTTTTACAATACTTATGAGAGCACCATGTGAGCACCTGTGTGTGTGTACCCGCGCTTGTATATGTAAGGTTTCTCTATAGCAGGGTCCAATAAAGAGTGTGAAGGGCTACAGATCGGTCCCCCAAAGACGTGTAAAATAGAGAAGGAGCTCCAAGTCCCAGAGATCCAAGAGTTGCCCCAGAGCGCAGGGACCCCAGGGAGACTGTAACCAGAAAAGCTCCAGCCCCTGCTCAAGAGGCACGGAGGATTGCCCCGGGGGTCACAACCAGCAGCTGGCAGAGCCCGAGAGATATCAGCGACAAGCCCACAGGTCCGCCCGCAGCCTCCCACCCCCAAGCTGGCCGAGCCCGGAACCCAGCGACCCGGGATCCAAGGGCGACCAGCCCCGCCGGGGACCCAACAGAGCCCAGGGACTCAGATCCCACCAGGCAGCCACCGGGATCGATCAGGTAGACGCCAAAAATCTTAAACCCCCTGACCTGGGAGCCGCGAACACTCAGGCAGACCAAGGCACCACACTCCTTTGTTACATCCCCCTCTGCAGTCTAGGAGGTTCTGAGAGGGATGTCCAAGGATTAGACTATTTCTGAAGATGGTAAACAGCAAAGCTGAATGTTATGCTTACCAGTTTTAAAACTGCACACTGATGGTGTAATTAGTATTTACTGTGTCAACGGAATAGCTATACTAAAACCAATACTTGCACAAGGTCCAAACTGGACTTATCGTTAGCTTCTAAATAACTCAAATCAGAACACCGGGGAAGAAAACTAAAACTGGAAGCTATATTACAAATGCTCAGCTCTAGTTAACTTAAGAGCATTCAAAGGAAAAACACCCATGGCAAATGGGTCAAAATGGAACCTAGTTCCTCTATAACACAGCTAAACCAAGCTCAAATAGAACAGAAAAAGTTCAAGGTCTGAAATAAAGGCCTTTAACTAAAAGGGCTCTGGTCTTCACAAAAGGGTTTAAACTTAAAGTGACTCTTTTCTTAAAAGAGTAAAACCAACAGCAAACAGAAACAATTCTCTTTAATAGAGCCAAAAGGGTAGAACCCACAAAACCCAAAGGAAAAAAGCTCTCTTCTTAAAAGAGGGACAAACAAAAGAGCCGCACAACAGGCTTCCAGCTTTAAGAGCTCTAAAAGACAAAAGCGCACTAGCACTTGGAGCTCTAAATCCACATTAGGTAATTTTAAAAAGTCTCAAAATAATCAAAGAGGCTAAAAGAATGCTGCTAGTAACTAGAATGGCAAAATAAAACTATTAGAAAGCACAACAAGTGACTAAACCTCAATGCTGCCCGCTACGAGACGTGAGAACTGGTTGACACCCAGATAACTGTAAACCTCTCCTCACGACTCCTCCGAGAACAATGAGAGTTTAGCAATATTTAACTTTATTTTGAAAAGCCACTGGCTTCTTCCTGTCTAGCTGCGGTTTCGGTGCGCTTCTCATGAGAGACAGTCCGAAGTAGAGGCCAAAAGTCTGTGTCCCATCTTGTTGATAGTCTCCCATTTCGAGTTAATTCCTTGTCTCCCGTTTCAAGTTTAATATTTGTACAAACTGTGGATAAAGCAGGAGGCGGGACTTAAACGCAGGTCTGGGTTCCGAGAGCATGGAGCGTGCTCACGTCAAACCAGCAACACAAAACGAAAGGGCAGAGTGAGCACAGATGATCAATAACTGCATTAAAAGACGGAGAACACATAGATGAGCTGAGAAAATATCTTATTTTAAAATCTCGGAGATGATGTAACATTTCAGGAGCAAAGAAGGGGGCTTTCCCATATTTGGAGGGGGCTTTCCCATTTACAAACAAAAACGCCACTTTTAGCAGCTGGCTGGTTGATATTGGTTCAAGTGGGCACTCTTTATCTGCTTCATAGCTGTTAGCTGTAATGCTAGTGGTTAGTATTTTCTGTTTGCCAATCTTCAATAACAAAACACAAGAAGAAGAAAAAGAATAAGTTTGCTTTTTCTATTGGCATCATGACAGAGCCTGGAAGTAAAAGTAAGAGAGTAATGTCTTTGGAGGTAAAGCAAATCATTAAAACTAGAGTGAACATAGGCATGTCCTACACTTGTTTAAGGGAGCTACAAGTGGCTACAAATCATGGACTGATGGTGACCTGGCTTTGTTGCTACTGGACCTTTTTGTCCAACAATGTGGATCTTTTTACTTCATGTTTTTTTTTAATATTAGTTGACTCATGTTAGCGTTAGCTCGTTGTTAGCGCTAGCTACAGCAGGCTTGTTTATGGCAGTTGTTATTCCACTTTCAATCAGTAGGGTAGAGGAGCAGGAAACTGTTACTTTAAGAGGATAGTTTAATTATATATTATCAGACAGATGTTAATAATATGACACAAATGTCCTAAAAAAGTACTTAGTTAAGGATGTTATTTTAAAAAATGGCTTTTGAAAAGAAAAAGCCTCAACTGAATGTTGCTACCGCAAAAAAGAAAACAAATCACACAATATTTGAAAAAGAATTATATTAATATATCATTACATTAAAGGCTGCTTTCTACAGGAAAAAATAGTAACACTTCAAAATAAAATTCTAGTTAGTAGATGAAAGATGCTATTATCTACTGATGGACATGACTGGTAAACATTCATTCAAAAGTCTAAAAAATTGACATAATGATCAAAAATATACCTTGCATGGTATTTCATTCATAGTATTTAACTCTGTAGCTGTTGCTAAAAATGATAAAATACACTCAAATCCTTTCCTTTCATTAGATACATCACAGTTTCACGTCAAAACATCCTCCGATTCTTTGCAGCAAAAATACAGTAATTATGATACAATTTCAAAACACAATAATTTACAGGAGAATTAAAAACAAACTGTACATTTAAATTGCAGCTCAACAAACTAAGATGAGTTCCAGTAGCTTAGATGGTTTCCCCACCAAGCACACTAGTGAGGAATGGTTGTTTTTTTAGTTATCTGCAGCAGGCCAGAGCACCAAGAGAGGTGTGGCTGTCCAAACTGCTGTCTGTTTCAGAGCCCAGAGCGGGGTCGCTGCTGGGGTCAGTGGGCTCCGTTGACATGGATGACACGTCGTTCGCTGAAGATGAGGATGAAGAGGTGGAGGACGTGTGCTGGGGAGGGCTGTCGATCACTGCTGCACCTGTGCTGAGGAAAAAACAGGTCAACGTATAGGTTTCACTGAAATCTTAGATACAAACGGGGATGGACACATGCACGGTGATGAACCGGGTCATCAGCAAAAACTGTATTAGATGCCTGCAAAAAGGTCATCTACAAAAACTGTAAAAGTGCATTGTTCTATTCAGAGTTCTTGGATTCCTGCCAGCTCCTACAAAAATCCAAAGACTTGCAAGCTATGAGATTTCATAGAATTCTGAAGAGATGACGAAAGAGACAGAGAGGATGGGTTCCCTTTAAAATTTGTTTCAATTTAAAAGTCATTCCTTAGTGCAGCCATTTCCAACCTTTTTTTTCCTTTGAGGGCCCTCTTGCCCACAGATCCCCCAACTTCTCCTGTTTTTTCGTTGATTACGTTTTATTTGTTTGTGTAGTGTCATGATCCACCAGCACCGCCTGCCGGACCGGACCCGGAACTTCAAGGTCGTTTTGTTAGATGGCCCTGGGAACGTTACATTTGAGTACCCCTGTTTATGAGTTTTGAATTAGCTGTTTCTGTATTTAACATTTTGTAAATATAATATTCACAAATACAATATTGGTAACCTCACAACCTCAGCACATGTAAAGTTGTGTGGACCCCCTGGGATCGTGTGGGGGTTCCCTTAAGGGGTCAAGGACCCCGATTGGGAAACACTTCCTTAAGGGATACAGATATTGCCGAGTTTGAATCCAGAGTTTAGACGTAAGAACATACGTTTTTGTTGAATCTTGACATTTTTTCAGCAGATTCTCAGAGGGTCTGCTATTAGTACGGCACTCAAAGTATGTACTGTAACTGACCATCAGCTATTACCATTTGGCATATGTTGATTAGCTGGGATCTTTCACCTTTTTGGGTTGGGTACAGAAAAAACTACCAAGAATGTTAAAATTGAGGAAATAAATCCACTTACAACTGTAATAAAGCGTTAATTATTTTTTTATCCTGGACCTCACTTTATTGTACATGTCTAGAATGAAGACAATCACCAAAAATATGCAGTCTGCAATAATGAAATACTGTAACAACAAAAAATAACTGCAAACCTCAGCTCAACTGTAAAGTAATGCTTGACTAAGCTGGGACAAATTGAACTGACGTGACAAAATCCTCCACCTTCCGGCACAGCTGTGTGCGTTTTGGTAGCAGAGTTAACACAACATGTCAAGGAAACGGAAAGTAAAAATGATTACATCCCCATCACCTAATTGTAAAAATATTTTTTCATACTAATTGATGAATTACAAAAGGCAACACGAGGAACATGTTGTGCATAGTGAATTTAGATTTTTTTTAAATACTTGAAATCCTTTTCATTATTTTAATCATTTCTTTTTAAATCTTTACCTCTTTTTGGGTGGTAAATGGAAAAAAATTCAGTGCTTTGGTTGGATGTAATCCATCCATCCATCCTTCCCAAGGAGTTCCCTGGCCAGGTGAGAGACGTAGTCCCTCCAGCGTGTCCTGGGTATTCCTTTAGGCTCCTCCCGGTTGGACGTGCCTGGAAAACCTCACCAGGGAGGCGTCCAGGAGCCATCCTGACCAGATGCACGAGCCACCCCAACTGACTCCTCTCAATGTGGAGGAGCAGCAGCTCTACTCTCAGCCCCTCCCAAATGACAGAGCTTCTCACCCTATCTCTAAGGGAGAGCCCAGCCACCCTGCAGGGAAAACTCATTTCGGCTGTTGTAACTGCAATCTTGTTCTTTTAGCCACTACCCAAAGCTCGTGACCATAGGTGAGGGTAGGAACGTGGAGACCGATAAATTGAGAGCTTCGCCTTCTGACTCAGCTCTCTCTTCACCATGACAGACCAGTACAACGACCGCATCTCTGCAGATGCAGCACCAATCCGCCTATCGATCTCACGCCCCAGGTTTCCCTCACTTGTGAACAAGACCCCGAGACACTTAAACTCCTCCACTTGGGGCAGGACGTCATCCCTGACCCAGAGAAGGCATTCTACCTGGTTGTAACACCGTGTTAAAGGACTCTACAAATAAAGTGGTATGGTATGGCAAATTATCATTAATGAATGATGTTCTTCACAACACCTTTTTAAGACTATGAAAGCTTTATTATCAAGAGAGTTCTGTGTGAACAGTTAAAATAAGGTAAAATCATTTATAGTCAAAAGAGTTTGATCAGTTTAAGAGCAGAGTTGCTATAAGCAAGCTTACCGGGGATACGTTCAACCAACTGCTCTTATAGCTGAGAGTTTAAGTTTGACCTGTGTATTGTATTAATACAATTGAAAGAATGTTTGTTGTGTTTATTGGAAAACATCAGGACTTTGCCTTAATGTCAACGTTTAATTTTAAAATAACATAATTTGCTCCTATTGGAATATTTGTATAAAGTTAAAATCCTAATCTCCACATAAATTTTTTGAGAGTGAGAGTCAATTCTTTACAAACTAAAAACAATAAGTTTACTTTAAGGATTTGATTCCTACTTAGCATACGCTCATGACAAATGAAAAAAGCGTAATTGATTTCCTGCAATTGACCCTTTTCACCTTCTAAACTAACCAATGTTACAAAGATAACTCACCTAGAGGAGACGGCTGGCCCCTAATCACTCCGTTCTTTGCTCGTTCCTCCCATTCACTCACTTCTTTATAGATTAGCTCTGGAAAGAACAAAAAACAAAAGGTCAAGCAAGGCTAAGGACACAGACAACTCCTTGATGAAGGTATTACCGAGTGCCAGATATATTTTCTGTTTGGCTGAGATGGATTGCATAGTGTACAGTCCAAACAGCGTCACGTTTCTAATTTAGACCGGCTGTGCTGGTGTGACCCTTCTAAAAATGAGTGGGGGTCATTTTCACCTGGCTGGAGTTAGGATGAGCTCATCAAGCTGGACGGCTGAAAGTAATATTTACTCACAGTCACAGGTCTCTTTCAGTGGAAAACACAAATTCCAGTCACTTACCTTATCCTACACAGAGTTGGTTTCATTTCTAGATGAATTTGGTTGTTTTTATTGGTTTCTTAAGCTAAGTTTTAGCTTCCATGCTTCTATTTCATTATTTAAACAAGTGAAAAAAGAGAAAATCCAACCATCAATTAATATTGTTAACGGGCTGGGATTTTATCGGAGTTTAAACTAAAAAGTTTTATGATCAATTAGCACTTAAGAGACCTATTATGACCTTATTTAAAGGTAGAATAGTTTTGGTCTATAAAAACATGTTTATGAAGTTCTTTACATTAAGTCGCTCTCACATCCCTGTGATCTCAGTAGTTTATTTTGAACATTTTCAGTATTTTTCAGAATGTTGCTAGCCACACCCACCCACCACCACCCATGATGCTATTACTTGACAAGTTCCAATATCTGGGAAGGGCTCAGACTAGAGCTGCTGCTTCTCCAGCAGCAGCTCTTTCTTGCATGTGAGAGGTGGTTCTGTGCAAATTTTTCATTTGTGACATCACAAACTGGTACTTTTTGAAACAGCTCGTTTTAAGCACATGATTTCTAAAACCAAACACCTACAGAAAATGGATGGATGCAGATTAGTGGCAGTAGAGACCCATTGTAATTCATTGTACCTAGGGATGGGTACCGAATTCGGTACTTTTTAAGGTACCGACCAAATTCCACAGTACTGACCGAGCACCGATTCACTTCATTTGAAACTGTGCCTCGTTTCGGTACCCGTCCATCACAACAAGAACTTGCCTAGACAGCTGCGCATGCGCAAGAGCGTTATGTCATCGGTCGCTGCGAGTTGTAAACAGAGCAGCATGGGTAGAAAGAATGCAGGCTAAAGCTTGGGTCCACTTCACTAAATGTGATGGGTAACTGGGTGATGATGAAACCAGCGACAACGATCTAAGTGAGACATCCTCATCTTAATCTGCTCCGGTAGGTAAATAAAATGTAAGATAACATTAGCTTGAAATGTTAGCTTCCATTTCACTAATGGTGCGTTCGCTTTCTCCTCGGAACTCTGAAATTCCGACTAGAAGAACATGAACGCGCACTAAAGTTTGGCTTCACTTTACTAAATGCGACGGGTGATTGGGTGAAGACGAAACCAGTGACAACAATCTAAGTGTGAGGCATCATCGTTTTAATCTGCTCCAGCAGCTAAATAAACTGTTTAAGATAACATTAGCTTAATATGTTAGCTTCCATTGCCACCGTTATCAGCTAATGGTGCGTTCACTTTCTCCTCGGAAATTCTAACTTCCCAGTGGGAAAAATCAAATGAAAAAGGACGGCAAAAGGAATGAAGATACACAGTAAATTTAGTTCACAGTAAAGATGTTTGCTTCAGTTTAATTATCAGCTTATAAAACTACAAGGGTGATGTTAAAATGCAAATAGTTGTATGTTATTTATCGTGATATTTATCAAATATGGTTATAAATTGAGAAAAATATATATCTAATTATAAAAGAGAATTAAAATATTAAACACTCAAAAGTATCGAAAATTGGTACCGTTAAGTACCGGTATCGGTTCGTAGGTACCGGGAATTAGTACCGGATCGATTCAAATGTCAAAGGTACTCATCCCTACTTGTACCTCAAAAGTTTGCAAAAGGTGAGTTTATGTTGCTTTTAAAGTATTATATTCAGTTAATTAAGGCCTTTTGTGTATGCCGCTTTTAGTTCAGTGGTAAATCTGTTATAACTGTACATAAAATGAAAACTACAAATTCATTAAGATTAGTCCAGTGGGTCATGAGATAATTTGCTAACAGACAGGGTTGACCCTGGGTTATCTGGCTTTTTTAGTCTATAAACATTCTATTAAATCTCAAATTTCTCTAGCTGAAGTTATTTTTTTCTTTTTGACATTGAGGATTAGTAATTAACATTTAAACCAATAATAACAGATTGATGGGCGAGAGTGGTGAAGATGAGCATGCTGTCTAACCTTTCCACTCCTCCACTGTATGCTCTCTCTCATCCAGCTGTTTGTCTAGGGTCTTTGGAGGAGGCTGAGAAAACAAAAAGACTTGAATGAACCCTGGAATTGCAAAATTTAGATCAATGTAAGAGTAATGTAAAAAGACTACTGAGCATGATGCTTTCCAGGATTCAGCACAAGCAATCTACTTACTGCTTCCACTTCAGCTGGATCATACCAGACATTAATGTAAGGGTGCTGCAGGGCTTCATCTACAGAGATACGCTTGGATGCATCAATGACCAACATCTTAGATAAAAGATCTCTGGCTTGGCTCGCTAAGAGAAAACACAAGCAGAAAATGTCCAGCATTATTAATCCTAACAACAGACATGATAAATAAAGGCTCAGGTTTATTAGATACCTTTCAGTTTGTTGTGATCGGAGTCAGCAGGGAAGAGAGCGTCTGGGAAGAGTTTCTCAAAGCTGTAGCCGGCGTACCGAGGCCTGTTCTCCACATATGTTCTCACCGACTGATTCAGCTTCATTAGAAAGTCCTGAGATGGAGTGCCTAGCTGCTCAATTACCTTGTTCCACTGGTCGATGTCTGAGAGGGAAACGTTGAGGAGAAAAAGGGCCTTACACAAACACACACAGACACACACACATATGTAACTCCATACACACAAACACATGTATATATATATCATCCACTGCAGATTTCCCAAACGGCTTGTGTTCAGAGAAATAACTTCCAAAGGACTAATGAGCAAATGGTTCGCCTGTCTACAGTGAACAACATAGTAATTATTTTTAACTCTAACAGAAGAATACCACTTTAAAATATCCTATAAATCATTTAAAGGCTTGATAATGAACAAAAGTTGTGAGTGCATTTTAATCCTTTAATTTTTAGAAATAGAAAAGCACAATTTTCTTTCTACTTTGCTGTTATCACATCTTCTAGTTTCACATAATTTTGAAATTCACTTAAAGGTGCAATATGTAGAAATTAAATAAATGACATCCTGTGGTAAGATTTATTTACTGCAGTCACTCACAGTGAGTTGATAAGTAGATAAATACATTCTCATATCTGGTGCTAGCACCCTTGGGTGTTTTGCAGTAGGGAGCACTTTCTACACTTATTACGGTAATATGACTCTAGCATAGAGGAAGTGTTGTTTTTACCATCTGGCTGTTAACTTTCTGTTGTTGCTTTGAACAACTCATTAAAGAAAGTTTAATGCCACCATTGTTCACTTCAAACACACATTTCACTGTAATATCTAGTTCTTGGTAATTGATAAATAGCTAGCGATATTTTTAGAGCTGGCTATGTGCTTCTAATTCACTGTTTGCATTGTTAGCCTCTTAGAGTTAGAGTAAAACAAAAATATACCGTGGCTTTTTGGTACAAGAAATAACTTTTGGGTTGCTCTTGTTACTGTTTTCAGGTCTTTAAACAACTCTGGGTTTTTATTTATTTATTTATTTATTTATTGCCAGCCATAGTTGAATTACAAATGCAGGCACTGGATCATTAGCTCCCAGGAGACACAGCAATCACTGATGGTAAACAAGCTACGTCCCTCCTTCCTTTATTTTGAAAGAAGAAAATGACAGCCCCTGCATCCAGCTGAAAACGACAAATGTTTCAGTTTAACCTCCCTTCCAGTTTGATTAAGACATTAGGCAGTTTGAGATTATTTCTTTGTAGAATTTGTACTTTTTTGTTTTACATATTGCACCTTAAAATGTTATAGATATTCTTATAAAGAATTTTAAATATAAAATATGTGCTGCCTTAACGAGTGAATTTCCCCACTGTGGAATTAATAAAGTCTATTTTATTCTATTCTAACAGTTTTGTATTTTTGCCTTATTTTTCATTGTCCAATCTTTATCCATAATTTAATTTACTATATACAGAAACACTGAAAATTCAAAATGGCTTTTGGATACAATCATTCGACAAAAACCATCGTTAATCTCAACAACTATAGCATTGTTTATCATTTAATCTTGCTTGAATTTTTCTCAGGTGGTTGCAGGAGGGCAAGCATGGAGAATGTGACGGGGTGGGGCAGCAGAACATCTCAGGGTGATGGTAGATTTCCTCTTTATGAAAAAAGATGACATGCTGATCAATGAGGGGAAGGATACGATCAGTGCCAGGGAACAAAACACTTCCCCTGATCATCTCAGCCACTATGCAGCCCACTGACCACACATCCACTTGAGTTGGACGTTACAAGACAGAGGGGTGGATATGCAAAAAAAGGTGAAAAGAGAGATGGGGAGAGAAAAGAGTAAAAACAGATGAACACAAACAGAATGAAAAAAGGTGTGATAATGAAAGTGAAGCTCATGCAGTGGCTTGCATTAGGGAGACAGACTAATGAGTGGAAACTGCTTTCCCATGCATCCTGGAATCAAAATATGCTGAAAAGCCTCCGAAAATTTTGACAGATTCACCAAAACCTTTTAATGGTTAACAGAGGACGCATTTCAGAGACAGAAGGATACAGTCCCGTCCTGGGAAGAGGATTTTATGACGAACCATTTCTGCCAGAATGCAGCCCACAGACCAAATGTCCACTATTGAAGTGGAACGCAATAAAAAGACAACCAGTAAAGTAACAGGAATGCAAAACAGCAGGTTAGTTACACGTGAGAGGCTTATTAGTGAGCATTTACTGTTATAAACAACTAGAAACGGAGACATGCAGCTATCGGAATGTTTAAGAGATTAATCTTTAGCTGCTTGAATACAAATATTAAAATATATGATTAATAATCAGAATTTTTTAAGTACAGCGTAATGCGATAGATGTATAAGGATGATCACTCACCGTTGGCTTGGTAGCCCATTCCCAGGATCACTTCTGGAGCTCTGTAGTAACGTGTAACCACATATGGTGTCATCAGGAGGCCTGTGGCAGCCGTTCGAGCCAACCCAAAGTCCAAAATCTTTAGTGTACAGTCAGACTTGACAACTATATTACTGGGTTTGAGGTCCTATAGAAACGGGATTAAGACAACAAATTTTATTTCCTTTGGTAAAAAGGAGGAAATGCCTTTGACATTCAATTAAAAAAAACAGTCAATGAAAAATGTCACATATAGCAGGACTATAGTAAAATATAAATCATGATGCAACATAATCTGGGGAAGTTCTAGACCAAGAGTATTCAATTCCAGGGCTGCGAGGCTCCCCAGCCACTTGGGCCAGCTCCTCCGGGGGAATCCCAAAGCAGTCCCTGGCCAGGTGAGAGACATAGTCCCTCCACCGTGTTCTGGGTCTACCTTTAGGTCTCCTCCCGGTTGGACGTGCCCGGAAAACCTCACCAGAGAGCCGTCCAGGAGGCATCCTGACCAGATGCCCGAGCCACCTCAACTGGCTCCTCTCCATGTGGAGGAGCAGCGGGTCTACTCCGAGCCCCTCCCGAATGACTGAGCTTCTCACCCTATCTCAAAGGGAGAGCCCAGCCACTCTTCGGAGAAAACTCATTTCGGCCGCTTGTATCCGTGATCTCGTTCTTTCGGTCCCTACCCAAAACTCAGGACCATAGGTGAGGGTAGGAACGTAGATCGACCGGTAAATCGAGAGCTTCGCCTTCTGACTCAGCTCTTTCTTCACCACGATAGACCGGTACAACGCCGTTATCACTGCAGATGCAGCACCTATCCGCCTATCGATCTCACGCTCCAGTTTTCCCTCACTTGTGAACAAGACCCCGAGATACTTAAAACTCCTCCACTTGAGGCAGGACCTCGTCCCTGACCCGGAGAAGGCATTCTACCCTTTTCCGAATCAAGACCATGGTCTCAGATTGAGAGGAGCTGATTCTCATCCCAGCTGCTTCACACTCGGCTGCGAACCGCTCCAGCGAAAGCTGAAGATCACGTTCTGATGAAGCCAACAGGACCACATCATCTGCAAAAAGCAGAGTCCTGATCCTCAGGCCACCAAAACGGATGCCCTCCACACCTTGGCTGCACCTAGAAATCCTGTCTATAAAGGTTATTAACAGAATCGGTGACAAAGGGCAGCCTTAGCGGAGTCCAACTCTCACTGGGAACGAGCCCGACTTACTGCCAGCAATGCGGACCAAGCTCTGACACCGGTCATACAGGGACCTAACAGTCCGTGTCAGAGGGCCTGGTACCCCATACTCCCGGAGTACCCCCCACAGGGCCCCCCGAGGGACGCGGTCAAACGCCTTCTCCAAATCCACAAAACACATGTAGACTGGTTGGGCAAATTCCCGCGCACCCTCCAGGATCCCCCTAAGGGTACAAAGCTGGTCCAGTGTTCCACGGCCAGGACGAAAACCACATTGCTCCTCCTGAATCTGAGGTTCAACAATCCGACGGACCCTCCTCTCCAGAACCCCTGAATAGACCTTACCAGGAAGGCTCAGGAGTGTGATCCCCCTGTAGTTGGAACACACCCTGCAGTCCCCCTTTTTAAATAAGGGGACCACCACCCCGGTCTGCCAGTCCAGTGGGACTGCCCACGATGTCCATGTGATATTGCAGAGCCGCGTCAGCCAACACAGCCCCACAACATCCAGAGACTTAAGGAACTCTGGGCGGATCTCATCTACCCCTGGAGCCTTGCCACAGCAGAGCTTTTTAACCACCTCAGTGACCTCAGCACCAGAGATTTGAGAGGCCAACCCAAAGTCCCCAGACTGCTTCCTCACTGGAAGACGTGTTGGTGGAATTGAGGAGGTCTTCGAAGTCTACTGCCCACCGATCCACAATGTCCTGAGTAGAGGTCAGCAGCACACCGTCCCCACTATAGATAGTGTTGGTAGTGCACCCCCCCCCCCCCCCCCCCCCCCCCCCCCCGAGGCGTCGGATAGTGGACCAGAATCTCCTCGAAGCCATACGAAAGTCTTGCTCCATGGTCTCACCAAACTCCTCCCATGCCCAGGTTTTTGCCTTGGCGACCACCCGAGCTGCATTCCGCTTGGACTGCCGGTACCCGTCAGCTGCCTCTGGAGTCCCACAGGCCAAAAAGGCCTGATAGGACTCTTTCTTCAGCTTGACAGCATCCCTAACCGCCAGTGTCCACCAGCGGGTTCGGGGGTTGCCACCACAACAGGCACCGACAATCCTGCGACCACAGCTCCGGTCGGCTGCCTCAACAATGGAGGCGCGGAACAGGGTCCATTCAGACTCAATGTCCCCCGCCTCCCCTGGAACATTTTGGAAGTTCTGTCGGAGGTAGGAATTGAAGCTCCTTCTGATAGGAGACTGCCAAACGTTCCCAGCAGACCCTCGCGATACGTTTGGGCCTGCCTGGTCTGACCGGCATCCTCTCCCACCATCTGAGCCAACTCACCACCAGGTAGTGGTCAGTTCACAGCTCTGCCCCTCTCTTCACCTGAGTGTCCAAGATATGCGGCCGCAGGTCAGATGAAACAACAACAAAGTCGATCATCGATATATATATATTTATATATACATATATACATATACATCCAGAGGTGCAGAGGAGATCGTATTTGTCGGTTATGGACTTCTGTGGAATGACTTGCCGCTTGGGGCAGCAGTAGCTCAGGAGGTAGAGTGGGTTATCCTGTAATTGGAAGGTTTGATCCCGGATCTGACCAGAAAATGCTGCTTTTGTGTCCTTGGGCAAGACACTTAACCCGCCTTGCTTGCTGGTGGTGGTCGGAGGGATCGATGGCGCAAGTGCTTGGCAACCTCACCTCTGTCAGTGCACACCAGGGCAGCTTTGGCTAAGTCGTGGCTCATTACCACCAGTGTATGAATGTCTGAGTGAGTTGCGAAGCGCCTTGGGGGGTTGGAGAACCCTAACAAGGTTCTATACAAATACATAGTTTTACCATTTTACCATTTGCCATGTCACTATCGCTGCAGGTTTTTAACTCGCCTGAATAGTCACTTTTATTGTTTAGCTTTTATGTAATTTTATTTTTTTAGACTTTTTTATTTGGCTTATTTATTAGTTCTTTTATGTCTTTACAGTATGTTTAAGTTCAGCATGTTGGGCTCCTGCAAAGACAATGGAGAGCGCTATACAAGTATGATTGATTGATTGATTGATTGATTGATTGAATCTATCTAGGGGTTAAAATAAAAGTTTCCTTAAGCCTTGAAAGTGCGGAACCATAAATAGTATCACACAGTAGAGTCAACATAATAAACCTGAAAACAGTAAAAATGTACAATAAAAGAAACAATAAGTAAATGCAATGAAATATGTTACATTCAGATATTTACTGCATGAAAAGATAAAGAATATTAATGCGTTTCAAATCTCGACTTTAAACTTGCGGCAGTAGGTGCCTGCCTGATGTTCAAAGGCAAAGAATTCTGGGGTTGAACCAATAAAAGAAAACGTATGATGTCTCAGAGATTTTAGTTACCGAAGGAACAATTAGTAGATTTTGGTCAGCTGACCGAAACAAAGCTAAGTTGGGCCATAGTCATTTAACATGTCGTTCAAATACATGGTAGTCCCGTTGTTCAAGAAGTTTGATTTTAAAGCTAATTCTTTAGCAGACTGGAAGCCAGTAAACTGTGCTAAAAATGGGGTAAGAAGTAAACAAGAATCACATCTGATTTTAAGATGGAATAGGATTGTTTTCTTTTTAACTGTGAGACATATTTTGACCTTGGAGGAGGATGACATCAACACTTTAGTCCTTGATCCTCATGTGGAAACGATATCTTCACATGCCTGAGTCAATTTGGAGGTTAGCAGTCTGCATCAGCTGATGTCAGCTTCACAAAAGCTGCAGGAAACTCAGTAGTTTGCTCAAGGGCGTTTTACAAACAACACACCATCTGAGTTCAGGTTTCACGTGTCACTAATGTGCAAAAATCCTTAAACCCCTAACATCGTGCCAGCTGACTCTTTACCCTCACACTTCAGTGTCGCAGCAAGGCTTCACACTTCTCGATATTGGAGCGTGACATTAAGAGAGTGTTTTCCTGGCAGCTGCAGCTCACCCTGTGAATGATCCCAGCAGAGTGGAGGTGTTTGATACCACACAGCATCTGATAGAGCAGGTAGGACAACCGCTCATGGTCCAGCTCCATTTGAATGACCTGGCACAAGTTAGCATCCATCAGCTCCATCACCAAGTATCTGATGGAACAGAGACGATGCTTAGTTCTGACGACACATAAGACAAATCTATTTGTTACAGCGCAAACTGTTACTATTTACTTACACATCTTGGAACTCTTCAAAAGATTTTTGTGGAGTAAAAACGTTAAGAAGGCCAATGATCTGCAGAAAAACAAAAGTGAATGAATCAAACTTAGTAATTGTGGTTCCTAAAATGAATTTGAGCTGAAAATGAAGCAAAATGTTACACATCTAAGTCTAAATAATACGGCTCCCATTTGTGAAATGCAATGCAACTGAATAGTTGCACACTTACATTTTTGTGATTGACACATTTCATTAGGACTAGCTCTCTGAACGCCCTCTTGGCATGGGTCTGGTTCTGAAACGGCCGACTCAGCTTCTTGATGGCAACATTTCGTTCAAGGATTTGATCATATGCAGAGCTAAAGAGCAAATATCGAGAAATAGTTTGGTGAAAAGAAAATGATTCAACACCTCTGATTCATTTCACTTTCCTCAAACAAGCCTGGCAACTCACCAGACGATCCCCTGTGCTCCAGAGCCAATGGGTCTTAGGTTCTGGTATCGCTTCAGTACCGTGAATGTTGAATCCCCAACATCAAGGCTGTAGAACTCTCTTTCTCTCTTGTTTTTATTCATGGCAAATTCTTCGATTGCTGCTTTCTGTGCATCCAGAAATGTTCTCTGTGAAGTAGGAGCATTTAGATCCTTTAAAGGGCCAGGCCTAAATCACAAAAAATGCTAAAACGGACAACAAATGTGGGAAATAAAGGCAGACTCGTTTGCACAACCTAGAAAACAGATTAGGACAGAAAAGGACAGTGCTGCATTTCACACTTGAGCACTGCAGGTTCCTGTCTCAGCAACTCTGCGAACACACGAGTGGAAGATTGGATGTCATCCTTCGATGGCAGAACAGAACAGCAGGCAGAGTGTGGGTCTACACACCATCATATGAAACACAACTCCAGGAGTGATGCTGTGCGACGCAGGAAAACCAAGCTCGGTGATAATTCCTCGGAGTTTGGATACAAGCCCAGGCTCCGCTCTACAAACACGGACACCGGTTTGTGCCACCTCAGATTTAAAAAGCAGAGGAGAAACGGGTTTCTTTAGCTCCTTTCCCCATAAACAGGACGACTCTCTATTAGACTGCGCTTCCGACACAGAGTCCATATGAGGGGAAATGATCACCGGAACGGAGTGAGTCAGCTCCCCTTCTGCTCCGCCGACGTCACAAAGACGCCCATCCACCTCCTTCGCAGCATCAAAACAGATTTCTTTTTCATGTCACAGTTATGGACATCTGAGTTATGGTGATTATGTACATATTTACTGGTTATAAATAAAATAAAAATGCAGTTGAAGCAAATATTGTGGATTTCTTTCCTGAGCAACATCATGTTCTGATATGAATAGGTCTGCTGTAAAATCACCTGACTACATGAACAAATTCCTCCAAAATCAATTACACACCTTTTGATAACAGTTTAGTACCAGCTGCAGAAAAAATGGAGAGCAATTAAAAAATTTGCTCTTCTTTAATTGCGTTGTTAAAATAATTACTAAGATCAGGGTATTAGACACAAATCCACAAATGAATAATACAGATATATAAGTACATCAGCTCATTAAAGGCATAAACTAAGAAAAATGCATCATATTCTATATAATTCCAATGTTTAAGACTGTTTCCTCTTATAGGCACGCACCAATTTTGTTCCATGATGTTTCCCATTAGATTCATCCCAGCTCCTAATAAAAAGGGAGGAAATCATCTCCAAGGAAAATGTTCCCATTAGAGAGACTGAAGCCCATTATTGTGTGTGTGTGTGTGTGTGTGTGTGTGTGTGTGTGTGTGTGTGTGTGTGTGTGTGTGTGTGTGTGTGTGTGTGTGTGTGTGTGTGTGTGTGTGTGTGTGTGTGTGTGTGTGTGTGTGTGTGTGTGTGTGTTAACCTTGACCACACGACCTCTCCGTCGTGGCTGCAGGTGACTGAATAACTGAATGAACTCCATCAGAGAGCAGCCCTGCACGCTGCGTGCAGCCGGATGGAACCGGACCGGAACAAGAGGACGTTTTCCCTATCGGTACCCGCCCCGGTGTGAGTTCGCGGGCAAGATCTGAGAATCTGGTGAGCGGTGCTGTCGGTTCCCGCATCCGGACACCGCGCGTTACAATAAAACGTCTGGTCGGTGTTAAGTGCGGTGAAGCATGCACCCTAAGACTCCCACCACCACCCTCCCCCACGGCCAAACAATGAGCCAGACGCAGATGCAAAGGTGTGAAATCTCATCTTACCTCTGACATTAAACCGACCACCGATCGATCCTCTCAGCGGTCCCGTTGGCGGTGAAACGTTCCGGAGCGGCCGGGCGCTTGTTTAGGCTGCCGCTGGAGGATGATTTATCCCGTTATGCGGCTTAAAAATATGTGACCTCACCAGATTCATTGCCTACGTCTCCATCTGGCAGCTACTGACAGGCCGGGACGCGCAGTGCGCACGGGGCATGCGTCCCAGGCAGGGACACACCCACCTCCGCCTCCCTGCATCCTTCTTTCCTCCATTCCTTCCGCCTATCACTCAAATGAACGCAATGTTTTGGTCTGCTTCCGTCTTTGAATTCACGAATTACCTAATACCACGCACTCTGTTTCACGTTTTCTATTTATAATTAAATGATGTCATGCAGTTATGGCAACGACAATTAGGGATGGGTGCTGCTCAAATGACGGATGGGTTAATAATGTGTTTTAGAAGAGAAACAAAAACCCACTGAAAATGTATCCATATGGCCTTGTGAAAGCATAAAGTAGGACATGCAAACTTAAGAGTAGAATAGAAAAGAATAGAATAGAACTGAACTGAATAGAATCGAATAGAAATCCCTTTATTGTCCCTCAGAGGGGAATTTTTGGTGTCTCAGCAACAGCTATCAGATTTACAACAGAAGCAAAGAAGAATAAAACAATAAATTAAAAAATAAAAGGCAGTACAACAAAAACAGAGAAAAATGTAAAATAGTCTAGACCATATAGACTTCATCACATTTAATGTGTTAACGTCTATGGAATCTTCAATGTATTTTAGGACATATATGAGATTTATTAAGTTTTGTTTATCTTTCTTCTAAATTAAAGCAGTTTCTATTCCTTCAGGTTTCCTGAGAATCCCCAAACTGTTTTCTATATCCCTTGCATTATTTTAAATTATTTTTTTTCTAGTACCTGCTGACAGATTATTTGCAGAGGAAGCTTAAGTTTTAATAGAAACAAATCTGCAGTAGATGGACATATCTGAAAATGTGCTTCGTTTGCTTGGTTGGTTGGTTGGTTGGTCGGTTGGTTGGTTTATTAGTTGATTGGTTGGTCGATTTGTCAGTCGGTTAGTTGGTTGTTTGGTTGTTTGGTTGATTGGTTGGTTTATTGGTTGGTTGGTTGTTTGGTTGATTGGTTGGTTAATTGGTTGGTCGGTCGATTGGTCGGTCGATTGGTGTGTTTTTTGGTTGATTGGTTGGCTGATTGGTCAGTCGGTTAGTTGGTTGGTTGGTTGGTTGGTTGGTTGATTGGTCGGTTGGTTGGTTGGTTGGTTGGTTGGTCGGTTGGTTGTTGGGTTGGTTGGTTGTTGGGTTGGTTGGTTGTTGGGTTGATTGGTCGTTTGGTTGGTTGATTGGTTGGTTGGTTGGTCGGTCGGTTGGTTGGTCGGTCGGTTGGTTGGTCGGTCGGTTGGTTGGTTGATTGGTTGGTCGGTTAGTTGGTTGTTTTGACGTTTTCAATAGAAAACAGTTAAAAGCTCATCTGAATGACCCTAACCCTAAAATGACATCTGAATGGTGAGATCATGAGATCACACTGCAGTGGTTCCCCATGTTTTTGTCTCCTGACACACAGAACAACAGCAGACTCACAGCGCAAAATTTGGCTGGTTGAAATCAATAAATGAACAAGAACATAAACACAAACTGCTTCAGCTGTACTGTAGACTTATTGCAAAAATTCTTTACATGTAACATCAGTTGCAATGAAAATATTCTTACATGATTTGTTTCAGTTTTATGAAAACATTTGAAAACCACAACAGGCTGAGGGCCAGACCACATCTTTGGGAACCACTGATCTACTGAATGACAAGTTGTCTGGCGACTCTAAAATGCTCTTTTATAATCATTAAACAGTGTTATTGTCAGTTTTTTTTTAACTTCTACTAAATTAATGGAAACAAATTGTATTTTACCGGTTCTGTTCATCACTTTTATGGACAGAATTTCTAGACGCAGCCGTGGTGTGGAGTGTGTCGAGTTTGGTGGCAGGAGAATCTCGTCTCTGCTTTTTGCGGATGATGTGGTCCTCCTAGCTTCATCCAGCTCTGACCTTCAGCTCTTGCTGGGTAGGTTCGCGGCCGAATGTGAAGCGGCTGGGATGAGGATCAGCACCTCCAAATCTGAGACCATGGTTCTCGACCGGAAAAGGGTGGCTTGCCACCTCCGGGTCGGGGGAGAGGTCCTACCTCAAGTGGAGGAGTTTAAGTATCTCGGGGTCTTGTTCACGAGTGAGGGTAGGAGGGATCGGGAGATCGACAGGCGGATTGGTTCGGCGTCTGCAGTGATGCGGACGCTGAGCCGATCTGTCGTGGGGAAGAGGGAGCTGAGCCAGAAAGCCAGGCTCTCGATTTACCGGACGATCTACGTCCCAATCCTCACCTATGGTCATGAGCTTTGGGTAATGACCGAAAGAACGAGATCGCGGATACAAGCGGCCGAAATGAGTTTCCTCCGTAGGGTGGCCGGGCTCAGCCTTAGAGATAGGGTGAGGAGCTCGGACATTCGGGAGGGACTCGGAGTAGAACCGCTGCTCCTCCGGATCGAAAGGAGCCAGTTGAGGTGGTTTGGGCATCTGGTCAGGATGCCTCCTGGACGCCTCCCTGGGGAGGTGTTTCGGGCATGTCCTGCCGGCAGAAGGCCCCCGGGTCGACCCAGGACACGTTGGAGAGGTTACATCTCCAATCTGGTCCGGGAACGCCTTGGGGTCCTGCCGGAGGAGCTGGTGGACAAGGCCGGGGAGAGGACGGCCTGGAGCTCCCTAGTTGGGATGCTGCCCCCGCGACCCGGACCCGGATAAGCGGAGGAAGACGAGACGAGACGAAATTGTATTTTACCATAAAATGCCTCAATAATAACTTTAAAAACCTAACTGTTAAGCAACAAAACCATCAATATTTCTTGTATAAACGTTTGCACAGAGACCTAAATCTATCTGATCATGTCATACCACTTTAGCACATTTAAAATGCTACGTCAGAGCTGACCAAAGTGCAGCACAGACAGGTCCATTTAAAGACGAAATAAGACAGAAACACCAATAAAAGCTAAGTTATCATGTTTAATGTAGAAACAAATATATTATTTATTGTCATTGGCAGTAACGCAGTTCTTATTAAAGCCATTTTTGAACATTGGTATGTTTCCAAAGTATAAAAAATATACAGTTTTGCATGATTACGTTTAAATGTGTTGCCTTCTTTAAGTGTTCCTGTCCCCATTAGCTGGTGTGCGGTGAGGACAAGTAGTAGATAACGTGAGAGCACCACCTATAGCTAATGCATCAGTCCTATACGCTACAACAGCGCGCGCACCGTGCCATGCTCTGCGCATGTGACTGGAAAACAGTGCCAAGAATTCGGTTAACTTAACGTGGAGCATCGCCGTCTTTTTTTTCTCTCTGCTGTTTTGTTTATTTATTTTTTGTTATTTCCCGTCCCTGCGCAGGTCCTCCGGGGCCTGCGCCTGCAGAGAGAGTAGCTGAGCGCAGAGAGGACTGGGGGGGGGACGCGGCATGCACAAACGTCCCAACACCGACTTCCGCCGCAAAACAAAGCTACTACTGCTTCTTACCCCCTGTTCGAAGAGAGCCCGCAGTGTGATGATCATTGTTGTGGAGCAGCCCTCCAGCAGCAGCAGCAGCCTCCTGTCCACCGAGCCCGTTTGTCCTTCCCAGGCTCCTCTTTAGCAGCAGCAGCACCTACCCGGAGGATCCACCGCACCTTGGGGCGTCAGACGGATTTACTTAAATCGGTGTCGCTGATCTCATGCCACCCGCTGTTGGAGGCTCTGGCCGGCCGCTGTCAAACCTCCATGATAATCCAATCAAGCGTTTAAAGGCGACAATCTAAGAATAGCGGCAATTGCTGCATAGGAAAAAAGAAAAGTTTGACCTCCTCAGCTTGCTGCTCGGATGGGGTAACTAACAGATCAAAAGATCCAGGCACCATGAGCAGTTCGTGTCATTGGTGAATCACCTGCCAGGAGCCTTCACTGCGAGGACACCACAGCAGCATTGCGATGATCACAGGGATTACTCTGGATCTGTGGTGGGAGCGCTGAAGATAAGAAGCTGCGAAGGATCGGACCCGCGGACACAGGTTACATATGCTGCCAGGTATGGTGTGTTTTATCAGTTTGATCAATAACAAGGTTTTTATGCTGGGTATTTATGTGCTGGGGAATGAGAGAAGATGTGGGCCTGTGCTCTGCTCAGACCTGAATATTATACTAAATGTTTAAAATGATATCAGGGCCTGTTTTAGCCCTAAAAAGCTTTGTTTCTGATACATAAACTAAAACACGTTACAGCAGTTTTGCAACATGAGGACTGATTGATCTTGTTGTCAGAAAGAAGAAGAGGTCTATTCTGAGGAGGTGTGCTGTCCTAATTTAGCCAAAGTCCATCTACGCTCTCCTGTCTGCCTCTATTTTGTTTAATCTTAGTGATCATAGATGTCTAAAGTCATGGCATCTCCATGTTGGTCTAAAAACAGTGAACATGTTGTTTGAGCATATTTTCTAAACCTTATAGGCATTAGAGGTGTGTTTTTGAGTCATAATTTGTTTATGCAGTATCATCATTTGATTTTGGGAACTAAATACACACTTTTTTAATCAACACATTTCTGAAATACATTCTGCAGCACTTTCACCTTCCAGATTTCTGTTTTTCATACATGTTACATTTGCAGGAAGTCGTAGTCTAGCTCTACACAGACCACTTTAAGGAGCTCCTGAAGTTTCTCTCTGGCCTGCGTGGGTGGAAGCACTTGGCACGTTTCCGACTTTCTCCTCGATTGCTCTCATGTCATAACAAACGGCACCTTAGGCTACAATATTTTAGATTCGCCCTCAGTTCAGAAGCTCTGAGAACATTGCGGCTGGTTAGGGATACGGGCGTTTGTGTTATTTTTTTCACACATGTAATCTTGTAAGAGCCTTGGATGAGTTCAGTTTAAGAGAGGGATTTATTCAGGACCAAAGTAATTGGTTTTTTTTTTTGTCAGGAGGAACAAGTCTGTTCTATATTATGGTTCTGGAAGGTTTAGATCACCACAAAGACACAAAATAACCTTTACTTTTCCTCATATTAGTGTTGATTAAACTAATATTTGCAGGAACTGCTGCCATACATTTATGGAAAACTAGATTTTTCATTATTTAAAAAAAAATTCTCATTTGTATTAATTGCATCAGAACATATTGTAGCTGAAACATTCATTCCTGCTATGCTTTTCAACAGGACACTCACATTTAGTGGTAGCATTAAACAAAAACTCTGATTTGTGCCCGTGTGTGTCTGGTGTGTTGTGTTGTCGTTCTGCGTTCCCAGGTGTGTGTGTGGAATGTGGGCAGAATGAGCAGCACATTTGTCACATTAGCTGAAGTCTTGGAGGCTCGAGGGGGACCTCTTCTGGAGGAGGAGATCTGGTCCCTGCTGCTGGGCACCGCAGAGTGTTTAATGGATGTCTCTTATAAGGGTAAAGCATTTCTGATACACACACCCTTCCCCCATCCTCTCACTGCTGACTCACACACTGTCTTAATGCTTTGACACGTTCACAATGTTTCTGATTTCCTTTTGCACAGTTTCACTCAGACAGGCTTTTTTTCTGTGCACCATCATCGTGCATGTTTAATTTGATGGATTTATTGGCGTTTTCAGGTCACAACACTATGTGCAACATCATAAGCCCCACCTCCTTGCTGCTGTCAGCCACTGGTACCTTAGCGTTTAAGAACTGCGGCCTATCAGATGAGGTGTCTGCCTATGCTGCTCCAGAGATGCTGCAGGACCGTGGCGGCTCAACCAAACCTGCCACAGATAGGGTTAGTGCTCCAGTCCTTATACCTCAAATACAGTCAGTGATGGGCTTTTAAAGACACTATTTTAGGTCAAATAGGGGTTTTTTTTGTTGTTTATTCTGTTTTGTTTTTTAAATCAGGACCTTTAAACCACACATACAGCTGAACTGATTACCAGGTCAGTGCTGTTATAAACTGATGAGTGTTTTTTGTTTTGCTTTTTCCTGTGAGTGCAAAATCTCAGGATGTCAAAAAGTGAAGGTCAACAAAAGTGTAAAGTCGCCATCTAGTGGTTAAAATAGTGAAACTCCTCTTTAAAGATTTTTCAACAACCTTGTCCATTAGAATTAGAAATTAAATACAAAGGAAGATGGTTTGAGAGAGAATTAAGGGAAGCTGTTTATGTCAAATGGGACAGACAGAGAAGGAGGCCTCAGGTTTTACCTTTCCAGCTCCTATAATGCAGCTTTACATCTAATTCCAAAACAGTTTCAGTCTAGGTCACACCCTCCTGCATCCGGTTACTCATTAAGTAACAACAGACTGGTACAGTTTATAACTTGGCCCTCCCATATTCCAGTCAGAATTGACCAATCACCTCGGATGAGAAGCAAAACATCTTCACGAATCCAAAAAATGTGTCCAGGTGCCTTGAATGAAAATAAAATGATAAAAAAGTATGAGCACAAAGAAGTTACCGCAAAGAGATAACAACAATAACATTATAGGTGAAGCACAATTAAAAAGGTAAACGTTGCTTGAGCTTCTTGCAATCTACAACCCAGTGAATCAGACATGTTCTCACATCTGGAAACACTTCGGACTCCCTCCCTCCACAGAGTCCATACAAGTATTATGTCCACAGCTAATATTTCACGGTGGAAATCAAACATTATGTTCACTAAACATCAGGAATGACAGACGAGGCTCCTTTTACCCATAAATGCAGCAGTTTACTGAGCTAATGCATTTTTACAGTTCCCTGCTCTGTCCACATGTGGGCTTGTTCAAACATTTTTTGGATTTATTGGTAATTACCTGACTGGTTAAAGTCCATAAATTGTTTTTTCTCTGGGATGCATGAAGGTCAAACCCACAGAAATACAAACTTGGCTCATAAAAGTCAGTGAAAAGTCTTTTCCCACGTTTAATGTTCTACTGGTGTTTATGTGAAGGACTGAAAGACAAACGTGGTAAAACATTCAGCTTTATCATGTCCCATGCAAATATTTGGGTTTTCACACTTTTTTTTTGAAAATGTTAAAAATGCACAAAACTACACTCTAAAAACAAATTGTTGAATTTACTCTACATTTGATTTTGGCACCTTAACCCGGGTTTCCACGGGAGCCGTCAGCAGCACGTTACTGCAGCAGCACGTCTTGCTCGCGTAAGCTGCTGCTTGGCCCTTCCCACGAGACGCGAAGCAGCAGGGGAGCAGCTGTCACCGACCGAGCACAAAGTCACACGAGTGACTTCGTCAGTAAACACAACAACAAGCAGGAGAAAACAACAACATGGTTTGTGTTTTATGTTCTGTCCGTTTTATAATCGCCAATACGGACCTGAAAAACAAAGGAGACCGCTAGCTAGGTGATAACTTCTCACGGGGCCGCACATTTAGTAACCTTTTTTAAAAGTAAAGCAACCGGAAAGCAGTACGTTCTTTATTCTGAAAATCTCGGTAGCTTCTCTCCATTTCCGCGTCCGATTTCCTGTCTTTCCTTCCCCAAAAATGTCGAACTTGACCCGTTTCAGAGGCGTCGCGCGTAGAAAATAGAACCGGTGCGTAAAGGCCGCGACATGCTGCTCCTGAGACGCGGCCGACTCGCGCTGCTGACGGCTGCCGACGGCTGCCGACGGCTCCAGTGGAAAAGGTTCTGTTGACCACAGCGGTTCCTATCAGCAGCTATGACGTGCTGCTGCAGTAACGTGCTGCTGACGGCTCCTGTGGAAAGCCGGGGTCAGACGTAACCTGGAATATCTGGTGTACATCGTTCACCAATATTCTTAGGAAGTCCTTAAGCAAAAAATAAATAAATAAAAATACAAAAATAAAACTGGTAATTTGCCACATATCTACTTTGAAGCCACACTTGTGAGTTCTGGATTGGGCCCTCCCAAAAAAAAAAGAGCCGACGATGTCTAGCGGCAGACGCGGAGCAGCTTGAAGAATAACTCACAGAAAACTCTAAAATGTTTTATTCACTCGTGCATGGAAGAGTATAAAAATACACTGCAAATGTTTTATTCGTGGACGGAAATGATAGGAAACGTGGGTTTAGAGGTGGGGAACCCATGAATAGGTGAAGGAGAATGAGAGACAAAATTGTCCATGTTAAAACGTCTCTGAAATACAAAAAACACAATTTAAGCACAAGAGTAAATGCACTATCATGTACCGGATACATGACAGGATAACCCAGAAAAACAATACGCCCTCTGTTGTCCTGGCAGGGAATCGTTTTGCAGCACTCCCCAGGTGACGGAGAAGTCCAAAGGCAAAACGTTTCCATCATTGCGTGTGCGTCTCTCCCTCGTGGAGCTGATGTAGAAGCATAAACAAGGCTTTAATCTAACAGCTAAAATGTCTCCCCAGCCTTCATGAGTGTCTACAGGACCGGTTCATCGCTAAATAAAGCAAATCAACTGTGTTTGTGATCTAAAACATGCAGGAAACGTGCTGGAACTGCAGTGCCAGGCATGTCAGCTTCACATTACTAAGACTAAAGTAGAAAATAACAAGAACTGGATTGGTACTCTGAAGTTGCAAGTGCAATATTCTGGCCACAGTGGGTGGTGGGGGTCTGAGTGACATTTCATCAGCCCTGTAAAGGATCATTTTAACACATACTGACTTAAGAAAATGATTTAAAAATATGAAAAAGTTGCATAGTTTCCCTTTCATTCAGAATATATTTAGTAATTGTTATATTGGAAAAAGATTTAAAGTCACACCACATCCATTTCAATGCAAATGGTTTACTTTCAGAATTTGTCTTGCTGAAGCTTTTTGCCTTTAATATATCCATTTTGTGACGCAGATGCTGGTGTATTCTCTGGGAATGACTCTCTACTGGTCAGTTGATTTTCATCTACCTCCGAATCAGGTGGGAGGCCTCTGAGACTAGACCATAGAGGAGCTTTCAGGCTCTCTGGGCTGATCCTCTTATAATTCTTCTGCTCTCTCCTTGTCAGCCAGTCCAGTTGAGTGACCATCTCAACAGCCTTCTCCTCAGCATGTGTGAGGACCTGGCCCACCGCAGGCTAAATCTCACCTCCATCCTGGAAGCCTGCGAGTCTCAGCACAAAACCTCCAACCTGTTGGCCCCCACCAAAGTCATTAAACAGCTTGTGGAGGAGGTTTTCCATGAATCAGTGAGTCGTAGATATCTACCGACAGTTTGTTCCACCCTGTTGGCATTAGAGCTTCTCTGCAGACCTTGTTATACAGTATGTGTCCAAAATTTAAAAATTGCATCAGTGCATTGATTAAAAAAAGGCTGATAATATTTAGCAAACGAGACAAATTCTCTGTTTTTCAGATGGACCACGGTTCTCTGCCTGACAGGAACATCCCTTTGAGTGGCAGGAGCCAGATGGTCAGGGAGAGACTTCACAGTGAGCATGATTTTCAGAATTCCCATGAAGGATTTTCTATTAAAAGTACAAGTAAATCTAAATTATTGAATGAAAAAGGAGAAATCTGAGTTACCGCCTGTGTTGGCCAAGATAAATCTTGAGAGCTATGTTGCATAGAGGAAATGAGAATCAACCACTTCTGTGACCCTGAGATGTTTGACAGCATTGAAATAAACCTAAAGAAAAACATTATTGCCTAAGAAATATTCCCTATTCACACAAATTCATCTGACCTCTAAATTATTCTCATCTACATAGTTCAAGAAAGTAGTTTCAATCATTTTTCTTTAGACTCAAGACTTCATAGAGGTCAACAGGATTAAATTCTTAACCTAAAGCAACCCAGGGATTAGGCTGCAGTGAGAGCCAATAATCAGATACAGAGAGTGGAGGATGCTCCAGGCTAAACCCATCCAAACATCTCAGAGTCTTAGAGGAGCACAGAGACTGACGGAAATCAAACATTTCCTGTCATCTTTCATCTCCTGCCTGACTGACAGGAAAGAGAGGGCCACTTTCAGACTTCAGTGAAGGAAGTGCTGAGGGGAGAAGGTACTCAACGGACTCTGATTCAAAGTCAGGTACGAACAGGATAAAAGAGAAGCCTCAAGATGCCTGGAAATGCTTGACCTATTTTCTGAAATAAAGTTTAGCTTCTGTTTGCTCCCATATGTGGATGTAATTCTTTAAATGCATGCAGAATTATCATATTTGTGTCTGCAGCTGTAACAAAAGTTGTATGTTTTATGTTGTTGTAGGTAGTTTACCTCAGAGACCTTGGAGACAAAGACCACGAAGTTCTCCCATACTCTTGTACCAGTCCTCTTTAGACAGGCATGTATTATGTCCACAATATCAGTTTTAATAAATCCATACTGACTTTAAAAGGATGCAACATTGTCACACGGTCTGATTCTTACCCTAAAAACTATCTCGTAATCTCTTTGCTTGCGTGTCCCTCTCTGGTCAGATCTCCTCGAAGAGCGCCTCGCAGGGACAGCAACTGCAGCTGGCTCGGCAGGAGCCCTCACCATGATTATTCCCCCAAGACTTCGGGCAGATCTCACAGTTCTTCCATCACGTTTAGTGAGTCCTCGCTCAGCCTGAGCCAAAGAAAGGCAAAGGTGAGATCAGGAACAGTTCAGTGTGTATTCTGTGTCACAAACTAACCTGTAGAACCAAATATGTAGGTTTGAAATAGGAAAAATAGCCTTTTATCATTGCAAAGTTGGGCTTGTGTATCAGTGGCCCTCCAAGGGGTGAACAGAGGGGGGCCAAGTCCCCCCCCCCCCCCCCCCCCCGAAAAATTGCTGACCACCCCACTGGTCCCCCCAGAGAAGACCTCCTCCACACCAGCCATACAATCATCTCCTTTATTCAAGACATACATGTAAATGAACGTGTAATAGTAATTTATGCAGCTCTAACTATGGCAGAAGCTGAGGCAAATCAAGCATTCTTCATCAAAGGGCTTGTTCGTAGACTGAGAATCCCGGTTGGCGGATAGTTTGGAAGGTCAGAGTCCTCTTCCATTGGTCAGGATGGTTTCAGTCTCATGTTGATGAGTACCTTGAAGTCCAGGTCCAGAGTGCAATAATAGAGTTCGGGATGTGAGAGCGCACAGTTCAACTTCTCAATAGGAAGACATCAGGGTCCTTCCGTGGCGTGTTGAGGTGGATGTCCAATTGTCAGGGAGCTGATCTTGTCCCCGAAAAGTCCTTCTGATCCTTTGACCGTGAAACCAGGTTGGAGATTGGATGCAGGTGATTGAAGCTGTTATCCTTTTCCAGTGTCTCTTCTTCACTGTGTCCTGTCGTAGTTGAGTGCAGGGGGTCTTCAGCCGAGGTGGGTGCAGGTTGCGTTGTCGTGTAGGTGTGTGGTCAGGGAGGAGCCCCAATCCGTCGTTTCAGTTCCAGTTCTAATAGCCCCTCAGATGCTGCTGTCCCAGTCGTTCCATCGGGTGCTGAGAGGCGGCCCAAGTGCAGGGCCATGGACGTGCACCAACATCAGAATGTGGTGAGCCCAGCAAGCTTGAAGAAGATCTTTATCTTTTATCTTTATCTTTATCTTTATCTCTATCTCTATCTCTATCTTTATCTTTATCTTCACCGGGGTTGAGACGTGGGACCCTAGAGGTAACCCACCCCTTTGCTGCCGGACTTCGTTGCCGCTCTAGTAGCGGTCAGTTGACATTGATGAGCTTGCAGTGGGATAGATGAATCCAAGATGGCCTCTCAGCAATCTTCACAGCAGTAGGAGTGGTGAGGAGTACTTCAAATGGACCTTCTCACCTCTGGCTGCCCCAATTGTCTTGTTTCAGCACCTTCATCAGAACCCAATTTCCTGGTTTCACGACCTGTGGGCGAAAAAGCACAAGAAAATTCTGGGAGATCACTGTTGAACCGTCACCTTATCGTGGTGGAGGAGTTTGAGTGCCCTAATGATCCTAGGAGCTATGTTGTCTGGGGCACTTTGTGCCCCTGGTAAAGTCTCCCACGACAAATGGGACTTAGGTGAAGGGTGAGACAAAGAACAGTTCAGAAGATCTTTCATTGATGTAAAAACAAAGAGTCGGAGTACCCGGCCCGGAGGGTTACCGCGGTCCCACCCTGGAGCCAGGCCTGGGGTTGGGGCCCGTGAGCGAGCACCTGGGGGCCGGACTTTCACCCATGGGGCCCGGCCAGGCCCAGCCCGAACCGGATACATGGGCTCATCCAACTGTGGACCCACCACCCGCAGGAGGCACATGAAGGGTCCGGTGCAGTGTGGATCGGGTGGCAGACCGAGGCAGGAGCCTTGGCGGTCCGATCCCCGGACAAGGAAACTGGTTATTGGGACATGGAAGGTCACCTCGCTGGCAGGGAAGGAGCAGGAGTTGTGGCAGAGGTTGAGCGGTACCAGCTAGATATAGTCGGACTCACCTCGACTGGAACCCAAGTCCTTGAGAGGGGTTGGACACTCTCCTTTGCTGGAGTTCCTCCGGGTGAGAGGCGGAGGGCTGGGGTTGGCTTTTTGTTAGCCCCAAGACTCTCTGCCTGTGTGTTGGGGTTTACCCCGGGGGACGAGAGGGTAGCTTCCCTGCGCCTTTGGGTCAGAGAAGGGGTCCTGACTGTTGTTTGTGCTTATGCGCCAAATATCAGTTCAGATTACCCACCCTTCTTGGAGTCCCTGGGATGAGTGCTAGATAGTGCTCCATCAGGGGACTCTATTGTCCTGCTGGGGGACTTCCATGCTCATGTGGGCAATGGCAGCATGACCTGGAGGGGTGTGATTGGGAGGAACGGTCCGCCTGATCTGAACTCGAGTGGTGTTTTGTTATTGGACTTCTGTGCAAGCCGCAGTTTGGCCATAACGAACACCATGTTCAAACATAAGGATGCCCATTGGTACATTTGCTACCAGGGCAGCCTAGGTCGCAGGTCGATGATAGACTTTGTAGTCGTATCATCTGACCTGCGGCCGTATGTTTTGGACACCCAAGTGAAGAGAGGAGCAGAGCTGTCAACTGATCACCACCTGGTGGGGAGTTGGATCAGATGGCAGGGTAAGAAGCCACGTAGACCTGGCAGACCCAAACGCATAGTGAGTATCTGCTGGGAACACTTGGCAGAAGAACCTGTCGAGACGGTCTTCAACTCCCACCTCCGGCAGAGCTTTGACCGCGTCCCAAGAGCAGTGGGGGACATTGACTCCAAGTGGGCCTTGTTCCACTCTGCGACTGTTGAGGCGGCTGTTGCTAGCTGTGGTCGCAAGGTGGCCGGTGCCAGTCGTGGTGGCAACCCCCGTACTCGCTAGTGGGCACCAGAGGTTCAGGGAGCCGTCAGGCTGAAGAAGGAAGCCTACAGGGCGGGGCTGGTCTGTGGGTCTCCGGAGGCAGCAGACGGGTACCAGATAGCCAAGCGGGGTGCAGCAGTGGCAGTTGCCGAGGCAAAATCTCGGGTGTGGGAGGAGTTTGGTGAGGCCATGGAGAAAGACTATCGATCGGCACCAAAGTGGTTCTGGCAAACTGCCCGGTGCCTCAGGAGAGGGAGGCAGCAAATGTCTCACACTGTTTACAGTGGGGATGGGGAGCTGCTGACGTCAACTGGGGCTATAGTCGGGCGGTGGAAGGAATACTTTGAGGAGCTCCTCAATCCCACCTACACGCATTCCGAGGAGGAGCCAGAGCTGGGAGACCTGGGGATGGACAGTCCAATCTCTGGGGCAGAAGTTGCTGAGGTAGTCAAACAACTACACAGCTGCGGAGCCCCGAGGGTGGATGAGATTCATCCTGGGTATCTCAAGGCTATGGATGTGGTAGGGCTGTCGTGGTTGACACGTCTCTGCAATGTTGCGTGGTCATCGGGGGCAATTCCTGTGGAGTGGCAGACTCCAGGTGGTCCCCATCTTTAAGAAGGGTGACCAGAGGGTGTGTTCCAACTTTAGGGGGATCACACTCCTCAGCCTCCCTGGAAAGGTCAACTCCAAGGTACTGGAGAGGAGGGTCCGATCGATAGTTGAATCTCAGATAGAGGAGGAGCAATGTGGTTTTCATCCTGGCCGTGGAACTGTGGACCAGCTCTATACCCTTGCAAGGGTGATAGAGGGGGTATGGGAGTTTGCCCAACCAATCCACATGTGTTTTGTGGATTTGGAGAAGGCTTGTGACCGTGTCCCCAGGGGCACCCTGTGGGGGACGCTCCAGGAGTATGGGGTGGGTGGCCTTTTATTAAGGGCCATTCAGTCCCTTCACCAGAGGAGCGTGAGTTTGGTCCGCATAGCTGGTAGTAAGTCTGACATGCTCCCGGTGAGGATTGGACTCTGACAGGGCTGCCCTTTGTCACCGGTTCTGTTCATTACCTTTATGGAGAGAATTTCTAGGCGCAGCCGTGGTGTGGAGCGTGTCGAGTTTGGTGGCAGGAGAATCTCCTCTCTGCTTTTTGTGGATGATGTGGTCCTCCTAGCTTCTCCAGCTCTGACCTTCAGCTCTTGCTGGGTAGGTTCGCGGCCGAGTGTGAAGCGGCTGGGATGAGGATCAGCACCTCCAAATCTGAGACCATGGTTCTTGACCGGGAAAGGGTGGCTTGCCAACTCCGGGTCGGGAGAGAGGTCCTACCTCAAGTGGAGGAGTTTAAGTATCTTGGGGTCTTGTTCACGATTGAGGGTAGGAGGGATTGGGAGATTGACAGGCGCATTGGTTCGGCGTCTGCAGTGATGCGAACGCTGAGCCGATCTGTCGTGGTGAAGAAGGAGCTGAGCCAGAATGCCAGGCTCTCGATTTACCAGTCGATCTACGTCCCAATCCTCACCTATGGTCATGAGCTTTGGGTAATGACCGAAAGAACGAGATCGCGAATACAAGCGGCCAAAATGAGTTTCCTCCGTAGGGTGGCCGGGCTCAGCCTTAGAGATAGGGTGAGGAGCTCGGACATTCGGGAGGGACTCGGAGTAGAACTGCTGCTCCTCCGGATCGAAAGGAGTCAGTTGAGGTGGTTTGGGCATCTGGTCAGGATGCCTCCTGGACGCCTTCCTGGGGAAGAGGCCCCCGGGTTGACCCAGGACATGTTGGAGAGGTTATATTTCCAATCTGGTCCGGGAATGCCTTGGGGTCCTGCCAGAGGAACTGGTGGAGGTGGCTGGAGAGATGACGGTCTGGAGCTCCCTAGTTGGGATACTGCCCCATCGACCTGGGCCCGGATAAGTGTAGGAAGACAACGACGACCACTGTCGACCACTGTTGATTTTTACTTGTTTCAGCAAAAATCCTTATCATCATGCAAGGTATTTTCTCTCTCATGCTGGACTCCAGTTATTTTCATCCACAGTTGTACTAACAAGGGTTAATTCAGCACAAATGTGTTCTATTTACTTATCTCATAACAGAGGCACACAGGTGAGTGCGTGTGTGTAGGAAAATCGTTATCAGCAGTCCCTCCTCCTGAGGCATGAGACACTCATGGCTCATCAGAGCAAAAGAGGCATACAAGGACATAAACAAAACAGGTCCGATACCGGCAAGCATTGCGCCAACCCGTTGCAGAAGTTGGATCCTGCATAACATGTTTCCTCTAAAGGCTAAAAATACCCAACCCAAGGAACTTGCAATTAGCAGTTTACATCAGCAGGGGGCAGAGTCGTCCAGCAT